CCNCCGCCCCCGCCGCCGCCTCCGCCGCCGCCGCCGCGTGCCCGCCCCCAACTTCCTCCCACCCTCCCCCGCCGTCCCTCGCCGACTCTCTCTCGCGCTCGTACCGCTCCAGCTCCGCCACCGTCGCCGCTCTCGCCGCCGCTCTCGCCGCCTCCTCCGTCTCCGCCGCGACGCGCGCCTCGCGCGCCGCCGCGATCGCGTCCGCCTCCGCGCGCTCCGCCGCCATCCGCGCCGCGCGCCGCGTCGACGGTGGCGGCGACGGATCGTACTTTTTCTTCCCGAACGGCCATCGGACGTCCAACTCCGTCCGCCACGGCGGCTTGGCTTGGAACGGGTCGCGGTGCGACGCGTCGGCGAGAAAATCGCACACCACGACGGTGATGTCGTCTCTGTTGTCCTTCTGCTTCTGCGCGAGCTTACACAACGCCGCGGCCGCGGCCTGCGTCCCGATCTTCGCGCCGCAACTCGACGCCTGCTTCACGGTGACCGCATCCCACAGCCCGTCGCTCGCGAGGACGATGCGAAACCCCGGCTGATGGTCGGGCACGACGACGCGAGACACCTCCGGCTCGGAGATCACGCCTGTCGGGGTGGAGTTGAAAGGCGTCAGATGGAGTTGAAAGGCGTCGAGGTGTATCGGGATTGAAAGCGAGGGACCCTGGGCGGACAGACACGCCGGGAAAAGTCCTTAAGGATAGGCGTTCACCACGCGAACGCGGTCGTATGGGGACCGGTGTGAGATAGAACGCGCCTCCCTTCTTCCCGTCGCGGTCGCCCATCGATCGCGACACCGCGAGCCCCCCCGGCCACACCCGCAGCGGCCCGACCGGCTTCCCTTCCTCGAACGCGGTCGCGCGGACCTCCCCGCCCGCGGCCTCGATGCGGTTTCGCTCGCTCGCGGACGTGTCGAGTCTGTGTTCGGGCGTCAGCCTCGACGCCGACGACGCGCCGCCCGATGACTTGGTGCTGTTACGTTGATGATGCGATCCCGTGTCGATCGTCGCGAGCGAGTCCCCGACCGCCGCGGACGTGACGCACCGCCCGTTCACGCACACGATCGTCGCCGTCGCGCCGCTGTGGATGTCTTTGAGCAAGAATTGGGCGTCCGACGCCGCGAACGCGTCCACGAGCGCGGCGGGGAGGCGTTCCTCGAGCGCGTCCTCGGCGTCGTCGTCGCGCGCGATCGGTCCGCGCGCGTCCAGCGCGTCGAGGATGCACGGCACGAGCGTCTCCGCGCAGTGCTCCGCGGCAGCCTTGCCGCCGTGGCCGTCGAACAAGCCGAACACGCTGAAGTGGCACGACGACGGCGGCGGCGACGCCGAACACCCCTCGGCGCCGTCGCCGTCGACGCGCGCCGGCGTCCACACCACGTCGGGCGACGCGAACGACTTGTCCTCGCCCTTCATCACCTTCCGGCTGTGCGCGACGCGAACGAACGGGTATCCGATCGCGTCGATCGCGCGCAGGGGGTGGGACACGACGTCTTTGGCGTTCACCATCGCGCCCGCCGCCGCCGCGCGAGCCGCGCTCTGAACGGAGGATCCGCGATCGTCCTGTCGTCGACGATGACAACGATCGATCAGTTGACGTTCGTTGACGTTCGCGCGGTTTCTGGTTTCAGGCGGTCGGTTTCAGGCGGTCGGTTCACCGCGGCGGTTTTTGGCGCTTCATCGATCTTCCCGAACCCGAGATGGCGGTCAAGAATCAGAAAACCCACGGCGCCGAGATCTCGGAAGCTGCCACGGCGTCCTTTCGCGGGCTCGTCCGACGCGTCGTGGCGTCGACCGAGCGCGCGCGCGCGCGCGGCGGCACAACGCCGCGCGGAGAGAGATGGTGACCGCGGCGAGCGCGCTGCCGACGCCCTCCGCGTCGCTCGCGCTCGGTCGTGCGCGGACGTCGCGCGCGGCGTCCGCGTCGCCGCGCTGCGCGGCGCGCCAGACGCCGCCGCCGCCGCCGACGACGACGCCATCGTGGAGGGTCGCGTCATCGTCGCGCGCGGTGACGACGCGCACCGGCGCGCGCGGGGGCGAGGCGTCGTGCAGCGCGTCCTATAGGACGCTGCCGTCGCGCCGCGAGCGAGGAGGACGAGGACGGGGACGCCACCGCGGCGGCGGCGGCGGCGGCGCGACGCGCGTCGCGTCCGCGGCGTCCGCGACGAAGCGCGCGTCCGCGACGCCGCAGACGATCGCGCGTTCCGACGGCAGTCCGTCGTCGTCGTCGTCGTCGCGACTCGAGCGACCGGTAGGGAACTCGTCCACCGCGCAGGCGATGGCGAACAGCGTGAACATCCTCCTCGGCGTCGGGCTCCTGTCCGTGCCGTACGCGCTGCAGCAGGGCGGCTGGGCGGGCCTCGGCGTGCTCTCCCTCCTCGGCGCGATGACAAACTACACCGGCAAGGCGCGTTCTGATTCACACCGGTCCCCATACGACCGCGTTGGCGTGGTGAACGCCGATCCTTAAGGACTTTGCCCGGCGCATCTCTCCGCCCAGCCCTTGCGTTCAATCCCCGCCCTCGACGCCTTTCAACTCCGCTTCTGACGCCTTTCAACTCCACCCCGACATCCGTCGCTTCGTATGGACCCTCGACCCTAAGGCGCTCATCAAGTGCCAAGCCGCGGGCTCGCTCCCAGTCGTCGACGTCGCCGGGTTCGAGAGCGACCTCAGCGCCGGCGGCGCGGTCGCGTCCGCGCGAGGGATGGGCGCCAGCGGCGACGAGTACGACCTGATGGAGATGGACGCCGGCGACGCGACGAGCGGCGGGCCCGGCTACTGCGAGTACCCGCGCCGGAGGCCGCTGCTCTCGTACGAAGACATCGGCGAAGCCGCGTTCGGGCCGCGCGGGCGAGACTTCATCACGTTCGTGCTGTACACCGAGCTCATCGGCACGGGCGCGCTGTTCTTCATCCTCGAGGGCGACCACCTCGCGATACTGTTCGACCACGCGCACGACGAGACGTGGTACATGGCCGCGGCGGCGGCGGTGATGATCCCGACGTTGGTGCGATGATTGGTCCCGACGAGACCAGAACAGACGTTCGCTCATTCGGTTTCTTCTCGCTCGACGCTACCCCCCCCGCCGTCTCGACTGACCTCGCCTCGCCTCGCCCGTGCCTGAACGTGTGTCTACCGTGCCTCTAATCCCCGCAGTGGCTCTTCGACCTGTCGTCGCTGAGCGCCATCGGCGCGCTCGGCGCCGCCGCGTCCATGTCTCTCGTGGGCGTGGTGCTCTACGAGCTCGTCGCCGTCGGCGGGTACGTTCTATACACTGGTCCCCATACGACCGCGTTCGCGTGGTGAACGCCGATCCTTAAGGACGTTTGCCGGCGTTTCTCTCCGCCCAGGGTCCCTCGCTTTCAATACCCGCCCTCGGCGCCTTTCAACTCCGTCTGACGCCTTTCAACTCCACCCCGACGTTCGCTCGTATGGAACGACCCTTAGGTACCCCGCGAACCCGCCGCCGGGGTTCGACACCACCGCGCTCGTGCACCTGAGCACGCTTCCGGTGTCGTTCGGGCTGCTCGCGTTCGTCTTCGCCGGGCACGCGGTGTTTCCGGCCATCTACACGTCGATGGAGAAGCCGGAGGAGTATCCCGCGATGCTGGATAAGGCGCGTTCACGTTTGTTACGCCGGGGACTTCATTTCCCGTCGTTCGTCACTCTCCGCCCAGGGTCCCTCCCTCGGTTTCGATCATCCCGACACGCCGCGATGCCTCACGACTCCGACGACTGACGCCTCACGACTCCACCCCGACGTTCGCTCGTATGGACATTTACCCTCGACCCTATAAAGACGTACGTCATCGTCGGGCTGACGTGCCTCGTCATCGGCAGCGCCGGGTACGCGCTGTACGGCGACCAGGTCATGGACGAGGTGACGCTGAACCTCCCCGCGGGCGTCGCGTCGACGATCGCGCTCGCGCTGATCACGGTGAACCCGTTCAGCAAGTTCGCGTTGACGATGGACCCGGTGAGACTGCTTCCCATACGACCCCTTTCGCGTGGTGAACGCCGATCCTTGAGGACTTTTGCCGTCGTCACTCTTCACCCGCGCTTCCCTTTCAACGTTTGACCGGTAAGACGTTCGACTGACCGATCGCTTCACCCACGCAGGTGGCGCGCGGGCTGGAGAAGGGCCTCCTCGGGATCGACGTCGCGAGCGAGACGAATCGGTCGACGACGGCTTCGGCGCTGAAAGCGCGAGGGCTGCGGACGGGGTTAGGGCTGAGCGCGCTGGCGACCGCGGCGACGGTGCCGTTCTTCGCGGTGTTCATGTCGCTCATCGGGTCGTTTCTCACGCTCACGGTGTCGGTGATCTTCCCGTCGGCGTGTTACCTGAAGATGTTCGAGGACGAGGTCACGGACGGGGAGCGGGCGCTGAACTGGGGGATCATGGTCTTGGGGGGGTTCTGTGTCGTCGCGGGGAGCGTCAGCGCGGTGCAGGGGATCGCGGGGGAGATAGGCTTTTGACGAAATGATGGTTGGAGGTGATCGAGTTGATCGAGTTGATCGAGTTGATCGAGTTGATCGACGACGACGACGACGACGACGCGGGTCGACGGATCGATCGGATATATTTTTTTAAAATATCTGCTCGCGTCGTTTCGATATTTTAACAAAACCCTTCCTCCTTCCCGGTTCGCTCGCGCGCTCGCTCGATTTCGCTCGCTCGATTTCGCTCGATTTCGCTCGCTCTCGCTCACTCCTCGAGCATCTTGTCGTCGCCGCCGAACGCCGCGGGCATGGTCGCGAACTTCGGGAGCCCGTCCTTGACCTTCCAGATGGCCTCCGAATAATTAATGTGCATCTTGGGCTTGAACTCGTATCCGTCCATGATGCCGCTCACGACGTCCGTCAGCTTCATGGTATCCGGGTGATCGTTCAGGACGTTCGAGCGGCACTTCGCGCACGTCTTGCGGTTCGAGCCCTTCGGCTTCCCCTCCGGCGGCGGGTTCGTGAACTCCACGAGGTCGCCCTCGACGGTGACTTTTTCGCACGGCCAGAGCGACGCCATGTTGATTCCGCCCCAGCGCGAGCAATCGCGGCAGTGGCAGACGGCGACCGCGGCGGGCTCGCCGACCGCGGTGACTTTCACGGCGCCGCAGTAGCAGCGCCCGGTGTACGTCTTCTCTTCGCTCATCTCGGCGTGCGCTGTTCGGACGAGGGTGTGTGTGTGGGGGGGGGTGGGGGGGTGGGTGGGTGTTATGACGCGTCCCCGGCGATTGGACACGTCCGAGAAAAAAAACGGCTTTAACGCGCACCGCGTCATCTTTTTTGCGCGTTCAGGTGGTCGTGCGTCGTAGTCGCACAGCGTACTCCAGTGCAATTACCCATACGTGTACAGGAGAGACCTGCCTTTCATTTTACCTTCGAAGGTACTTTCGTATTTTTGAAGCCTGCCGCTTCCACCTCTCGTGCCGCAGTGCCATTCGCGCCGGGGGCGCGCGATGTCGCGACCGCGGTCGTCGTCGCCGCCACCGCCGCGGTCGCCGTTCGACCCCATCCCCAGAGACGCGCTGTACGGCGCGAACGGCGGCCGAACGGAAGCGAGCGACCTCTACCTCCTCGAGCACGAGCGACGGCGCGCGTCCACGAGGGCGTGGGGGCGCGCGTCCAGAGCGCGCGCGAGAGCCGCGAGGGACGCGAAAGACACGCTGGACGCCATGCGCGCGCACGTCGCGTCGACGTCGCGGCGACGGCGCGAGGCGGAGCTGGACCCGGACGCGGTGCGCCGTCGCGCGGAGGCGGGGGTCGCGCGCGCGGGGATCGGGGGCGGCGACGGCGACGCGCCGGCGCGGGGGTCGTTCGCAGTCGGGAACGCGCGGTTGCTCGCGTACGTCGCGACGCACTCGCCATCGCGCGTGATGAAGAGCGATTCGCGAATGTCGGGCGCGATGGTAGACGAGGACGAGGACGAGGAGAGCCTATAGCGTGAAGTAGTTATTAGGCGGCGGACTGGATGGCGACGTTGATTGTCATTTATTTTTTCAGTCGCTTCGCCGCCGGCGCGTCGTCGTCGTCGTCGTCGTCGTCGCACAAGTCGACGACGTCCGCGGGCGTAGGCGGCATTCCGTCCTTCCCCGCCGCGGCCGCGAGCGCCCTCGCGCGTCTCTCCGCGGCCTCGGCCACGAGCGCGCGGATATCCCTCGACCCGCGGATATCCGGCGCCGCCGCGACCGCCGCGACGGCGACGACCGGCGCCGGCGCGCCACCCAACGCCGCCGCGAGCGCGTCGACCCCGCCCAGCCTGCTCCCCTCCCCCACGAACGCGCCGCCGCTCGCCGCCGCCGGGACGTTCGCGACGCACCCCGCGGCGGTCAACATCGCGCTCGTCCGCTCTCGTATGTGCTCGAACCGTCTCTTCCCCAAGTTCGCGCCGCCGTACACCCGCGCCACGACCACGGCGTACCCGACCGCTCTTCGCGCGTTGAGCTCCGCGCGGATCGCCGCGCCGCCGCGCGACTCGCCGTCGTCGTCGAACCCGCTGTCGACCTTCGCCGCCGCCGAAGCCTTGCGCTTCTTCGCGGAGGAAGCCGGTTTCGAAGAAGAAGAAGGCGCCGTGACCGCCGCGGGACACCTCCACGCGCTCATGGCGTGATCGGCGTGCTTCACCGCGACGTCTCGCTTCACGTGCGCGATGGCCGCGCGCGCGATCGAAGCGGTGAGGCACGGGTACGCGAGGTGCGCGACGAAGACGCTGCCGCGGTCCACGATCGGCGTGCTGTGGAGGATCGTCAGCGAGCCGGAGCGACCGGCCAGCGCGGTCGTCTCGCGGCGGTGCACGTGTGGGTGCGCCATCAGATGGAGTGACGAGTGGGCACCGGGGCCGCGTGCTTCAGAAGTCGTCGACGCGATTGCGATTCCGCATCCGCCGCGCGCGCCGCGCCGCGACGCGTTCGCGTTCTCGGACGAATCGCCATCATTGCCGCCGTCGCGCCCGACGCGCGCTCGATGCGGCGGCACTCGGAGGACGAGTGGCGCGCCGCCGGGTTCGCGCCCTCGAGCCCGACCGCGGGGACACCGTCGCCGCCGCGCGCGATCGCGTCCTCCGCCGCGGACGTCGCGCCGCTTCTCGCGGGCGGGGGCGCGGGGGATCCGTCGAAATCGATGAAATCGATGAAATCGATGAAGCGCGTCCCAGGCGCCCCGTCCACGCCGCTCACAGACGGCGAGAGGCATCTTCATCCCGCCGCACACGCCGACGGCAATGGATCATTGTCCGTCCGCGAGTGCGCGATGAACCTCTCGAACGCCATCATGGGCGCGGGCGCGCTCGCGCTGCCGAATCTCTTCAAGGTGGTGGGCGTCGTCCCGGGTCTCGCGCTCCTACTCTTCGCGTGGCTCTGGACGTGGTTCAGCATGGCGATCATGATCCAAGCCGCGGACGCGGTCAGCAAGCGCGTCCTCCGCGGCGAGCCGGTGGGGAGCTACGAGGACCTCATGGCGCACACGCTCGGCCCACGCGGGCGGACCGCGAGCACGGTCGGCATCGTGTCGTTGCAGATCGGATGCCTCGTCGGTTTCGCAAACGTCCTCGCGGATGTGGTGTCGCCGTTCGCGGACGAGATGCTGCCGCCGGGGTTGGAGCCGAACCGATCCGCGATCCTCGCGGCGGTGGCGCTGGGAGGGATGCTCCCGACCGGGCTGCTCGTCGGCGGCGAGAGCCACGCGCTGTTGGCGACGGTGAGCAAGGCGGCGTTGGGGGTTGTGGCGACGTTCGCAGCGGTGCTCGTGGCGCACGCGTTTTCGCCGCGGAGAGTCATCGCGGGCGCGGGCGCGGGTTCGGGTTCGATCGAGGGTCCCGGGGGATTCACCGATCAGGCGGCGGCCGCGATCGCGGTCGACGGCGCGGACGCGATCGCGTGGTTCGCGCCGTTGACCGGGCTGACGAGCGTGTTGCCGCTCGCGATCTTCGCGTTCGGCGCGCACCCGGCGGTGTTGCCCGTCGTGCGCGCGGTGCGATGTGAAGGCGGACCGGGGTCTCAGGTGCGTTCTATCTCACACTGGTCCCCATACGACCGCGTTGGCGTGGTGAACGCTGATCCTTAAGGACTTTTGCCGTCGTTTCTCTCCGTCCAGGGTCAATCGCGTTCAATACCCGCCCTCGACGCCTTTCAACTCCGTTTCTGACGCCTTTCAACTCCACCCCGACGTTCGCTTGTATAGAACGGCCCTCATCATGGAGGGCGTTTCGCGCGGCTGCGCGCGGCGAGCGAGGTCGTGCGGCTCGTGCTGGGTGGGTGTTTCCTCGGGTACGCGTGCATCGGGCTGGGCGGGTACGCGTCGTTTCGGTCGAGCACCGCCGGGAACGTCCTGCGGAACCTCGACGGCGAATTCGTCGGCGCCGTCGCGTCGCGCGCGCTCAAGTTTGGATACGGGTGCGTCATCCTCGCGTCGGTGCCCACGGTGCTGCTGCCCATGCACCGGAGCGCGACGGACGCGTTCTTATTCTTCGCGCCGTCCTTTGCGGTCTTCGGAGCCGGCGGTGGCGGCGGCGCGCGCGAGGTGTCCCCCGAGACGTCGGCGCGGCTGTCGCAGGCGACGGCGGTGGCGGCTATCGCGACGTCGTTGACGTTGGCGCTTTACGTCCCCAACGTCGAGTTCGCGTTCGGGCTCACCGGGAGCACGTGCTCGTTCGCGATCGCGTTCGTATTCCCCGCGCTCGCGTACCTCACGGTGACGTCCCCGAGGGGGGTCATCGGGGCGATCGGGGGAGGGAAAGGCGCCCTGGGGAGAGGCGCGACGGGAGCGGGAGCGGGAGTCGTCGGAGGGATCCGAGGGTTGTTCGACGACGACGCCGGGGAGCTGCTGTCGTCGGACGAGGAGCGGTGCGCGAACGGGCTCGGGCTCCCTCTCGTGGGCGGCTCCCTCGCGAGCAACAGCAACATCAACAGCAACAGCAGCAGCGCGCGGAAGGGGGACTCGCCCGCGGTGATCTCCGCGATGATCTCCGCCGCCGCCGCCGCGGCGTCGCCGCCGACGCGACGCGGCAAGACGGAGAAGAGGACGCTGCGTCGGTGGCGCGCGGGGGCCAAGGCGCAGATCGCGCTCGCGTTAATTCTGTCGTACACGTGCACGTCCGAGGTGTTCAGGCAGCTCCAAGCGGAGCGCGCGCTCGTGAAGGCGGTCGAGAAGGTGGCGGAAGTGCGCGCGGCGAGCGACGCGATCGATAAGGAGAAGGGAGAGATCGCCGCCGCGCGCGAGGAGTTTACGGCGTCGAGCGAAAAGTTGCGCGCGTACGCCGAGGGCGCGGAGGAGAAGCTCGCGGCGGCGCAGAACGCGACGCGCGGCGGGGGCGTCGACGGCGCGTGGTTCAACGCGACCCTCGCGGAGCGTCTGCGCGCGAAGGAGAAGGAGCGCGCGGAGCGGGAGGCGATCGCGGCGGAGATGGAGAAGGCGGAGCGGACGACGCGGGCGGCGCGGAAAGAAGGGAAGAAGACGACGCGCGCGGACGCCGACGCCGACGCCGACGCCGACGCCGACGCCGAGCCCGAATCGAAAACGCGCGCCGCGCCGCCGTCGCCGCCGAGCGTGAAGGACGACGCGAAGAACGCGTCCGCGGTCGACGAGGTCGTCGCGAGCCTGGAGTCGTTCAAAGAAGCCAACGCGGAAGCCGAGGACGCGAAAGGAAAACTCGAGAAGACGCTCGGGTTGGACGCGGTCGCGGTCGCTTCCGACGCGGCGCCGCGCGCGAGCGGCGGCGACGGCGACTCGAAGAAGACCGGGGGCGCGTCCACGAGCGGCGGCGGCGGCGGGTGGTGGCCCTCGAAGAAGGACTCGGACTCGGACGCGGCCGCGGGCGCGGAGGGTCCCCTAGAAGACGTCGAGAAGACCCCGGACAAGATCGTCCGGGACCTCATCGGCGGCGTGCGGAACGTCACCGCGGGGAAGAAGACAAACGTCGCCGCGACGTCGGACGACGCGCCGGACGCGTACGACGACGACGCGCCGGAGGACGACGCGCGCGAGAAGATGAAGAAGAAGAAGGAGGAGGAGGACGACGACGACGACGACGACGATCGTGATACCTCGCGCGCTCGCCGCGCGAAGGACGACGACGCCCTGGGGCGGAAGCGCAACGTCACCGACGTCGACGTCGTGAAGCTCGCGGACGAGAAGGTCAAGGCGCTCGCGAAGAAGAAGAAGGACGCGGAGCGAGAGATGAGCGAGACGCTGCGGACGGTCACCGCCGAGGGCGTGGACGAGGACCGCGTGAAGAATCTCGCGGACGTCGTCGCGAATTTGCAGACTTCGAAGACGGCGACGACGGCGACGCTGAAGGAGGAGGCGCGCGCCACGGCGGCGGCGAAAAAACCGCCGGGGGACGCGGAGGTTGCCGACCTCCGCGCGGCGGCGAAGGACATCGCGCGGGAGGCGCACGATCTCGAGGACCGGCTGGGCGGGATCGATCGCGAGGAAGAGGAAGGGGGCGGCGAAATCGCGCCGCACCCTTGATCATTAGCTGATGAGTTTTAATAACACGACGCGTTCAGCGTTCGAAACGGACGTCCTCTCGGCGCGTCGGTCGCGCGTCGCCGTCACTATTTGTGTCGCTGCACCGACTCGTACGGCTCGTGGTCGCTCACCTCGATGTCCACGCCGAGCTTCTGCTTCAGCCGGTCCAGGCTCTTCTTGAACCGCGCGATGTCCGCGTCCGCGGGTATCTCCACGACCGCGTCCACGGTGAACAGGTCGTCGTCCCCGAACGGCGCCTTCTGCGTGTCCGTGTTTATGGCCTCGATGTTAATTCCCTCCTGCGCGAGCGAGCCCGCCATCTCGTGCAGGAGCCCGGGGTAGTCCGTCCCGTGCAGCACGATCCGCCGCCACCGGCCCGCCCCCGCGTCCAGGGTTTCGTCCGTGTGCCGCTTCGCCGTCGTCGCGCGGAGCGTCACCGTGAGCCCCGGGATCTCGTGCACGCGGCGTTCGAACGCGCGGCGCTGCTCGTCGGTGCTCTCGCCGAAGCACACGAGCATCATGATGTTGCTGTCGTCGCCGAGCCGCGTCGCGCGCGAGTTCTCGACGTTCCCGGCGCTCTCCAGGATGATCTTCGCGAGCTCGGACATGATCCCCGGGCGGTCCGGGCCGTACGCGGAGATGATGACGCGCGATTGGATCGCCCCCGCGGTGGACTGCCAGTGCCGCACGGCCGCGGGCGCGAGCGACGCGGGCGCGGCACAATTCACCATCATCGGGAGACGACGACGACGGTGATGATTTACGTCGTTCAGGACGCGCCCCCGCTCGAGCGTCGTCCGCGCGGCCGCGGGCGCCGCGCGCGGACCGCCCGGCGGGAGCCGCGACGCCGCGGCGGCGGACGCGACCGCGCGTCGGAGCGCGTCGAAGCACGTGCGGCGGGTCATCGCGCGCGAGGGTGTGTGCGCTCGCGCCTCGCTCGGGGAGCGGTGACTCGTCAAAAATAACGTCATTTCTGCGTCCTCGTCACACGCCGGCCGCGCCTCCTCCCCACGCGCTGCTCCGCAGTCCTCCCTCCTCCAGGTGCGAGGCGTCCCCCCACGTCTCACCTATCCGCCATCGCACGCGTCGCTCGCCGGCGGCGTCGTCCTCTCTGGGGACGTGCAGTCGAAGCACGCCGACGGCGCAGTTCTTGACGACGACGCGCCCGCGTCCGCGTCGCACGTCGTCGCGATCGTCGTCGTCGTCGAACCATTCGTCGTCCGCCTCGCATCGGTCCGATAGGACGTGAATCACCCCGCCGTGCGTCACGACGACGCCCCTCCCTCCGCCGCGTCCTCCTCCTTCCCCCGCCGCCGCCGCCCTCGCCCTCGCGCGCGCCCTCGCCTCGTCCTCGAACCACGGCACGACGCGGTCCAAGACGTCGTCGTAGGACTCGCCGCCGCCCGGGACGCGCGTCGCGTCGTCGCCGCCTCGCAGCGCTTTCCACGCCTTCGGGTCCCGCGCCGGCGCATCCGCTCGGCGAATCCCCTGCAGCGACCCCGCGTGCCGCTCCCTGAGCGCCGCGTGCGCGCGCACGGCCGACGACGACGACGACGCCGACGACGACGACGCGGCGATGACGGACGCGGTGTCCGCCGCGCGCCTTAGGTCGGACGAGTCGACCGAGTCGACGTGCCCCCAACGCACCCCGCGCGCGATCTCAGCCGCGGTGACGCGCGCTTGCGCGATCCCGAGCTCGTCCAGCGGCGCGTCCGCCTGGCCTTGGATCGTCCCGGACGCGTTCCACGTCGTCTGCCCGTGCCGGACGATCACGAACTCGACGACGTCGTGTCCCTCGCGCGCGCGCATAGCGCAGTGCCGACTCGTCAATCGATTGGTTCAGCTGTTTTGAATCTGTCAGATCCGCCGAGCAGCAGAATCCCTAGCGCGTCCTCGTCGCCCTTCCCGTCGGGCCCCGTTCGCGATGGGCGACGACGACGGCGGCGACCACATGAAGGACGCCGGGCTCGGCCTCCCCCCCGGCGTGAAGACGCGCGTCTTCCCGTCGCTCGAGCTCGAGAACGGCGCGGTCCTGCGCGACGTCGTCTGCGCGTACTCGACGTACGGCGAGCTGAGCGCGACGCGCGACAACGTCGTCGTCGTCGGGCACTCGCTGACGTCGAACAGTTGCGTGCACGAGTGGTGGGGCGAGATGCTCGGCGACGGCGCCCATTTCGCGATGAACACGCGCGAAGACTTCGTCGTGTGCGTCAACTACCTCGGATCCCCGTACGGCACCGCCTCCCCGATCACGATGAATCCCGCCACCCCGGGCCGTCCCTACGGCGCCGACTTCCCGACGCCTTGCACGATCCGCGACAACGTGCGGCTGCAGAAGATGCTCTTGGACGCGATGGGCGTCGCCGGGGTCAAGCTCGCGATCGGCGGGAGCATGGGATGCATGCTCGCGCTCGAGTGGGGCGCGTCGTACCCGTCGTTCGTGAGCGAGCTGTGTCTCATCGCCGGGTGCGGGCGGCACTCCGACTGGGCGACCGGGATCGGCGAGTGCGAGCGGTTCGCGATCATGGCGGACGGGCGGTGGAACGGCGGGGAGTACGACGCGAGGGATCCGCCGCTTGGTGGGCTCGCCGCGGCGCGGATGACCGCGATGCTGACGTACCGGTCGCCCGCGGGCGCGGATGAAAAGTTTGGCCGACGCGACGCGAGCGGAACCGACGCCAAGGGCACGCGCGACGCGACGAAAAACCAAGCGACGAAGCCGCCCGCGCATCCCGAGCTGGGGGTCGCGTCGCACTCGAACGAGAACGCGACGACCGCAAAATCGCTGCCGTTCACCGCGGTGGAGTCGTACCTGCAGTATCAGGGCCGGAAGTTCACGCGGAGGTTCGACGCCAACTGTTACGTCCAGCTGACGTATACGCTGGATTCGCACGACGTGTCGCGCGGGCGGGAGGGGTCGTACGAGGACGTCATGCGGGGGATCACGCAGCAGTCGATGGTCGTCGGGATCACGAGCGACGTGTTGTATCCGTTTCATCTCCAGCGAGAGATGGTACGGACGCTGCCGAACTCGAGGATGTTCGCCATCGATTCCGTCCACGGGCACGACGGGTTTCTGCTGGAGATCGACGGCTTAAACAAAGCCGTGCGCGCGTTCAGGGACGAAGGGGCGACGACGACGACGACGACGACGGGAGAAAATCTTCGCGGGAACGCCTTCGCGGACGACGCGAACCCGGACTACGATCGCGACCCGCTGCCGCCGGCGCCTTCGTACGGCGCCGTGAACGACGGGTTCGTGGCGGCGCTGCGGAGCGTCTGCGTCGAATTCGATCGCGACGGATTCAATCGCGTGCTGACGTCCGCCGCGGAGAAGAAACCGTACGCCGGGGACATGGGGCATCACCCGCGCGCGACGCCGGACGTCGTCGTGCTACCCAGCAGCACCGCGGAGACGGCGAAGATCGTGCGGCTGTGTTACGAGCGGCGCGTGCCCGTCGTCACGCGAGGCGCCGGGACGGGATTGGAGGGCGGGTGCGTGCCGTACGACGGCGGGCTCGTGTTGGACACGAGCCTTCTGAAGGCGCGTTCCGTTACAGTATCGCACTGGTTCCCATACGACCGCGTCGGCGTGGTGAACGCCGATCCTTAAGGACTTTTGCCGTCGTCTCTCTGCGCCCACCCCCCGCTTTCAATCCCCGCCCTCGATGCCTTTCAACTCCGACTGACGCCTTTCAACTCCATCTGACGCCCTCCCCGCGAGCCTTCTGAAGACGACGCGAATGGTTCCCGGGGAGCAGCTCGCGGTCGTCGGCGCGGGCGTCCTGAAGAACGAGCTCGACGCGTTCTTGAAGCCGCACGGGCTGCTTTTCGGGCCGGACCCGAGCTCGAACCCGAGCATCGGCGGGATGGCGTCCACCGGAGGGAGCGGGATGAGCACGCTCAAGTACGGCACGTCCAAGGAAAACGTCCGGTCGATGACGGTGGTCACCCCGAGCGGCCGAGTGATTCAAACGCGACGCGCGGTTCGCAAGAGCAGCACCGGGTACGAGCTCAACGCGCTGTATTTAGGCGCGGAAGGGACGCTGGGTGTGATCACCGAGCTCACGGTGCGACTGTTTCCGCGCCCGACGGTGCGGTGCGGCGCGGTGGCGACGTTTCCAGACGTGGCGAGCGCGGCGAAAACCGTCGTGGACGCCGTCGGCGCCAACTTGCAGACGTTGCTTCGGTGCGAGCTCATGAACGACGAGGGGATCGAGTGCACGAACGTGGTGTTCAAGACGACGCTCGCGAGAGCGCCGACGCTCTTTTTGGAGTTTGTCGGGAACGACAGGGAGGCGGCGGAGAAGGACTGGCGCGCGATGGCTGAGATGGCGAAAAAAAATCACGCGACGAAACTCGACTTCGCCGCCGACGGCGAGGCGCTGGACGAGCTCTGGGACGCGCGGCGCGGGTGCTACCTCGGCGCGATGCGATACCGGGGCATAAAGGAAGGAAATCCCAAGAAGAAAGAGCACGTCTACGTCGGCGACGTGTGCGTCCCCACGTCCAAACTCGCCGCGTGCGTGTCCGAGACGGAGGCGGATTTCAAAGCCGCCGGCTTTCCGTGCGTCATGTGCGCGCACATCAGCGACGGGAACTTCCACTGCTTGATCCCGTACGCGCCGGAGGAGGAGGCGAAGCTGATGAAATTGAACGATAAGGTGATCGCGCGCGCGATCGCGTACGGCGGCGCCGCGAGCGGCGAGCACGGCGTCGGGATCGGGAAGATGAAGCACGTGCTGTGGGAGCACGGGCCGTTTCACGTGGACGCGCAGCGGCGGATCAAGCGCGCGTTGGACCCGAGGATGATCATGAACCCGGGGAAGATATTCGCGGCGGAGCCCACGGAGGAGGAGAGGGCGGCCCGGCGACGGCACATGGTGGGGGGTGGGACCGGGAGTAAGTTATGATTATTATTATTATTATGAATGACGACGCGAGACCAAACCCCGAACGAACGACGAGTGATAATTTCGTCCCAGCAGTTTCATCCGCACTGCACACGTCGGCTACCTTCGAAGGTACACGTACAAAGTTGACATCATCTTGACGTCACGCGCCCCTTCGCCGCCTCGCGCGCCAGATCGCGGACGCACCGATCCGATCATGCAGGCGCTCCTACGCAACGGCGGCGCGCGCGCGCTCGCGAACGCGGGCCGCGGCGCGTTCGCGCCCGCGGGGACGTCCGCGTCTTCGCTCATCGCCCCCACCGCGGGGACGCTCGGATCCCCGCGATGGATCGGGGACACGGGCGTGCCGGAGAATTACGGTCAGTGGAAGGACGGAGGCCCGGGGACGGGGTTCTTGGGGACGCCGAAGAACCATCGCGAGGTGCGCGCGGCGCGCGATTCTTCTCTCTCTCTCTCTCTCTCTCTCTCTCTCTCTCTCTCTTTTCGCGTCCACCGCGACGGCGCCGCGCGCGCCCTCGCGCGCGATCGCTCCCTCGAGCGACCAGAAATAAATATCTCCCCCGTCCCGTCGCGTGTTACCCTAAATCGGCGCGTCGTCGTCGTCGTCGTCCCGCGCGTCCGCCCTCCCTCCCATCGCGATCGCGACGCGTTTAAACTGACGCGCCATCGCCCCCCCCCACCCACCCCCGCCGCGTCGCGTCCCCGCTCAGCTCCTGGAGAAGCGACCGATGAGCCCGGACGTGTTGGACATCGACGGCGAGCGCGTGCACTACAAGTTTCCCGCGGTGGCGCTGTCGTCCATCACGAATCGCGTCACCGGGTGCGTCCTCAGCGGCGGCGTCGCGTTCGGCGGCGTGCTTTCTTTCGTCGGCGGGCCGGAGACCTTGCCCGCGTTCGTGGAAGGGTTCAAATCCTGGCTGCCGTTCATGGTGTACCCGACGAAGCTCGCGTTTGGGTTTCCGTTTGTCTATCACACGCTCGGGGGATTCCGTCACCTGTACTGGGATAAGACCACCGAGGGGATCGATAACCAGAGCGCGAAAGCGAGCTCGATCGCGCTGTTCGCCGCGTCCGGGGGGATCAGCGCGATGATCGCGGGGTGGACGTTCTGATTCGCGGACCGAGGCGGAGGCGCGCCGAAGAGAGGCGGTGGCTTTTGTAAAACAAAAAAATTCTTTGCGTTCTTCTGTTCGGTCGCGACGAGCCGCGACCGAACCCTGAACTTTGGACCTTTCGCAAAGTTTGGACCTTTCGCAAAGTTGGATCGGCCCGAGGACACTGAGTCAGCCAACCACGACTGTCGTCCGCTCGGACGGCGCGGCGGCGGTCACTCCGCTAACGCGGAGCGCGCGCCCCCGCCCCCGGCACCCACGTCCCCCGTCGAGACGCACGATGCGCAGAGCGTTCGAGCACGCCGCGCGCGCGATGGACCCTCGCGCGCGTTCTCACCCCGCGGTCTCCGGCGGCGCCGGCGGCGGCGGCGGGAGGGTTCCGCTCCCAGCCAAACGGGGAAGCGACGACGACGACGACGACGACGACGGCGACGACGACGACGACGACCGCCGTCGCGCGACCGCCGCGCGCGCGCCGCGAGACGCGCGTCGACCGCGTCGAGACGTCATCGACGCGACCAAGAAGCGCGCGCGCGCGCGCTCGCGCTCGCCGCCGCGTCGCGACCGCGTCGTCGTCGACGACGACGACGCGGGGACGCGGGGAAACGACCCGGACCCCGCGCCGTGCGAACCCGCGCTAGCGCCGCGCCCGGGCGCGCGTCCCGCGGACGCGCGCGCGCGCGCGACGCGACCGCCGCGGCACGACGAGCGATCCGCGATCGATCGAGACGTCGACGCGAGCGCGACGCTCGCGATGGCGCGCGACGATCGCGCCGCGCGGCGCCGCGCCGCGCGCGCGGAGCCGGACGTTCGAAACAACGAAGCCGTCGCGCGCGCGAAATCTGAGACGTTCAAACGACGCGACCGCGGCGCTCGCCCGCGGGCGGCCTCGCCGTCGCTCGATAACAGAGCGCGGTCGTGCGACGACGCGCTCGCGCCGTTCGACGCCGCGCCGCGCGAGCACGACGCGCGCGAGCGCGAGCGCGTCGCGCGGCCGAGCGCGCGCTCGGACGCGCGCGGAGCCGCCGCCGAGGCCTCGCCGTCGAGAAAGCGACGCGCGCTCCCCGCCGCCAAATCCAAAAAAGCCGCCGGCGCGGACGCGGACGTCGCGTCCATGTCCATCGACTCCGCGGACATGCGGAACGCGATCGTGGGGGGGGGTGATCCGAGATGGTGTTGTCTCTCTCCTCCGCTCGCGCTGACGCCCGTGGCGACTGACTTCGCGTCGCTTTTGAGCCTTCTGGAGGTCGAACCCGCGCGAGACGACGGCGAAAATACCAAAAATCAGCCCGAGCCCGAACCCCCGCCCGAGGCGCTCTTCCCGCGATCGGACTCGCTCAGGTCGATCAACTCGGGCTCGTCCGTGGGGTCGATCGTACCGATCGACGACCTCATCGCGCGGAGCGTGGACGACGGGATGACGCGTCGCGGCGAAGACGACCTTCGCTCGCGCTCGAGCCTAAGCCTGGACGCGCTCTGGTCTTGCGGCGGCGGCGCCGCGACGCTCGACGCGGACGCGTGGTACACGACCGCGGGGAGGAAGATCGCCGCGCCCGCGTTCAACCCGTCCACGCCGATCAATCGACGCGCGATGTTCACCGGGGCGTCGAACGCGCTGCCGAGCGCGGCGGAGGTGATGCGGACGTTGCGGTGTCTGGACGAAGCGCAGCGCTCTTACGGCGTCGTCGCGTGGTGAACGTCGAGACCGACCGACCGGGGGGGGGGGGGAGGACGACGACGTGGACGGGAGCAGGGACGGACGGACGGACGGACGGACGGGATCGGTCGCGCGCGCGAAATTACGTTTGCGCGCGTGCGATAATACGTACGACTGAAGAACGGAGAGGGACGAACGAAGGGGACCTTGACAACAAACAACATGTGGCCCTGCAACAACACAGCCCCTTTGGTTTTTGTTTTGTGTTTTTGTTGTTTTGACGTACGTGTACGCGGGGCCGCTTTGGGTAGACGAGCGCCGCGGCCCCTGAAAAACGGTCGACGTAGTGTACGTGTACTGCGTGTACCGGCTATCGTGTTGGAACGTTTTGAGACTGTGAGATGTGAGATGTGAGTGGAGAAGTAGCTCAAGCCCATCGCTTGTTGCGGTTTTATTATCACCAAGAAGGTTGCCAAAAAGACTGGGACGATCTCGCGCCACTCTCGCGCGCGATCAGATTGGCTCGAAGATATTTCGCGCTGACTTGGCTTGCTGCTTGTTGACATCCGCGCGCGACGACGCGCCACTCCGCGTCGCGCATCGCATCATGCTCGCGTCGCTCGCGTCCACCCTCCCGCGAACGCCCACGGCATCGCCGCGCGCGGTGGCGCGCGACGCCGCGCGCGACCGCCGCGTCGTCCGCGTCGTCGCCTCCGCGTCGAGCGCGAGCGCCGACTCCGATCGCGATCGCGCCGCGTCCCCGCGCGTCGTCGTCCTCACCCGACGCGGGCTCGCGGCGTCGCTCGCGGCGCTCGCGCTGACCGCGTCGTCGCCCTCGGACGCGACCGCGGCGACGAAGTTCCGCGCGCGTTCCGACGCCAGCCTTCCCGGCGCGGCGAACGAGCTCGCGCAGCTCTCGGAGGCGAACCTGCGGTACAAGGACTCGACCCTGGACCTCATCGCGGAGACCGCGGCGATCGTGGACGGCTCGAGCGCGGACGTCGACGCGTGGCTCCGACGCGCGTCCGAGTGGAACGCCACGGCGAAAGACTCGTACTCCCCCAAGACGCAGGGCCGGAGTTTCTTGATGACCACGAAGCTCGTGTCGTACGTCAGGAACACGCTCGCGACGGCGCAGTTCCAGCCCGTGGACGCGACGAACCCGCCGTTCGACGTCGAGAAGACGAGGGAGTGGATCGCGTTCGCGGAAGGGTTCACGACGGGCGCGCTCGCGGGGGACGAAGCGCGCGCCGCGTTCGCGAGGGCGACGTGGGGGAACTACGACAAGTCCGCGCCGCTGAATCGGTTCGGTCTGTGCGCGTTCGGGGAGACGGGCGGGACGAGAGCCCTGGGGGTGAACTGCGACGGGTACTGACGGACGACGGGAGCGGTCGCGTTCGGTGAAAGGTTTCGTGGCAATCAACAACAGAATGGCAATCAACTTCATCAACGTAAATAATAACGACGTGCTTCGCGCGCGCTGCGACTAGTACGAGCTACTTCCTCGGCGCGCCGCGCACGCTCGCGGCGAGCGCTTCCACGGCCTGGGTCGCGCCCGGCACAGGGAGCAGCCCGAACGGCGCGGGGAAATTCTTCAAGTCCTCGCGCGTTCGCTCCGCGAGCCTCTCGCCGAGCTTCCGCGCGAACTGATCCCCCATCCTCGCCACGCCCGGCGCCACCGTCGGACCGAGTTCGGTCACCGCGTCGTACGCGCGTCGGATCTCCTCCGGCGAGAGCGCGATGCCGCCCTGGCCGCGCATTTCTCCGCCCCCGCTGGCGAACCCGCCGTTGAACCCGGACGCGCCCGCGACGGACCACAGACCCGTTAGGGCGCCGTTCGCCGCGGCGGCGCGCGCGTCGGCGCGACCGAGCCTGTTCGCGAGGTCGGGCGCGACGAGCGTCGCGATCGACCGCAAAAGAGCGAGGTTCGCCTTGTCGTCGCGCGTGAGCTTGATCGCGTCGTCGTTCGAGCGCGCGATCAAAGACAGCACGATCGGGAGGTTGACCCCGGGGGTGAGCGCGAGCGGCGGCGCGAGGAGGCCGAGCGCGGCGAACGCGGGCGCGGACGACGCGAGCCCGGACCACGCCGTCGTCGCCGCGTTTCGAGTCACCGCGTCCGCGGCTCTGACCGCCTCCTCGACGAGAATCTCCTGGAGGTAGTTGCCCTCCGCGCTGAAGATGAGTCCGAGCGCGTCTCGCGTCGCGGCGTCCACCTCGGCTTTCGATTTCCCGCCGCCCGTCGCGGCATTTGCGGCGTTCGCGGCGGCCGCGTTGCCAGCTTTCGCCCTGAGCGCCGCCGCCGCCGCCGCCGCGACGTCCTCCGTCTCCCCCATGTTGTTCGTGAACTCGCTGAACCCGCCCGCGATGTCCCTCACGCGCGAGATCTTCAGGCGATCGCCGCCGCCGTACACGAAGCTTCGAAGCGCCGCGCGCATCCGCGGCGAGTCGTCCGCGAGCATCCGACGCGCGACGTACGGGAAGCACTCGTCCACGATGGCGTAGTTCTCGTCCACGCTGAGGCCTAACCCTTCCAGGGTGCCGAACGCGCGAAGGATCAAGACGAAATACGGCGGGAGCTGCAGCGGGTACAGCTTCGCCATCTCCTCGAGCTTGTCTGACAGCTCGCCGACGCGAGACGCGCTCTGCGCGTTGAGCGCGTCTGTCTTTTTCGTGATGCCGCCGCCGCTGCCGTATAACGTCTCCAGAGTCTCCGCGAGCACCGGGACGACGATCGCGCGGTTCACCGGGTCGTTCGCGAGCTCTTTGGGGACGAACCCGAGGTTCACGAGGTCGCCGAGGGTTTTGTCGTAATCCCTCGCGCTCAGATGCGCGATGTACTCGATGAACGCGATCCGCTGTTCCGGCTCGATCGTCGTCATCATCCCGTAATCGAGAATGCACAGCCTCCCGTCCGGCATGAGCATGAAGTTCCCCGGGTGCGGATCCGCGTGAAGAAACCCCGTCTCCAAGAACTGCACCATGTACGCGTTCAGCAGCGTCTGCACGAGCTTCGCGCGCAGCGGCCCGGTGCTCGGATCGGACGTGATCTCCGTGAGCTTTTTCCCGTCGACCCACTCCTGCGCGAGGACGCGGCGCCCGCTGACGCCGCGATAGACGTGCGGGACTTTCACCGCGCCTCGCACGACCTCGACGCTCGCCATGTCCGCCTCGAACCGAGACGCGTTCGACGCCTCTAACGTGTAATCCAGCTCCTCGAGGAATCGCTCCGCGGCGACGTCGAGGACGGGGATGAACCCCTTCGCGGACGTCGCGATCTGCGCCAAGACGTCGTTCCCGCCCGTCGGGATCGCCGCCTGCGTGGGTGAAGCGATCGGTCAGTCGAACGTCTTACCGGTCAAACGTTGAACGGGAAGCGCGGGTGAAGAGTGACGACGGGAAAAGTCCTCAAGGAACGGCGTGCACCACGCGAACGGGGTCGTATGGGAGGCAGTCTCACCGCCGCCTCCAACGCGGACCGAATCACGATGAGGTCGAGCGTCACGACCTCGAGGATCCGCGGCCGCTGCACCTTCACCGCGACGTCGCCGCCCCACGTCTCGAACTCGCTCGCGTCGACCCCCGGCGCGCTCTCGCGCAGCTTAGCCTTATACACCTGTCCGATGGACGCCGCCGCGACGGGCGCGTCGAACGCGCCGACGTCTTCGAACACGTCCTCGAGGTCCAGCCCGCCCAACTGCGCCCTCACGAGCGCGCGCGCTTCCTCGCTCGAGAACGGCGCGACCTGGTCCAGGAGCTCCTGCAGCGCATCGAGGTACGCCTTCGGGAGGAGGTCCGGCCGGATCGCCACCGCCTGCCCCACTTTCACGAACGCGGGCCCCTGCGACGCGATGAGATCGCGAAGCGCCGCCGCGCGTCTCGGCGCGTTCCGCTCCACCGTCTCCGCGCCGGACGCGAGGTCGCCGAGGAACCCCGCGAGCCACGTCGCGAGCTTCGCGACGAGCGACGACGTGCGCGACAGCGACGTGAGCGGCCGCGCGCTCCAGTACGCGCGGATCGCGGGGACGTCGTACGTCGTCGGAAGTCCCTCCGGGACGCCGTCCGCGCGCGACGTCGATGATCCCGTCCCCGTCCCCGTCCCCGTCCCCGTCCCCGCGCCGGCGACGCGCGCGGTCGCGAGCGCGACGCCCGCGGCGACCGCGCCCGCGAGCGCGCCCGCGAGCGCGGGGTGCGCGCTCGCGAGGTCCGCGAGCGACGCGTCGAGCTGCCGCGCGGTCGATGACACGTCGACGTCGACGTCGGACGACACGGCGCCGGCGAGCGACGCCGTCAGCGCGTCGCGCGCGTCCGCGATCGCGTCGAGCGCGACGGCGGAGGCGCTCGCGAGCGCGCCGATCGCGCCGACGGCGTCGTCCGCCGCGGCCGCGCGCGTCGTCGTCGTCGTCGTCGTCGTCGCGCGCCGCGCGCGTCGTGCGCGATCGGCACCGACGCGTCGATCGATGCTGATGCCGGTTCCGACGCGACGAACCGACGCGCGCGGCGCGGACGCGGACGCGCGCGCGGACGCGGCGCATTGCGACGCCATGGGTCTGCGGAGTAATGCGGCGCGCGCGCGGCCGTGAGCGAGGTTTGATGCCGTCGATGCCTTCCGCGCGTCGCGGCGAGTGCGTCGAGACGAGACGCGCGCGAGCGACGACGTCACAGTCGCCGCGCCGGTTGGGGGTCGAGCGTAGCCGCGCCCGAACTGAACGGTTGACGCGCGCGGTGTGCTCCACGTCATCATGCACGCCGACGTTCGTGTGCGCAAACAGTTCGGAGTACGAACGACGCGTACTGTACTAGTCGGTCGGTCGGTTGACTTCGATACCAAACACGTGAGATCTAGCTAGCTAGACGTGACACACAACGAACTGTGGCCCTTGACCCTATGTTCTTTTTCTGTTCGGACAAAAGACGGCCGCCGCGGCCGCACTCGCGCTCGCGCGCGCGCTCGGCGGGTGGCTCGGTGGCGCGCGGCGAGGGCATCGGCATCGCGCGGAGCGTCCGCGCGCGGGGCGGCGGCGGGATCGGGGATCGCGCGCGGAGGGGATCGACGAAAGGCGCCGCGTCTCGAAAGATCGATTCGGAGCGGGCGAGATGGGGCAGTGCCAGAGCGTATGCACGAGCAAGACCGCGCCGGGGTCGCCGCGCGAGAAGGACGACCGAGGCCTCGAGCCGTCCTCGAGCGGCGCCGGGGGCGGGAAGAACCCGGCGTCGGTCTTGAACCTAGGGAAAGAGGCGGAGATGTACTTCGCGAAGGGCGGGAAGGTGTGGTATCAGAAGGTGCGCGAAGGGACGCGACCGCGGCGCCGCGGCCGATTCTTCTTCTTCTTCGCAAGCGACGCGACGCGTCGTCCGCCGCTTCCCCCCCCGCGCGCTCGATATCGTCCCCGCCCCCAGCCTCGCGCGCGTTCTTCGAACCCTCTCTCCCGCGACCATCGACCGACGACCGCGCGTCCCCGCCCTCCCCCTCGCTCTCGCGTTCTCGCAGTGCCCGACGACGCCCGCGGACGCCGCGGACGAGACGGCGGTGGAGGAGGAGAAGCTGAACATCAAATCCAGCGACGGCGTCGTGCTCCGCGCGATCTTGGCGCGGCCGGCGACCCCCAGCTCGCCCAACGCGTCTCTGGACGGCGTCGCCGTGGTGATGTGCCACCCGCACCCGTTCATCGGGGGCGGGATGCACAACCCGCTGATGGTCAACGTATCGCGTCGACTCGCTGCGGCGGGGACGACGACGTTGCGATTCGATTTCAGAGGCGTCGGCGCGTCCACGGGAAAGCGGACGTGGATGCGCCAGGGCGAGCAGGACGACGTCCTCGCGTGCGCGAGGTATCTCACGCGTCTGCAGGGCGTCGACCCGACGCGCGTGTACGTCGCGGGGTACTCCTTCGGCGCGAGCGTCGCGCTCGGCGCGTTGGACCAAGAGCGAAGCGATCACGTCGCCGGGTTCGTCGGCATATCGTACCCGTTCGGCGTCAAGGCGATGCTCATCCCCGGCGGGGGGAAGTGCCGAAGCGAGAAGCCGAAGCTGTTCTTGGTCGCGAGCGGGGACGTGATGTGTAAGGACGGGGAGAAGGGCGCGGAGGCGGAGATCGCGACGCTGCCGAAGCCGACGGAGACGGTGCGCGTTGACACCGGGCACGGGTGGAGCGGGAGACACGCCGCGGTGGCGCGGATCATCTTGGAGTGGCTCGAGAGCGTCCGCGGTGGGGGCGGGGGCGGGGGCAAGGGCTCGAACGAGGGGTCCAGCTCGGAGGGGTCCACCCCGGGCGGGTCTAGGAACAACAGCGCGAAGTCGCTGAAGCTCCGAGCCGGAGGCAGCGGGAACCTGAGGAGCGAGAGCAAGCGGAGCGTCCTGAGCGAAGGCAGCGGCGACAAGAGCAGCGACACCCCCGGAGATTCGCCCCCGAGCGGCCGCGCGAGCTCGAACGGCGGCAGCCAGCGAGAGTCGTTCGCGTCGGCGTCGCGCGCGTCCGCGGGGGACGGGAGACGCGCGACGGGGGGGGCGTTTCGACAAGACACGCCGCACGCGAGGATATTCGGCAACCTCTCTCCACTCAACTCTCGGTCGTCGTCGTTCAGCAACCTCAGCGATTTGGACGAGCGAGGTAACGGCGACGACGGCGGCGAGAGAAGAAACTCGACGGACTCGCCGCCGTTAGGGAGGAACTCGGTCGCGTTCTCGGAGCGACTCGAGCGGCCCTCCTCGACGGGCGGCGGCATGCAACGCGTCCCCTCGAAGTCGATCCTCAAGAAGCAGAGCAGCTTCTGGTCGCTGAGCGGGCTGCCGCAGTCGTCGTTGGACGGCAGCTCGAGCCCTCAGGGCGCCCCGAGCAGCGACGTCGACGGCGGCTCGCCGTCCATCTTACGCTTGTTCGGCAACAACAAGACCGGGAACCACCAGCTGTTTCGAAGAGCCGCGCACGCGGTGCTCGTCGCGAATCGATTCAAAGCGGCGGGGGAGAAGCGCGTGTCGTGGGCGAACAAAACCGCGGAGGGGGCGCCGATCACGAACGACCGGTCCGGGAAGCCGACGCGGCGAAGATTCAGGTCCGCGGCGACCGCGGTGATCGCGTCGAACCGATTCGACCACGTGGGGCATCACGACGGACGGTACGAGTCCAGAGGTTCGTTCGCGAGGCGCGTCGGGCAGCAAGAGCAGCAGGGCCCCGGTCCCGCGCTCGGCGGCGTCGCGTCGAAGTACCGCGCGCAGTCGCACCCGGGAGGGGTGAACGGGTCCCCACACGCGTCGATGCTGTCGCTGAACGAGCTGGGGCACGGCGGCTCCGACGGCGGCTCGGACGAGTCGCGACGGAGCAGCCGGCACTCGACGCCGAGCCCGGGAGCGCGAGCGGAGGGGGGACGCGAGAGAGTCGCGCCTCGTCGGTTCAAGAGCGCCGGGAACCTGGTCGTCGCGGCGAACCGATTCTCGGCGGCGCCGAAGACGAGGACGTCGCGGATGGAGGTGAGGACCGCGGACAGCGGGTTCGGGCGCGACAGCGTCGCGCGCGACGACAGGTACAGATAGACGCGCCGTCGTCGAGCTATTTTTTGTCATTCATTCTTTTCGCCTGAACGAGCTCGCGCTACGGCGCCGGCGGCGGCGCGACGCGCTCTTCCTCCGGGATGATCCTCCAGTTCGGCGACTGCTGCTGCTTGATCCACCCGAAGTCGTCCACCTCTCGCCACGTCCCCGGGTCGGGCTCCATGCCCGCGCGCGCCAACGCGTCCTCTGACCCGTCGTACGAAAACGTAAACGGCGCGAACCCGACGCCGGTGCTGTGCTCGATGATCGGCCGCGACTTGGTGCGCAGGTAAAACGCCGTCCCGTTCCTCGCGTCGTGTATGCGCATCTGTCGCGTCGCGATCTCGAGGTGGCACCCGTCGAGCCCTTGCGCGTGGACGCTGCCTTCCACCGGACCGCCGTAGACGCGCACGTTTTTTAAATTATGGCACCGCAACGCTCGAACGGCGCCGAGAATGAACACGGTGACGTCCGTCAGGTTCACGAGGACGTAGTCCCCCGCCCCGGTGCCGTTCGCCTCGCGGAGCTCGCTCGCGGTGACGACGCACGTCTCCCCGGTGAGGTCGCGCAGCCCGGGGCCGTCGTCCGCGGCGGCGGTCAACGCGGCTAATTTCGCCGCCGCGGACGCCGCCGCCGCCGAGTCGCCGCGCGCGTTCGCCTTCGCGCGCTCGACGTCGCGCTCGACCTCGCCGACCTCCTTCTCCCTCTCTCCCCCCTCCACCTCCTTCGCCTTCTCCTTCTTCTTCCGCGACGAGAACGAGAACTTCTTCTTCGGAAGCAGCGTCGCCTGCGTCGACTGCACGACGCCCTTCGTCGTCTCCGTCGCCGCCGCGCACGCGCGCGCGTCGTACGGCGGAAGGAAGTACGACGCCTCCGCGACGGACTTCTCCATCTCGAGCGCATCTTTAAGAAGCGCGTCGAGCGTCTCGCGCGTGGCGTCCGCGCCCGCGTCGGGGTGCGCCGCCGTCGCGGCGTCGACCGCGGCGAGGACGGCGACGCGGCGATCTTCGAACGCGCGGAGGAACGCGTCGACGTTCTCGCGCGGGTCCGCCGCGCGCTCCGCCTCCGCCCTGCGCGCGTCCGCGTCCGCTCGGCGCGCTTCGTCCTTCGCGGTCAGTCGGTCCTGCGCGCGGAGGGCGGGGCGGGGCGCGCGCGGGCGAGGAGGGGAAGAGGGGACGACGTCAGCGCGCGTCGGACGGACGGGTGCCCACAGATCTCGAGACGCGGACGCGCGATCGCGCGGGGCCGGGCGAGACGACGACGACGACGACGACGACGACGCGCGCGCGCACCATCAGCTGCGAGCGCTTCGCCTCCATCTTCCCTTCCTCACCGGGCGCGTCGGTCGTCTCGGACGTCATCTCGCCGGCGTGCGCGGAGGAGGACGCGCGCGAGGGAACTGGAGGTGACGAGAACGAGTCGTTGACTCTCGCCCGACCGCTACCGAACCGAAAAGAAGTAACAACTTACGAAGGTACTCGCAAGGCGAGCACCTTCAGTCGTGGCAGTTCTCGTCGTCGTCTACGCTATCATAAGTAGTCTACCGCAGCTCCTAACGCGCCGCGCTATCCCGCCGTCGCCCCGATCAGTCCGCGGAGTGCTGCCTGCACTTCCCAACACCCGGACCGAAGTGCGCCGCCGTCTCCGCGCCCCTTCGCACCGTCTTCCTGCAGAGGTGACAGTACCGCTGTCCGCACGACCAGCACCGAATGTGGTTGTTGTTCGCGAGCTTGTAACACATCTGTCGACACGACGGGCAGTTCGACGCCGCGATCACGTCCCCGGCGACGTACGCGTCCCTCTGCCGTCCCTCCGCGTTCAGACGCGCGGCGTTCATCTCGCGTTCCCACGCCGCGACGGCGTCGAGGTCGAACAACGCGCACTTCCCGCCGTCTCTGAAGTGCTCGTATCCGTCCACGGCGTCGCCGCACTTGTAACAGAAGCGCGTCTCGCAGTTCCCGCACGTCATCTTGTTGCAGCCCTCGGATTTCACGACGCCGAACCCGCAGTTCGGGCAGCGTTGGCCTTCTTTCTCGACGTACCGAAGCGCCATGGCGTCCGCGAGTTGCTCTCGGTGTTTCCGCCGCGCGTCCTCGCCGAGCGCGGCCATCGCCCCGGAGCCGCCTCTCGAGCGCAGCACCTCCAACTTTCGCTCGGGCGTGAGGCAGCTCTCCCCGGGGTGCCAACTTTCGCGGCACAACCCGCAGAACGTGTACTCGCAGCCGAGGCATCGACCGCAGTGGTCGTCGCCGTCCTCGATGACGACGCGTTCGCATCGCGGGCACCGCGACGCGTCCGGCATCGCGGCGAGCGACCTCTCCAGCGCGATCGTCTCGTACCGTTCGTACAGCTCGTCGCTCAGGAAGCGCCGCAGAACGTGCGGTGGGATCGACGCGCCGCACGCCGGGCACACCAGCGACGCGATGCTCCCCTCGACGACGTGCGTCCTCGCGATGGTCGCGACGCACGACGCGCAAAAAAAGTGCGCGCACGCGCCGGGGGCGACGCGCGCCGTGTCCGACCCCGCGACGTCGTCGAAGCACACGTCGCAGCGAACGACCGCGCGCGCGAACCGCCGCGCGCGCTCGGTCGCGTCGTGGCGCATGATCGCCAGCGCGGCGTCGTCGACGCCGCGCGACGTCGGGATCCCGCGGGGGGGCGGGGGCGATCCCGCTGCGTCCGCGCTCGCGGTCGCGCCGCCGCCGCCGCCGCCGTCGTCGCCGTCGCCGTCGCCGCCGCCGTCGCCGTCGTCCGCCTCCCCCGCCCAACCGTCCGACGCGCGCAGACGAAGCCTGCCGTCGACGCAGAACACCTCGCGCGCGCTCTCGTCCTTCAGCCACGCCGCCAACTCGAACGCGATGACGTCGCCGGCGTTTCGCGCGCACACGTCGTCCAACGCGTCCGCCGCGCGCGTCAGCGCCGCGCGCGAGAGCCACGACGCGCTGAGCGCGAACGCAGGCGGGGAGACGCTCGGGTAGTCGCTCGGGAGGATCACGCTGAGGGTGACGGGCGGCAGGGAGACGATCTCGACGCCGCCGCCGCCGTCGTCGTCGTCGTCGTCGTCGCGACGAGAAACGACGAGTCGCGCGCGCGCGTCCGCGTCGTCCTCGCCCTCGCCCAGCTCCGGCCGCACGCGTAGGTCGAACCGAAACAGCCCGACGACGTCTTCCAGCGCGTCGCGCGCGGCGGCGTCCGCGGCGGGTCCGAGGAGGTCGCCGTCTTCGCCGAAGATGGCGCGCAGCGCAACGATCTCGTCCACCCGCGCGGCGCGGTCGTCGTCGCTCGACCGCGCGGCGACGGCGGCGGCGACGGCGGCGTCGTCGTCGGCGTCGTCGTCGGCGGCGTCGTCGTCGCGCGCGCGTGGGAGGCGCGAGAGCAGCGCGAGCTCGCGCTCGAGCTCCCACGACCGCGCGGGCATCGATCGGTTCTCGCGGTTCGCCGCCTCGAGTCTTCTTCCGTCGGTCCGTCCAGTCAGTCGCGCTTGTCGTCGTCGCGTCGCGCTCGGTGCGAGAGCATGACCTGGCCCAGGAAGCACGCCACCGCGGCGAGGAGGACGACGCCGGCGTAGACGGGAACGAGCACCGCGTACGCGCGATCCGGGAACGCGCGAAGGACCTGCGAGGGGAGGGGGAGCGCGAGTGAGACGAGAGCGAGAACGCCGGCACCGCGAGATCCGGCGAGACGAAACGCGGACGCCGCGCACCGCGTGCCCGGGCTCGATGAACGGCGTGACGAGGACCCAGACGGTGTAATACGCGAAGAGCGCGGTGGACCCGAGGAAGATGAGAAGCCCGGCGGACGCGTCGTTCATCCGAAGCGCGGGCTGGCGTCGCCGCGCGCGCCTCTGTGCTCTTTGTCGCGGACTTTCCCTCCGGTACTGTACGTTTAAAGTGCCGCCGCGTCAGCATAAAAATAGGTAAAAATGTTATCAGCATAAAACCTGCGCCCTTCGGATAACGCAATAACAGAAGCAGGCATAAAAAACACGTTTTTGGCCAGTTGGCGTTCGCCGCGAAGGGATCCCCGCACACCCCCTATCGCGGGGATTTTGTTAACGCATAAAGCAGGCATAAAAAACACGTTTTTGGCCAGGTGGCGTTCGCCGCGCGCGGATCCCCGCACACCCCCTGTCGCGGGGAGGGTGCGTTATCATGCGCCCGAACGAGGGCGCGGACGAGGAGATCAAAGACAGCTCGAAATTTAAGGTCGTGTGGACGCCAGAGGTGCGGTTCGTCGCGATCTCGTCGCGCCTCGTTCGCGCGTGTGCTGAGCCATCATCCTTTTCCGACCTCGCCAACTCCCTCCCCGCCGCGCGAATCTCGGCGGCCGAGGCCACCGCCTCGCGTTCTTCCGCCTCCTTCCGCGCGGCGCGCGGCGTCGATCTTTCTCGAGCGACGCGTCCTCGTCGCCTCCCACCCCCATCGCGCGCTCACCCTCGCGATCGCGACTGCGACTGATCTGCGCGCAGGAGGACGCGCGTCTGACCGCGCTCGTCGAAGCCCACGGCCCGAGGAACTGGTCGTTCATCGCGCGAGGGCTGAAAGATCGCTCGTCGCAGAGCTGCAGACTGCGATGGTGCAACCAGTTAAACCCCGCGCTGAGACGCGATACCTTTACCCCCGCGGAGGAGCGGACGCTGCTCGCGGCGTACAAGAAGTTGGGCAATCGCTGGGCCGCCATCGCGAAGGTCTTGCCGGGTCGGACGGACAACGCGGTGAAGAATCACCTCAACTCTAAACTCCGCAGGAACGGCGCTCTGAAGCTGAAGGGCGACGGGGACGGGGACGCCGCGGCCGCCGCCGGCGGCGCCGGCGGCGCGCTGGGAGACGTCGCCGCCGCCGCCGCGAACGCCGCGGGCGAGGACGCGGAGACGAAGGAGGCGCTCTCGGCGAAGCGACGCTCGGAGCTCGACCTCGCGGCGTGGGAGTACGAGACGAAGAAAGGCCAAGACCCGAACAAGGTGCCGACCGAGGAAGAGGACAAGGCGAGAGTCATCGAGGAGTACACGGAGTACATACGCATCAAGCGGAGTCGGAGGCCGGAGGAGCAAGGCGAGGGCGCGTTCGCGGACGCCGCGCCGCCGCCGCTGCCGCTGCCGCGACCCGCTCCGGCGCGGCGGACGACGCCGGCGCAGCAACCCCAGGCACCACTGAGCGCGCGCGATATCATGGCGATGATCAGCGCGTCGCAGGCTGGCGTCGGTGCGGGACAACAAAACGTAAACGTCGGCGGGTTGTTAGCCGGCATCGGGGGCGCGCGCGCGCACGGCGCGGAGTTCGGGGCGGTGGACTACGGTAAGCTCGGCCTCGGCGGTCTCGTGGGGGCGATGGGAGGCGCCGGGTTGGGCGCGCCGGGGGGTGTGGGGGGGGTAGGAGGTCTGGGAGGTAGAGGTCTGGGAGGTTTCGGCGACGTCAGCGGGCTGGGGTATCCTCTCGGCGGTTTCGCGACCGAGGGCGCGCCGCCGGATCACGAGGCAGTCTTGAGCGGGATGCGACGGGCGATCGCGCGAGCGGACGCGGACGCGGCGGCGGCGAACGCGAACGCGAACGCGAACGCGAACGCGAACGCGAACGCGAACGCGAACGCGGACGCGAACGCGAACGCGAACGCGGACGCGCGCTCCCCGCAGAACTCGGAAGATACCGCGGCGACGACGGGCCCCGTCGACGCGGAGATGGACGGGAACGACGGGACGAAGCGCGCGGCGACGATCGTTCAGGGCGGGAAGAAGAACAAAAACCCCGCGCGAACGACGCGCCACGAGACGGACCCCTCGGACCCTTCCGAGGCCGCCGCCGCGAGGACGAGGACGGAGACGAACGCCGCGCCTGCGATGGCCGTCGACGCATCGGTTCTCGAGAGCGCTTCGCGAGCGATCGCGTCCGCGCGAGCGAGCGGCGGCGGGACGCTGGGTCCCGGGAGCGAGAAACCGTTCGACGCCGAGGGCGTCCTCGCGTGTCTCCGCGCCGCCAGGCAGAGCCCCGTCGGTCTGTCGATGCCGCCCCACGCTCTCGGGGCGTCGTCGGACCTCGGCCTCGGCGCGGTCGCGCGGCTCGTGATGGATTCTGGTTCATCGTATCCCGGCGTGCGCGAGAGGAACGATCAGGATGACGTCACGTTCGCGAACTTGTACCTCGTCGGCGCGAGACGGGGCGACGCGGCGTCGCAGCACGCGCTCGCGGAGTGTTACCGCCGCGGCCGGGGCGTCGAGCAAGACTTCGAGAAGGCGATCGAGTGGAACGTGAAGGCGGCGGCGCAGGGATTGGAAGCATCGGTCGAGTCGCTGAAGTGGTTGTACTCGAACACGATAGCGGGGCAACGCGCGCAGTCCGAGGCGGCGGCGGCGGCGGCGGTGGCGAGCGAAAACGAAAATCCCTTCGAGGCTGGGAAAGTCGGTCCGGTGGAGGATGTCCCGCCGCCGAGGATCGGCGTGATGTCCGGCTTGTGATGACTCGCGCGCGCTGGCGTGTTGCGTTGTGGTAATATACGAGGAGAAGAAACTACGAAACGAATAGGAGAGGGCTGCTGTGGTCTAACTAAGACCCTATCGATCGAGCGCGACTCTGCGCCGCCGCCGTCGCGTCGACGTCCGCCGCCGTCAGTCCTCCTTGCTCTCCCGGGGCGGGTTCCCCCCCGTCGCGATGTTCTGCGCGTAAAACAAACACATACACACCCCGCCGACGAACACGATCCCGCTCGGGACGAACGAACCCCCCGTCAGCCACTTCTTCCCCATCACGAACGCGAGCGCGGCGGAGACGACGAGCGACGCGAGCGTCTGCGCGACCGCGCCCTTCCCTCGCTTCCACCGCGACAGCGACTGCACGCCGAGCGCGATGAGCAGCGCGCCGAAGCCGCCGCCGAAGACGAGCGACTTGGTGCTGCCCGCGATCGCGAACCCGGCGAAACCGGCGAGGGCGACGAACAGCCCCCACGGGAGCGTCAGGCAGAAGTCGTGCATCGGGTACCACGACGGGAGGCGCTTCTTCTTCGCGCGCGCGGCGGACGGCTCTCGCGCGTCTTCCCCCTCGGCGACCGCGGCGGCGTCCGCGGCGTCCGGTTCCGGGACGGACGGTACCGCTCCCGAGGCGGTCGCGAAGGCGACGACGCTCGCGCGCGCGAGCGCGACGGCCTCGCGAGACGCTCGCCGCGCGAACGACGCGTCCGCGTGGGAAAGATTACCGCGCGAACCGACGGTTCGTCCGTCGCGCGCCGCGGGACGCGCGCTCGCGAGCGGGGTCGCGCGCGAGGCGTCCGCGCGTCCGGACGCGCGAGTCGACGATGCGCCGCGAGGAGGCGCGTATCCGCGCGCGGAGACCCCTAACGCGGAGGGCATGCACGTTCCCGCGGGAGGGAACGACGCGCGCGCGGCGTTTTGTTCGACGCCGTTGCAGAAGCCGAGGCGAGTGTCGCTTTCTGCAGCGGGGTCGAGATGCGGAGCCAATCAACGACTCGGTGAATCGCTTTTTCGATACCCGGCGCGATTCGGTACGTACAACCAGACTGTATGGGCAGTTGGTCTGCGACGGAGGCCACTGTACTTTTTGGTTTCAGATTTCCTCGATTCGATCGATCGACCGGTTTCTCGGTGTGATTTCAACCGCGTTCACCGAACGAACCGAACCGACTAAAACCGAAGCGAGCGCTCGAAGCGAGCGAGCGGTTCGCGTTTTCTCGAAGCGTACGCGCGCGCGCCTTCGTTCGCATTTCATCACTCGTCGGTCGATCGCTCTCGTCGTCGACTCCTCATTAGACCGGCTCCGATCACATCCTCGCGGACCCCCCCACACCCCCCACCGCGGCGCTCTCCAGACTCACCCGCGCGTCCTCCTCCTGCAGCGACGTGAAGTACCGGTCGTAGTACGACGCCGCCTCCTCGAGGAGATCCATGTCCGTGTAGATGTCCGCGATCACGCCGAGCGCGTCCGTCTGCCCGGCGTGATCGTCGTGGTCCACGGACAGCGCGAGCACGTTCTCCATCGCGGCGAGCGCCTCCGGGAACCGACCCATGCGCTCCAACGCGGCGCCTCTTCCTCTCTGCGCTTTCCTTCGCGCCTTCCACTCCTCCTGGAACACGTCGGGGGTGCCGAGGATGGCGCGCAACGCGTCGTCAAACTCGGCGAGCGCCGCCTCGTGATCGCCGGCGGATAACAACCGCTTCCCGCGCTTCAGGGTCGTTATGACGCCGTCGACTTGGATCTCCTCCTCGTCCGTGCTGCTCCCCGGGGCTTTTTTGATGAACCGCTGCGTTTGGATCGGGACGTACGGCCCGATGCCGGCTTCGCGCATCTCTTTTCGCAGCTCCGCGTTTACCTTCAGAAGGCTCTGGTTCAGCGCCTTCACCTCCTCGCCCTTCTTCCTCGCCTCGTTCCCCCCGACGACGGAGCCCACGAACCCGACGGCTTGGCCTAAGATGAGCGCGGAGACGAGGTACTTGTGGTCGACCTCGATCCCCGCGAAGGACACGGTGAAGTCCTCGTAGAAGATGTCGTCCGGTTCCGTGAGCTCGCGAGGGAGCGACGCGAGCGGGCCGTTCGTCGGCGCGGGCGGCTCGGGGGCGACGCGCGCGAGCGCGGCGGGCGCGTGGCACGTCGTCGTCGCGATGACGACCGCGGCCGCGGTGGACGCGAGCGCGCTGCGAGCTCTCGCGAGCGCGCCGCCGACGCCGGTCGTCGCGAGCTCGTCCGTCTCCGCGGAGGAGGAGGAGGAGGATCTCGGCGCGCGGTCCGAGACGGACGCGCGCGAAGAGACGCGCGCGCCGCGGCGCGCGGAGGACGCGCTCGCGGTCGCCGGCGGCGACGCGCGCGCGGGCGCGACGCCGGCGGTGAGGACCGGCATGTTGACCGTGTGGGTCGGGAGCGCGCGCGCGATGTGTCGGGCGCGGAACGCCGCCTTACGTGTGTGTGAAAAGTCGCCTTATCCCCGTCGACGTCGACGGAGGCGGAGATCTCGCCGCGAGGCCGCGATCGATGCGCCTCGACGCTGTTTGTGAAAGTGAGATCATCAGGTTCACGGGTGCCAGTTCAAAGGCGTCTCGATTTTTTGAAACCGAGGCTTGTGGGTGAAAAAAGCGTTTCGCCGATCAGCAAAGACGACGACCGCACTACCGCGGCGCGGCAGCGGAATTTTCCAGCTGCGCGTTCGTTTGAACCATCGACGCAGACGAGCGCGAGCGGCCGCCGGGGCCGCGCGCGTCTCCCCGCGTCTCTCCATGCACTCCCCCCACAACGACCACTCCCGGCTCGCCAAGTGCCCCGTGTGCGCGAAGGACGTGCACAAGGTGCTCATCACCGAGCACGTCGAGCTGTGCCTGTCGAAGAGTCGCGCGAGGTCGCCGGACGACGCGTCCGCGTCATCGAGGGCGCCGCTCGCGGACGCGGACGCGCGCGCGAACGCGAACGCGAACGGAGGAGGAGGAGGCGGGTCGTCGCGGAGGGGCGCGTCCGCGGCGGATCGCCACCTCGGCGCGGGATGGCGCAAGGCGAGCGGAGGCCCGGAGGCGTCGACCGCGGGGGGGGGCGCGGGCGACGCGCGACGAGATCTGTTGTTTCGGTGGGCGGGGGGTGGCGCGCGCCATCCCGCGGGGGGGAGCGTCGGCGCGCCGCGCGCGAAGCCGCGCGCGAGACCGGTCGGGCCGCTGAGCGCGTGGGTGTCCTCGCGCGCGGTGGAGGAGGAGCCGGAAGCGAAGCGACCGAAGCGCGACGACGACGACGACGACGACGGCGACGGCGACGGCGACGGCGCGGGGACGAGGACGGGGACGGGGATGGCGGCGTCGGCGGCGGACGAGAGGGACGACGACGAGCGCGAGTGCGACCGCGAGAACGAGCGCGAGTGTGACGACGTCGACGAGGACGACGACGCGAACGAGACGCGCGCGGCGAGCGCGAAGGAGACCGCGGAAGCGCTCGGCGACGCGGGCCTCGTCCCGTTCAACCTGAGGGTCATGTCCGGGAATCACGCGGAGTGCGGGATCTGTTTGCAGCCGTTCTCTTCGGACGACGGCGGCGGCGACGCGAGCGCCCGCCCGACCGCGGTGAGACACGTGTTCTGGCCGTGTCAGCACGTTCGGCAGTGCGGCGAGTGCGCGATCAGGATATGGCAGACGCCGAAAGCGAAGCGGCGGTGTCCGTGGTGCAAGAGCAAGATCGAGATACGGCCGCGAGCGTTCAAGCCGTTTCTCTGACGACTCGCGATAGAACTAATAAACTACTGAGGACTACGAACAACTACGAACACTCCTGCGCGGGCGCGGGCGCGAGCGCCTCCTCCATCTCCGCCGTGGGCACGAACCCCAGAAGCGCGCCGACGCCGCCGTCGCCCTCCGCGACGTCCACCCACTCCTCCGCGTACGTCACTCCGCCGCCGCCGCCGCCGCCGCCGTCGTCGTCGCACGCGCGCGCGCACGCGAAGGCGGCCACCGTCTGCCAGTCCCACGCGTCTATCGCGTCCGACGGCACCTCGCGCCCCGTCCCCGCCCCCGCCCCTCCCGCTCCCTCGGCGCTCCACGCCGCGGCTTCGGAGACGAAGTGCAGCAGCGGCGGCATGAGCTGCAGCTCGCAGACGCGCGCGCCGCCGCAGCGTTCGCACCGCGTCGCGCGCGTCTCCGGCGCGGCGCCGTCCGTCGGCCACAGACACGCGTTCTCGCCCGGGCCGCCGTGCGCCGGCGGCGCGTACCGGAAGCACTGCTCCGGCGCGCGTCGAAGGCGCTTGCTGAACTTGAGATACTTCTTGTCCAGCCCGCTCGAGTTCGCGCCGTTCTCGTATGCCTCGCCGCTCCAGTCTTTGGTCGCCGCCGCCGCCGCCGCCGCCGCCGCCGCGTCCGAGCTCGCGGCGATGCCCTCCGCGGCGGCGTAGGACGCGAGCAGGCGCTCCGTGTCCGCGCGCTCGCGCTCGGTCATCGCGCTCGCCGCGCGCGCGTCCGGCTCTCGGTCCGCGACGACGTAAAACTCCGGCAGCGTCGCCGCGGGCCACGCCCGACGCGCGCGCGCCGCCGTCGCGAGGAGCCCTTCGTCGACGTCGGCGGCGCGGTCGCCGTCGCGGTCGTCCTTTTCGTCCTTTCCCTTGGGTCCCTTGGGTCCCTTGGACGACGACGGCTCGGACGCGGCGAGCGACGCGGCGGCGTCGAGCGCTTTCGCGAGAGCGTCCATCTCCTCGTCCGCGGGGTCGTCCTTCCCGCCGCCGCCGCCGCCCCAATCGTCCGCGCCCGCCGCGCCCCAGTCGTCGTCCGTCGCCGCCGCCGCCGCCGCCGTCGTCGCCGTCGCCGCCGCCGCCGCCGCCGTCGCCGTCTCCGCCGCCGCGACCATCGCGATCTCCGCCGCGCACTCGACGCGGCGCTGCGCGCGCACCGCTCGCCACCGCCCGCGCGCGTGCGCGCCGCCGCGCCCCGAAGCGCATCTCGCGTCGAAGCAGTGAAAGACGTACAGCGTCCGGTCCGCCGCGGATGGTGGCGCGCCGGGGACGTGCACCGGCGCGTGCGCTTGCGCGACGAGCGTCATGACCGCGCCGCAGACGCCGCACGAGAACATCTCGCTCGGCGGCGGCGGAGGATGGGGAGACGGGGGAGAGTGGGGAGACGACGACGACAACGACGACGACGACGGCGGCGGCCAGTCCGGCGCGCCGCCGACTTTCGTCGTGTAGTGGTCCAGCCGCTCGCCGCCGTTCACCATTCTTCCCGCGAACCCGAGCGTGACCGGCGGCGACTGGTCGACGCGGCCGCTCGCGGACGCCATCGTCGCCGAGGGTGGCGCCGAGGGTGGTGCCGAGGGTCGCGCGCGCGGGAGTGGTCGAGGGTCGCGGCTGTCGATCGGAAATCTGTCGGGAGCATAGATAGAGGGCCGGCGCGGCGCCGGCCGCGGCCGCGGCCGAGGTCGGTCGCACTCCAGGCCGCGGGCTCCGCGCCGGAAACAGCATCGAAAGGGCGCGTGATGACCTCGCGGACTCCAGAGCGCGCGTCACGCGCGGCGGCGACAGGAGAAAGCGAAGTTCCCCCCGCGCGAGCGCAGGTGCGCGCGCGTCGATCGTCCGTCTCCCCGCCTCGAGATCGCGCCGGCGTCGATCGCGTCGCCGTCGTCGTCGCCGTCGTCGTCGCGACCGCGGATTCCCAATCCTTCAAATAACACCCACCCGAGAATCTTTCCGCGTAATCGAGGGATCGCCGAAGACGCGCGACGCTCACCTCTTTCGCTCTCCCGTCCCGAACGTCCGCAGGCACGCGGGTGGAAGGAACAAAAACACCGCGCGAGGACGCCCCGGATTCGCGCGGCCTTCTCCGCGCTGGCCCCTAATCGTCCCAGGCCATGGCGTCCATCCAGGTCGCGATGCGATGCCGCCCGTTCGTCGAGAAGGGCGACCTCGGGATCAAGCTCGAACAGACCGGGGACGGGCCCGCGGGAGGGGAGGTCAACGTGATCAACAGCAAGTACACGCAGACGAGGTTCGGATTCGCGTACGCGTGGTGGTCCGCGCACAACGCGGCGAAGTACTGCGAGAAGGACAAGGAGATCGCGAACGGGATGGAATTCATCGACCAAGACAAGGCGTACAACGCGTGCGGGGAGAAGGTGAAAGAGAACCTCCTCGACGGCTCCGCGGTCGTGATGTTCGCGTACGGGCTGTCCGGGTCGGGGAAGACGTTCACGGTGTTCGGCCCGGACGCCGCGGACTCCCCGGACGCGTGGTTCAAGCATAAGACGCCGCACGCGATGTGGGGCATTCTGCCTCGACTGGCGTACACGATGTTTCAAGAAAAGGGCGACGACTGGAAGATCTCGATGAAGTACTTTCAAAACGTCGTCGACACCGTGCGGGATTTGACCTCCAGCGCGGCGAAAGAGCAGGCGTACAAGTCCGGGATGAGGAAAGACGGCGACGGGTTCATGGACATCGACTGGTGCGGGAAGGTGCCCATCGACTCGTGGTCGCACCTGTGCGATTTCTTCCAAAAGTGCAACGCTCGCAAGGCCATCTCCCCGACGCAGTTCAACCACCAGTCCACGCGCGGTCACTGCGTCATGACGTTAGAGGTCGAGAAGCCGATGGCCGACAACCCGTCGATGAAGCAACGCGGGCGTCTGTACGTGTGCGATCTCGCGGGCACGGAACCCGCGGGCGACATCTTTTACGCGGAGTACAAAAAAGAAAAGCAGGCGGACGGGAGCATCGAGCACATCCTCCAAGGCCCGCACGCGGACCAAGGGAAGACGAAAGAGCTTCAAGACCAGGGGAAGAAGATTAACCTCTCCCTGTCCGAGATGGCGCAGTTCTTCATGAAGATGGCGGAGGCGTTCAAAGCGAAGAAGCTCAAGCCCGGGGTTTCAATCTCCGGCTGCAACTCGTACTTTCTGTGCAAGTACCTCAAGGACACGATGATGTGCGCGAAAACGTACTTGTTCTGCGCGATCCGACCGGAGGTGAAGTTCCACCCGTACACGTACTCCACCCTGGGGTTCGCGAACAACGCGTCCGTGATCAAGCTCTCGCCTAAGAAAGCCACCGCGGGGTCATCACCGATGGAGAAGAAGCTCCTCGCCGAGCTCGCCGCGATGCAGGAGCTCGTGAAGCAGCTCAGGGCGCAGCTCGCCGCGGGCGGCGGCGGCGGCGCCGCGGGCGAGGCCGTCAGCACCCTCCAACGCATGGAGACGCAGATTGGCGAGAAGAAGTCCGCGCTCATGCAAGAGTCAGACCCGACCGCGGCGGCGAGCGCGGAGCAGTACGAACGGCAAAAGGAGCACCTCAAGCAACGCGGCATCACGCTCGCGTCCGAGATTGAAGACGTCGCGACGTTGAACGTCCCGTATCTCATCAACGTGGACGAGGACCCGTTCCGCTCTGGACGCATGTTGTGCGTCCTGGAGAAGACGCCGACGACGTTCGGAAGAACGGACGCGGACATCCGACCGCCTTCGATGAGCATCGTGCAAGACCACTGGTGCGTTCTATCCACTGGTTCCCATACGACCGCGTTGGCGTGGTGAACGCCGATCCTTAAGGACTTTCGCCGTCGTCTCTCTCCGCCCACCCCTCCCTTTCAATACCCGCCCTCGACGCCTTTCAACTCCATCTGACACCTTTCAACTCCACCCCGACTTACGCGTCTACAGCTCCATCGACGGCGTGGCGAAGAAGCTCAAGGTCGGGAAAGGACGGATGTTCGTGAACGGTAACAAGATCAAGTCTGGGCAAGAGGTTAACCTCAACGCGGGCGATCGCGTGATCATCGGCGCGGAGCTGTTCGTGTTCCAAACGCCCGGGAACGCCGTGGATATCGACCAAGACCTCGCGGTGTCCGAGTACCGCGAGACGATGGCGGACCACTCCGAGTACAAGGACCAGTTCAAGAAGGCGACCAGAGGGCTGCAAGGCGCGGGCGGCAAGGAGATCTCTCTGAACAGCGGCGACGCGAACTCGTTGGAGGGGCAGATGGTCGAGATTTACCCCCTCTCCGTCGAGCTCGAGCACCTGTGCATGCTCATGGACCGCGAGTACGTCGACTTCAACGTCGTGCTGCAGTCGGACAAGGTGACGAAAGCGGGCAAGGACGACTGCTCCGTGAAGGTGAAGGTCATCAACCGGAACGAGAACCCGGTGCAGGTCGTCTACCTCGCGACGTTCGAGTTCAAGAGGTGCTACAAGATCCTTTGCGACGAGCTGTACTTTTTGAGAGACGCCGTGCAAGCGGAGGAGCAGTACGTCGTCCCCTTTGAGCACGACCCGATCAACCTTCTCTTCGACGCCACGTTTCACGTCGGCACCGCGGTGATGTTCCCGGAGTTTTTGGTCTACAACCTCGAGACGGACGCGAGCGAGAAACAGCTCGAAGTGTTCCCAGCCGCGGCGAGCGGCAACCAGGACATCAACGCCGGAACGCTGGAGGTGACGTGGACGCCGTTGCCCGGCGAAGATGGGAAAGTCGTCGACATCGGCTCGGAGGAGGAGCTCCTCGGGAAGCCGTGGAAGTACAAGGTGCACATCAAGCAAGCGCTGCAGCTCAGCATGATCTGCGACATCTGCTACTGCGAATACGAGTTCTTCGGCGGCGATCTGTTCGCGACTGAGGCGGTCGAGTTCGACGAGCGTCCGACGCGGTCGCCGGTGCTGGACTACGAGTACGTGCACTCGGTGGAGTGCGTCACGAAGGAGTTCATCGCGTGGCTGAAGGAGCCGCTGGAGATAAAAGTTTACATCTCCCTGGACGTGAAGAAACCGAAAGCGCTCGTCTCGACGGAGAACCCGAAAGTGTACGACCTCATCTGCAAGGATCTCAAGAAGCCCGCGGCGAAGGTGCGACCGGACACGGGGAGCAAAGAGCTCGAGGCTGAGATGCAAGAGCTCCAGCGGAAGCTCGCCGCGCTCGTCGCGGAAAACGCCGAGATCAAAAAGGCGAACAAGCGCCTAACGATGCAGAAGCGGATCGCCATGGCCGCCGCGAGAGACGCGGGGGTGAAGCAGTACCCGGAGACGGGCATGGCCGCCATCGCGAGCGCGGCGGCGAACGAACCCGCGCCGCCCACCGCGGAGGCGGAGAAGAAGACGGAGGCGAACGGGAAGAAGAGCAGCGCGTGCGTCGTGCAGTGAATTTGCGTGTTGATTTGCGCGCGCACGGCTGGCGCGCGGTAGGTTCTGTCGTTGTGAATACCCCATGTGCAGCAACCTCATCTACGCGTCCCGTCCCGCGACGCGACGCGACTCGCGCTCGAAACTCGCGCGGCGCCGGCCGTCGCTCGCGTCGTCTCCTCGCGTCCCGTCCCGTTCCCCCCGTCTCCCGCGTCGTCCCGTCGTCAGTCCAACTTGGACTTCACGACGTACTCGTAAAGCTCGTCGAGAGAATCGCGCTCGCGGCGCGTCGCCGGCGGCGCGGGCGCGACCTTCCTGTGCGCTCGTCTCCGTCCCCGGCGCTTATCGTTCGGGTCCGACAGCGCCGCGCTTCTCTCTCGCGGCTGAGGCGAAGACGGCGGCGGGTCTAACGACCTCCGTCGACGCGGTTTCGGACGCGGCGCGGAGGACGACTCCGCGCCGTCGCTCGGCGCGACGGACGTCTTCTTCGCGTGCCTCGGCGCGCGCGCGCCGAAGCCGAGCGCGGTAATTTCTCCGCCCATTCTGACTCTCTGGCTCAGCGGTAGTTCCCGGTGATCTTGCGAACGATCGTCGCGACGAGCGCGAACATGCACGCCCTCGACGCGGTGGCGCGCGCTGAACGTCATGCGCGCGTCGCGATGCATGTCGTCACGAAAAGCGAAACGCTTTCCGAAACAGTTCCCCCTGAAAGTTCGCTTCCGGAACTACGACTACGTACGACGGCGCGTCCTCCTCCGCGCGGGCCGCAGAGGCATGATGCGCGCGCTGTCGGCGGCGGCGTGCGCGCGGCTCGCGCCGCCGACTGCGGCGTCGCGTCGATGGTGGCACGGGCATCGGCGGCGCGTCCCCGCGCGCGCGCTCGCGACGTCGTCATCCGCGGCGGCGTCGGACGACGAGCGCCGCGATGTCGCGTCGTCGTCGCCGCCGCTTCCGAGAGTCCTCGTCCTCGCGGGACCCACCGCGGTCGGGAAGACGTCGCTCAGCCTCGACCTCGCGTCGAAGCTCGACGGCGAGATCATCAGCGCGGACAGCGTCCAGGTGTACCGAGGCCTTGACGTCGGCTCGGGCAAGCTCGCGGCGAGCGAACGACGCGGGATCGCGCATCACGCGCTCGACGTCCTAGACCCGAGCGAGGATTTCAACGCCGGGGCGTTCGTCGACCTCGCGCTCGAGACCGTCGAGGACGTCGTGTCGCGAGGCAAGGTGCCCATCGTCGTCGGCGGGACCGGGATGTATCTGCGATGGTTCGTCGGCGGGAGGCCGGCGACGCCGGCGTCGACGCCGGAGTCGTCCAGAGCGGCGAAGGAGGAGGTGCGCGCCGCCGCCGCCGCCGCCGGTTGGGACGGCGCGCTGAAGCTTCTGAGAGACGCCGGGGACCCGGACACCGCGGATCGCGTCGCGACGAACGACTGGTACCGGGTCGAGCGCGCGCTCGAGATATTGCGCGCGTCCGGGCGACCGTTAGGGTCGTACGCGCCCGAGTCGCCGCCGCCGTTTGACTTTCGATGCGTCCTCCTCGACGCGCCGCGGGTACAGCTGTACCGCAGGATAGACGACCGCGTCGAGTGCATGGTGTGCGACGGGATGTTGGACGAGGCCGCGATGATGATGAGGCGCGGTATCGCCCCGGGGTCGACCTCCGCGGCGAGCGCGATCGGGTACAGACAGGCGATGGAGTTTTTAGCGGCGCGAGCGGCGGCGGCGGCGGGCGGCGGCGGCGGCGGCGCGACGACCGAAGAGGATTTGCTCGCGTTCGTCGAGAAGACGCAGAGAGCGACGCGGGCGTTCGCGAAGCGCCAGCTCACGTGGTTCCGCGGCGAGCCCGAGGGACGGTACCGATGGATCAGCGCGAGCGACGGGGAAGAAGCCGCCGCGCGCGAGGCGATGGACGCGTTCGAACGCGACGACGACGACGACGATCGATCGAGACGCGCTCCCGCGGGGGGGGACGCCGGAAAAGCGACCGGGCAAGAGCTACAAGAACTGAAGCGGTACGTCGCGCGACGAACGCGTTTGGCGGACGCGAAGACGACGGATCGCGCGCTCGCTCGCGTCGACGCGCTCGCGGCGTCGCTCGTGGATCGCCCGTGGGAGAAGAACTCGAGCGCGTAGAGTAGATTTAGGGAGTAGATTTTCCGGAAGAAGAGTAGGTCTTATTCGTTCTGTTCCCGTCGTCGTCGTCGCCTCGCTTCACGCGCTCCCGACGCCGCCTAACGTCATCATGATCTCCTTGTAACTCTCGATGTTCCGCTTCATGATCGTCTCGCAGCTCCCCATGAGCCTGGTGAACGTCGCGCGCGACACGACCGCGCACACGAGCACGTCGCTCACCGCGCGCACCGTCGCCGCGCGTCTCTTCTCCGTGAGCAACGCGAGCTCCCCGAAGTAATCCCCGGGGACGTATCGCTTCACCTCCACGTCGCGCTCGCGCGCGTCGACGCCTTCGCGTGCCTTCTCCGCTTCGTCTTCGGATTCGGATTCGTCTTCGTGTTCGTCTTCGCGCGCCGCGCCGCGCATCTCGTCGACGGAGGCGCCGCGGCGTCTTCGCGGCAACGTCATCACCGCCGCCGCCTGTCCTCGCTCGACGATGTAAAACGCGTCGCCGTCCTCGCCTTGCGACACCACCGCGTCTCCTCTCGCGAACGACTTCGTCTCGATCGCGTCCGCGACTCTCGAGCGCTCCGCCGCCGTCAGCGCGCTCAACACGGGAACGCGCTCGAGGAACCCCTCTCTGGTCTTCCTCGTGCGCTGCGACGAGACGCACGCGATGTCGCGGAACGTCTCGCGGTCGAGCGCCCACAGGCGACACGCCGTGCGCGCCGTCACCGTCGCCGCCCTGCAGTCGGCGCGTCGGTCGTCGGTCAGTCGAAGGCGGTCGCGTGCGGCTAAATCAAACGACGACGGTTGAAACGAAGGGGATGCTTAAGGGTGGAAACCGACGCACCTCGGCGAGTTGTACATGAGCGAGAGCTCGCCGAAACTGGCGCCGGGTTCGAGGACCTGCACCGTCGTCGGGGCGTCGCCCGCGATTTTTCCTCGCACGGCGGCGTCCGCCACGCCGTCCGCGACGACGTAGAAGTTATCTCCCTCGTCGCCTTGCTCGATGACGACCGCGCCCGCGGGGTACGACACCTCGAACGCGGCGTCCACGAGCTCCTCGAGCGGCGCGGCGTCTAAATCTTTGAACAAGATGTTATCCCGCACCCTCGCGCGCACTTCGTCCCTCTGCGCGGCCGTCTTGGCCGCGCGCGAGTTCGGCGACGGCGGCTCCGGCTCGCCTCGAGACGACCGCCGCGCGCCGCCGCCGCGATCGCTGTGCGACACGAAGCTCGGTCGGACGCACGACGCGTTCATCGTCACGCACTCCGCGCTGACGGACGGTCGACGCGCGTAGTTGATCCCGCCGGCGGGTCTCGGCCGCGCGCGAAGCTCCGGCATCTCCCCGACGTCGTCGCCGCGGTGAAGGTCGTCGTCGTTCGCGTCCGCGTCCGCGTCCGCGTCCGCGTCCGCGCGCGGCGGCGGTTCGTGTTCCGTCGCCGCCGCGGTGTCTTCGCCGCTTTGCGACGGTTCGCGTTCGCGTTCGCGTTCGGACGCCTCCTCCGCGTCGGACGTCTCCTCCTCCTCCTCCTCCTCCTCATCCTCCTCATCCTCCTCCTCCTCCTCCCCCGCGAGCGCGAGAAGGTCGACGACGTGCTGCAGCGGCTTCTCGGGTCGATCGCTCGCGAGCCGGTCCGCGATCGTCTCGAACATCGCTTTCACCGCGAGGTGCTCGTTCAGGTATCGCTCCGTCTCGGGGTCGGGGTGGCGCACGGTCACGGTCGCGGACGCCGTGGGCGTTTCCAAATCCTCGTCGTCGTCGTCGTCGTCGTCGTCGTCGTCGTCGCGCGTCACCGTGACCTCCGCGACGGTCGCGTCCGCGCTCGACGCGTCGTCGTCGACGTCGTCGCTTCCATCGCGCGCGTCCTCCTCCTCCTCCTCCTTCTCCTTCTCCTTCCGCTCGATCTGAAACCCCGCCGCCTTCGCCTGCGACGGGTACAGCGCGGCGAGGTACGAAAGCAGATGCGCGACCGGATCCGACGGTTTCGTCTTGAAGCAATCGGTCAGCGCGCGCTTCAGGAGGACGTCGATCTCCGTGGCGCGGACGTACGTCTCGATCTCCGCGGCGACGGTCTTCCCCGCGGTCGTGGAGATGCCAGCGGGCGTCATCGCGGTCGAAGCGCGCGCGCAGTCGCGACTGCGAGCGTCTTCTGGGAGCGCACGAAACGACGCGCGCGGGTTGGGGAGGAGGAAACGAGTCGTCGGACCCGCCAAGCCCGTTCAAAACGTAAGGCCTCGGACTAAACTGAGCGGGAGAAAGCGGAAATCTGCCGTTTTCAAAGCGCTCCCGATCGACCCTCGGACTAAACCGAGCGGAGGTTTCGGGTGGGACCGACCGACCGCTGCTGATAAACGCAGAACGAACCAATTATGGACCATTTCGTGTCCTTAACCGCGGCTGGAGGCAGCGCGGTGGAGGACGATGGGCGACGACGACGCGGACCCGAGGGTCGCGTGGCTCGCGGACAAGGTCTGCGCGTCGTTAGGATGCGATGTCGAGTCGTTCACGTCGCTCATGCGGGAGGACGCGGACGCGGAGACGAAATCCGCCATCGAAGCCTACCTCGCGGGTGCGCGACGCTCGAGTGCCTGCCACCTCTTTCAACGACCGTCCCCGCGTCGTCGTCGTTCCTCGACGCTCGCTCCGTATCGACGCGCGATTCCGCGTCTCCGCCGCGCGCGCGGTCTTCGCGACGCGCGCGGACGTCCACGCCGCGTCGAGCGCGGTCGTCGACGCGTCCGCGCGGCGAGATCGCGCGCGCCCGACGCGACGCGCGGTCGGCGATCCGTTCTCTGCGCGACCGCGCGCGTCGTTTAATTTGACCCGCCCTCCCTTCGACGACGCCCCGCCCTCGCGGCGCCGCGCGGCGATCCGCGACCTCGTATTCTGACCGCGCGTCATCCCCACGCGTCCCGTTCACGCAGGCACCGCGACGAGCGAGGCGCTTCTCGTGTACGCGGAGGAGACCGCGGCGCCGTCTCCGCGGACGCCCGATCCCGAGCCCGAGCCCGTCGCTTCCGTCGCGTCCGTCGCGGACGCGGACGCGGACGCGGGCGAGGACGCGCGCGCGGAGGGCGAGGAACCGAGCGAAGCGCCGACGCCCGCCGCTGAGGGCGCGGGGGTGGGCGAAGACGCCGCGGAGGGGGAGACCGCCGCGGCGGAGGGCGAACAGAAGGACGGCGACGACGCGGCGGCGGCGGCGCCCGTCGAGGGCGAGGAGACCGCGGCGGCGGCGGCGCCCGTCGAGGGCGAGGAGGCCGCGGCGGACCCGGTCGAGGGAGGCGAGACCGCGCCGCCCGCCGCGACAGAGGGCGAGGCCGAGCCCGCGACCACGACGGAGGGCGAGGCCGCGCCGCCCGACGGCGAAGAAGGATCCGCCGAGCCCGCCGCGGACGCCGACGCGGCCGCTCCCGACGTGGAGCCGGGCGCGGAGCCGGGCGCGACGGGGGAGGCGCCGGAGCCGGAGCCGGCCGTCGAGGACGCGCCCCCCCCTCCCCCTCCGCGGACGCCGTCCCCGCCGCCGCCGCCCGAGCCGGCGTACACGTTGGACCCGAGGGCGATGAAACTGAAAGTCGCGCTCGGGTCGCTCCCCGAGGACGCCGCGTCGGCGCCCGCGGCGTTCTTCCTGAAGGACCACGCGGACGACGTCATCGACTCCGCGAGCGCGCTCGACGCGGTGCAGCACGGACTGCTCTCCGAGGGGACGTCGTCGCTCGTCGCCCTGGAGCAAATGCTCGCGCAGGTGTTCGTGCCTCTGTTTGGCGCGCAAGCTGGCGGTATCGGCGGCGACGCGTTGGCGCAAGACATCCTCAGGGAGCTCGGCTCGAGCACCGGGAAGTTCGGGTCGCAGGTGACGCACGCGGTGCAGCAGCTGTGCGGGGACATCACGCTGAACGTCCCGAACGTCGCGATCGAGTCCGTGGAGAAGGCTCTGGACGATTACGAGGTGGTCAACGCGTTGGAAGCGGCGATGCTCGAGTGGACGGAGGTTTTACGCGCCGCCGTCGAACGCGAGACGGAGAAGACGCCGCAGGGCCGCGGCCCGCTCGCGGAGATCGACTACTGGCGCGAGCGCGGCGCGGCGCTGACCGGTCTGTTCGAGCAGCTGAACCTCCCCGCGGTGCGGAAGATGATCGAGGTGATCGAGGCGGCGCCGAAGGACAAGGTGGTCGCGAGCGTGTTCACCGGGTTCAAGCACGAGTTCGAGGAGCTCCACAAGCTGTACTTGGAGTGCAAGGACAACGTCAAGTTTTTGACGACGTTGGAGCGGCACTTCAAGGCGATCACGAACTACAGGCAGACCGGGGACGGGTCGCTGTCGAACGTAACGGACGTCATCGGCCCGATGCTCAACGCGTTGAGGATGGTGTGGATCATCTCTCGGCATTATAGCGACGACGCGCGCATGGGCGGACTGATGAACCGCATCTCGGTCGAGATCGGGGATAAAGTCACCGAGGACGTGTGCGTCGAGGAGATCTTCGACATCCCCGTGGACGAGGCGATCGCGAAGGTGGACAACGCGAAGAGGCTGCTCGAGACGTGGAAGGAGACGTACATGGAAGTCAGAGAGAAGATCGAGACGAGCGGGAACGCGCGGTGGGAGTTTAACCGGAAAGAGCTGTTCGACAGGACGGACTACATGGCGAGCATCTGCGGCGATCTGCGCGGGATGCTCGAGGCCGTGGACGGGTTCCATCACTTCCTCGGACCGCAACTGAAAGCGGTGACTGGGGAGAACGAAGCGATCGACGTCGTGCTCTCGAGGGTGAAGGAGATGGCGAAACCCGTCGAGGACGTCGACTTTGACGCGTTCGATCAGAAATACATGATGCGGTGGCAGACCATCTCGAGCCAGTTCCAGTGCGATAAGGAGGAGATCGAGCGCAGCACGCGGTCGTTCATCGACGAGTCGTTCAAAAACTTGCGATCCGCGGAGAGCGCGTTCGAGCTCCTTCAAAACTTCAAGTCCATCAAGAGCGAGGGCGGCATCTCGAAACAGCTCCAGGACAAGTTCAACGACGTCTTGGAGCAGTTCGCGCGCGAGCTTCAAGTCACGCGCGACATTTTCGACAAGAACCACGAGGACCCGCCCGTGTACAAGAACCAGCCCCCGGTCGCGGGCGCGATCGCGTGGTCGCGATCGTTATTCTCCCGCGTGCGAAAGACGATGACGATGTTTGAGACGCACGCCGCCGAGGAGATGAAAACCGAAGCTGCCGCGGCGGAGTGCCACTTCAAGTACATGGCGATCGCGAAGAGCGTGATGCACTTCGAGAAGAAGCAGTACAACGGATGGATCGAAAACGTCGACGCCGCGGCGTTGTACCACCTGAAGCAGCCGATCTTGTACACGGACACGAGCTGCGAGCCGGAGGAAATCAAGGTGAACTTCCACCACGACCTCGTGAAGTTGATTCGCGAGGCGAAGTACCTCGATAAGATGGGTTTCAAGATCCCAGAGACCGCGCTGAACGTCGCGCTTCAGGACGAGAAGTACCTCAATCAAAGGGAACAGATGATGGTGATGCTGAACGCGTACAAAGCCGCGGTCACGAGCTTGACGCCGGTGGAGGCGACGGTTTTCAGCGAAAAACTGAAGAGACTGCGCGCGGTGTTGCAGCCCGGGTACTCGCCTCTGAACTGGAACTCGCTCGGCATTCTCGAGTTTGTCGAGAAGTGCAAAGAAGCCATCAATGAGTTCGCGTCGCTCGTGACGCAGGTGAAGAAGAACGGCGGCGTCATCGAGCAAGTCGCGGCGGACATCTCCGCGGCGAGGGTGGTGTTCGACCCGCCGGTCGGCGCGGAGACCTTGGACGCGACGGAGATGTTCGAGCACCTGGAGCGGCACCGAACCGAGGTCGTGGACGAGCTCGTCAGGAAGTACCGAACTATCGGCCCTCTGCTGGGGAAGATCGAGGAGGCGGTCGCGGGGACGAACACGGGCAAGTCCCCGCAGCTCGCGGAGTACTACGCGCACTGGGAGAGCGCGATTTTCAACGCGCTGAGCGACTTGGTGATGAACAACCTGAGGTACTTCGCGCAGATGCTGGACCGACGCACGCGGGCGAAGACGGGCAAGCACGGCCCCGGGCCGCTGTTCAAGGTGATCGTGATGCTGAACGCGCCGGACATCGTCGTCCAGCCGTCGATAAAAGACGTCGCGAAGGCGTTGAAGACGTCATGTCGAAACGTCCTCGAGTGCGCTGCGCCGTTCGTGAGGTGGATGGACCGAACGTGTCTGGAGACGCCGCCGGTGAAGAAGGACGACGACGACGACGAGCCGGTGTACTTTAACTTCATGAACGACGTCGGGCGAGACGAGGACATCCTTCGCGTCATGGAATACCTGAACGACCAAGCAGAGAAGACGGTCCAGGGCGTGAGCGAGTACGTCGAGTCGTGGAACAAACACGCGTACCTTTGGAAGCTCGACAAAGAAGTCGTCGTCGCGAAGTTTGTCGAGACCGAGCCGGACTGCATGACGTACGAGCGCGAGTTCGCGAAGTACCAGAAGATGTCCAACGAGCTGTTCGAAGCGTCGGAGGAGCTGGAGATTGACTACGCGCGCGTCGTCTGCCGCCCGCTCGGGAAGTCGCTCAGGGAAGAGTGCCTGTCCTGGGTGAAGGCGTTCGCTACGGAGATGCACCGGACGGACGTCGAGAGCGTCGGCAAGATCCGCGGCGACATCGCGGACAAGGACAGAGGACTCAGAGCGGAGCCCGCGGACATCAACGACCTCATCGGCGTCCTAAGCATCATCGACGACGTCCGCCGAGGGCACATGCAGATGGAGCTCGATTACCTCGACCTTGAAGAACGCGTCCGGACGCGGCAGCTGTACGACTTTCCCATGGAGGAGGCGTCCGTGTCCGATCACAACACGATTCGCGACATATGGGCGACGTTGCGGAAAGACTGCGAAGAGATGGACAACAACCTGGACGAAGTCAGGGACAAGTTCACGCTCGTGACGATCGACAACGTGAAGGAGTTCAAAGAGAAGTGCGCGGACTTTCGAAAGCGACTCGAGGAGAGCGGCCCGGGGGTGCCCGGGACGGAGCTCGACGTGGGCGTCACCTCGCTCGCGGCGTACAACGAAGAGCTCGCGTTCAAGCTCAAGACGAGAGACGACCTCGTCATGGCGGAGAAGCTGTTCGAGCTCGACGTGACGTCCTACCCCGAGCTCACGGAGACGGAGAACGAGCTCAAGGTGCTCGACCAGATTTACGGTCTGTACGTCGCGCACGTGGACGGCGTCGCCGGGCTCGCCACCGCGATGTGGAAGGATTTGGATTTCGCGAAGCTCGTGGACTTCGCGAAAGACTTCGCGGAGAGGCTCGAGGCGATGCTGGGGACGGACTTGGAGAGGTCGCCGATATTCGCGCTCGTGTCCGAGGTCATCGAGTCGTTCCGCTCGACGCTGCCCGCGATCGAGTCGCTGAAGTCGGAGTCGATGCGCGAGAGACACTGGGAGCAACTCCAGTCGGTCACCGCCACGAGCGTGAACACGGATCCGAACGTGTTCACGCTCGGGATGCTATTGGGGATGAAAATTCACCTGTACTCGAGCGGCATCTTAGACATGTGCACCGCCGCGGAGAAGGAGGTGAAGATCGAGGCCGACATCGTGAAGCTCGCGGACGTGTGGAAGCACCAAAAGTTCGAACTCTTGAAGTACGTCAAAGGCGAGGAAGACCGCGGCTTCACCCTGCGCAGCACGGACGAGGTCACCGTCACGCTGGACGACATGGCGCTCACGCTGCAGTCGATGATGTCGTCGCGGTACGCGAAGCCTTTCATCGACGACGTCCGCGCGTGGGAGGCGAAGCTCAGCCTCATCTCTGAAGTCATCGAGGTGTGGAACGAAGTCCAGCGGAAGTGGATGTACTTGGAGAGCATCTTCATCGGGTCGGACGACATCCGACACCAGCTCCCGGAGGAGGCGAAACGATTCGATCGCATCGAGAAGCACTGGCAGATGCTCATGGCGGACACGAACAAGAACAGCAACATCTTAGACGCGTGTTCGGTGAAGGACCGCCTTCCGTTCCTGCAAGAGCTTCACGAGCAGCTCGAGTTGTGCCAGAAGTCGCTGTCCGAGTACCTCGACACGAAGCGCAACGCGTTCCCGCGGTTTTTCTTCATCTCCGACGACGAGCTGCTGTCCGTGCTCGGCACGTCGGACCCGACGTCCGTGCAAGAGCACATGCTCAAGCTGTACGATAACTGCGCGGCGTTGAAGTTTGGAAGAGGGAACAAGTCCGTCACCGGGATGATCAGCGCGGAGGGCGAGTCGTTTGATTTCCGCGCCGCGTGCACCACCGAGGGCGCCGTCGAGGTTTGGATGCTGGGCGTCGAGACGGAGATGCGGAAGACGTTGCGGCAGATCGGCAAAGAGGGCGTGTTCTTCTACGCGAAGCAAGCGCGGAGCCAGTGGATCTTAGATCAGATCGGGATGATCACCCTCGTCGGGTCGCAAATTTGGTGGACCTGGGAGGTGGAGGACGTGTTCGCGCGCGTGCGGAACGGCGAGAAGATGGCGATGAAGGACTTCAGCACGAAACTCACCGGGCAGCTCTTGGAGCTCACGACGATGGTCCGCGGCGATCTGAGCAACCTCAACCGGAAGAAGATCAACTCGCTGATCATCATCGACGTCCACGCGAGAGACATCATCGACACGTTCGTTCGCGATTCCGTGCTCGACAGCCGAGAGTTCGCGTGGGAGTCGCAGCTTCGATTCGCGTGGGAGAAGTCTCGAGACGACATCCTCATCCGCCAGTGCACGGGTACCTTCAACTTTGGGTACGAGTACATGGGTCTGAACGGCCGCCTCGTCATCACCGCGCTGACGGATCGGTGTTACATGACGATCACGACGGCGCTGACGTACATGCTCGGCGCCGCGCCCGCGGGCCCCGCGGGCACGGGTAAGACGGAGACGACGAAGGATCTCGCCAAGTCCATGTCGCTCCTCTGCGTCGTCTTCAACTGCGGCGAAGGTTTAGATTACAAAGCGATGGGGATGATTTTCAGCGGTCTCGTGCAGACCGGCGCGTGGGGCTGCTTCGACGAGTTCAACCGCATCACCGTCGAGGTGCTCTCGGTGATTTCCTCGCAGGTGAAGTGCATCCAAGAAGCGCTCAAGAACAACCTCGAGAGATTCCAGTTCGAAGGAAAGGAGATCGCGCTCAAGTCCACGACGGGCATCTTCATCACGATGAACCCCGGTTACGCCGGACGCGCGGAGCTGCCGGATAACCTCAAGGCGTTGTTCCGCCCGGTGACGATGATCGTCCCGGACCTCCAACAAATTTGCGAGATCATGCTCTTCTCCGAGGGTTTCAACACCGCGAAGATGCTCGCGAAGAAGATGACCGTGCTGTACAAGCTCGCGAAGGAGCAGCTCTCGAAGCAGTACCACTACGACTTTGGCCTGCGCGCGCTCAAGTCCGTGCTCGTCATGGCCGGCGCCCTGAAGCGCGGCTCGCCCGATCTCAGCGAAGACATCGTTCTCATGCGCGCGCTTCGCGATATGAACCTCCCGAAGTTTGTCTTCGACGACGTTCCGCTGTTCTTAGGCCTCATCAACGACTTGTTCCCTGGGTTGGACTGCCCGCGCGTGCGCTACCCCAAGTTCAACGACGTCGTCGAGAACGACCTCGCGGTGCAAGGGTACAAGGTCATGACAAACCCGAGCGAACAGGTGGACAAGGTCATCCAGCTGTACGAGACGATGATGACCAGGCACACGACGATGGTCGTCGGGAACACCGGCGGCGGGAAGTCCGTGATCATCAACACCCTCGCGAGGTCGCAGACCGCGATGGGGCGAAACACGAAGATCCACGTCGTGAACCCGAAGGCGCAGTCCGTCGCGGAGCTCTACGGCGAGCTCGACCCGGAGACGCGCGACTGGACCGACGGCGTCTTATCGAACATCTTCAGGACGTTGACGAAACCGCTGCCGCCGAACACGGACGAGGCGAGGTACATCGTCTTCGACGGCGACGTCGACGCGGTGTGGGTCGAGAACATGAACTCGGTGATGGACGACAACAAGCTTCTCACGCTGCCCAACGGCGAACGCATGCGTCTCGTGGATCACGTCAAGCTTCTGTTCGAGGTGGCGGACTTGCAGTACGCCTCCCCCGCGACGGTGTCGCGCTGTGGTATGGTGTACGTCGACCCGAAGAACCTGAACTACGAGCCGTACATCTGGAAGTGGCTGAACACCAGGACGATCGAGGCTGAGATCGACGGCGAGGTCAAGAGCGAGAAGGCGGTTCTGTCGTTGATGTTCGAAAAGTACATGAAGTCTTGCATCGAGTACTGCCTCGAAGGCATCGAAGGCGAAGTCATCGGGAAGCCGCTCACGCAAACGATCCCGCAGACGAACTTGAACCTCGTCCGCCAGTGCTGCAACATGCTCGAGTGCCTTCTCACGGAAGAGCGCGCCATCGTGGACGAGTCCGTGCTCGAGGCAACGTTCATCTTTTGCCTGACGTGGTCCGTGGGCGCCGCGGTGGTTCAAAAACTCGGCGTGCAAGACCGCGACCGGTTCGACAAGTTCATCAAAGCGCAGTCCGGGTACCAGTGCTTCGAAGGCGAAGGTCTCTCCGCGACGCAGCTTCCGCAGGATTCGTTGTACGAGTACGTGTTCGACCTCGATAAGAGGCAGTGGTTCACGTGGAAATCGCGCGTCAAGCCGCTGGAGATTCAAGAAGACGCGAAGTTCGCGTCCATCGTCGTCCCGACCGTGGACACCGTGCGTTCGAGCTGGCTTCTGGAGACGTTCTGCGAGAAAGGGAAGCCCGTGTTGTTCGTCGGCGACTCCGGCACCGCGAAGACGGTGACCATCTTGAAGTACCTCAGGGGCTTGGACCTCACGAAAAACCAGGTGCTCACGTCAAACTTTTCCAGCCGCACGACGTCGCGGGACGTTCAGCTCGGGATCGAAGACGTCGTCGAGAAGCGGACGAAGGACACGTTCGGCCCGGCGATGGGGAAGAAGCTAATCTGCTACTTCGACGACCTGAACATGCCGAAGGTGGACACCTACGGCACGCAGCAGCCCATCGCGTTGCTCAAGACGCTGATCGAACGCCAGGGTTTTTACGACCGCGAAAAAGAGCTCAACTGGAAGAAGATCAAGGATCTGTACTACGTCGCCGCGATGGGCCCGCCCGGGGGCGCGCGCAACCCGGTGGATCCACGATTCGTGTCTCTGTTCAACACGTTCGAGATTCAGTTCCCGTCGTCGGACAACCTCCGGACGATTTACGCGGCGATTTTAAAGTCGCACACGGTGAAGCTCAACGAGGACATTCGCGGCGCCGCGGAAAATCTCACGGACGTCACGCTCGAGCTGTACAACTACATTCTCGAGAAACTTCCCGCGACGCCGAGTCGTTTCCACTACATCTTCAACCTCAGAGACCTCTCGAGGGTGTACGAAGGCCTCTTGTGCTCGACCGAGGACAAGTTCAAGACCCCGACGCAGTTCATCCGACTGTGGAGAAACGAAGTCTTGCGAATCTTCCACGACAGGCTGATTTCCGAGGAGGACAAGGCCGTCGTCCTGGACAAGATGACCGAGCTCTTAGAGGAGCACTACCAATCCGACGCGAACGATGTTCTCAAGGACCCTATCCTCTTCGGCGACTACAAGGAAGCTCCGAAAGAAGTCGCGGAGACGGGCGGCGAAGGCGACGCCACCGCTGGGGTGTTGCGCCTGTACGAAGACGTCGGCGCGTACGCGGATATCAAGCCCCTGTTCGAGGAGATCATGACGCACTACAACGGTAAGTACAAAGACATGAACCTCGTGTTCTTCGAGGACGCGCTCGAGCACCTGACGCGCGTGCATCGCATCATTCGGCTCGATCAAGGAAACGCGCTGCTCGTCGGCGTCGGCGGGTCGGGGAAGCAGTCGCTGTCGCGACTCGCCGCGTTCACCGCCGGGTGCGAGGTGTTTGAAATCACCCTCACGCGCGGGTACGACGAGACGATGTTCAGAGACGACCTCAAGTCTCTGTACACGATGATCGGCGTGAACAATCAGAAGGTGATGTTCTTATTCACGGACTCGCACGTCGCGGATGAGGGGTTCTTGGAGCTCATCAACAACATGCTCACGAGCGGGATGGTTCCCGCGTTGTACGCGGACGACGAAAAAGAAGGCGTCACCGCCGGCCTCAAAGAAGAAGTCGTCAAGAAAGGCCTCGGCGAGACGAAAGAAGCCGCGTGGAACTACTTCGTCGACCGGTGCAGGAACAACCTCCACGTCGTCCTCGGGATGTCCCCGGTGGGAGACACGCTCCGGACGCGCTGTAGGAACTTCCCCGGGATGGTCAACAACACCGTGATCGATTGGTTTCAGCCGTGGCCGGAGGACGCGCTTCGGTCGGTGTCGCAGGTGTTCTTGAAAGACCTGGACATGCCCACGCGGTTCAGGGACACGGTCACCGAGCACATGGTCATGACGCACCAGTCCGTGCGGAACTACAGCGTTAAGTTCTTCGAAGAGCTTCGACGGTACAACTACGTCACGCCGAAAAACTACCTCGACTTTATCGCCAACTACAAAAAGAGCCTCGAAGAGAACCGAGTCTTGAACCAGAACATGACCGAACGCCTGGACGGCGGCCTCCAGAAGCTCATCATGGCCGGCGAGGAAGTCACGACGATGCAAGAGACGCTGAGTAAGGCGAAAGTCGTCGTCGCGCAAAAGACGAAGGAGGTGAACGAACTTCTCGAGACGATCGCGAAGAGCACCGCGCTCGCAGAGAAGAAATCCGCAAACGCGGTGCAAAAGGAGGAAAAGCTCAAGATCGAGTCCGAAGAAATTCTGAAGATCAAGGAAGAAGCCGAGAACGATCTCGCGGAGGCGATTCCCGCGCTCGAGGCTGCCGCGGACGCGCTGAAGAACCTTCGAAAGGAGGACATCACCGAGCTGAAATCGTTCGCGAAGCCGAACGTCTACGTCCAGAAAGTCTGCGAGTGCGTCGGGATTTTGCAAGGCATCAAAGACATCTCGTGGGCGGGCGCAAAGCTCATGATGACGGACAATAACTTCCTGAAGTCCTTGTTCGAGTTCGACAAGGACAAGATCAAGGATAAGCAGATCAAGGCGCTCAAGGCGTACACGAGCGACGAGGCGTTCACGGTGGAGAACGTCATGGGCATCTCCCAAGCAGGCGGCGGTATGCTGAGGTGGGTTTTCGCGATGATTAAATACAACGCGGTGGCGCGCACGGTGGAGCCGAAGCGCAAGGCGGTCGCGAAAGCGGAGAAGTCCCTACGAGCCTCGGAGAAGGATCTCGCGAAGATCAAGAAGGAGGTGAAGAAGCTCAACAAAGAGCTCGCGGCGTTCAACGTCAAGATGGAAGAGAACATGTCCGAGCAGCAGAGGCTCAAGGACGAGGCGGATCTCATGCAAAAGCGCCTCGCGGCGGCGGAGAAGCTCATCAAGGGCCTCGCGAGCGAACGCACGAGGTGGACCGCGGATTTGGAGGAGCTCGCGAAAGTCCGCGAGCGGCTCCTCGGCGATTGCCTCCTGACGTCTTCGTTCCTGTCCTACACCGGCGCGTTCACGTTCGACTTCCGCCAGAAGCTGACGTACGAGCTGTGGCTGTCGGACGTGCGCGACCGCGACGTCCCGGTCACGGTGCCGTTCCGGTTGGAGAAACTCCTCGCGGACGACGTCGTGACCGGTCAGTGGGCGTCCGAGGGGCTCCCCTCGGACGAGCTCTCGATTCAGAACGGCATCCTCACGACGCGCGCGTCGCGGTTCGCGCTGTGCATCGACCCGCAGATGCAAGCGGTGACGTGGATCAAGCGCAGAGAGGGGAAAAACCTGGAAGGGAAGGTCAAGACGTTCAACGACTCGGACTTTTTGAAACAGCTCGAGCTCGCGGTGCAGTACGGTCTCCCTTTCCTGTTCGAGAACCTCGACGAGTACATCGACCCGGTGATCGATCCGGTCCTAGAGAAGAACATCATCATCAACCCGCAGAACGGGAGCAAGACGGTGAAGCTCGGGGACAAGGAAGTCGACTGGGACGACAACTTCATGATGTACCTCACGACGAAGCTCCCGAACCCGCACTACGGCCCGGAGATCAGCGGGAAGACAATGATCATCAATTACTCCGTCACGCAAGAGGGTTTACAAGACCAGCTGCTGAACGCGACGGTGCGGTACGAGCGCCCCGATCTCGAAGAAGAGCGCGAGCGCCTCGTGAAGGAAGTGAGCGAGTCCAAGACGCTCCTCAGCCGCCTCGAGGACACGCTCCTGAAGGAGCTCTCGTCCGCGACTGGGAACATTCTCGACAACGAGGAGCTCATTCAGACGCTCGAGGACACGAAGATCAAAGCCGTCGAGATCGCGGCGAACCTGAAAGCCGCGATCGTGACGTCCGAGGAGATCAACACCACGCGCGTGCGGTACACCCCAGTCGCGAAGCGCGGCAGCATCTTGTTCTTCATCATGTCCGGCCTCAGCGTCGTGAACAACATGTACGAAAACTCGCTCGCGATGTACCTCGAGGTGTTCAACCTGACGTTGGACACGTCGAAGAAGGACAGCACCCTGGACGGCCGCCTTCGGAACGTCGTCGAGGCGTTGACTTTTGATGTGTACAACTTCACGTGCCTCGGTCTGTTCGAACGCCACAAGCTCATGTTCTCGATGCAGATGTGCATTAAAATCGAGGAGGGCGAGGGGCGGCTGAACCGCGAGCAGCTCGACTTTTTCTTGAAGGGGAACCTGAGCTTGGAGAAGTCCAAGCGGAAGAAACCGTACGAGTGGTGGCCGGAACAAGGCTGGGAGGATCTCATGCGCCTCATCAAGCTCGGCTCCGAGGACGAAGAGAGCAGCCAGGGCGGAAGCACCCCCGAGGGCGGCACGCCCGAGGCAGGGACCCCCGCGGAGGGCAGCCCGGCGAAGAGCCAGAAGAGCGCCGGCGAGGACGACGCGCCCGCCGCGGAGGAGCCCGCCGCCGAGGAGCTGGAAGCCGATCCCGAGGCGGACGCCGCAGCCGCGGAAGAGGACGGCGGCGAAGTCACCGAGGTGTTCCTCGACGAGGAAATTCTCGACGAGGAGCCCGCGGAGCCCGCAGAGCCCGAGGAGCCCGCGGAGCCAGAGATTCAATACCGCGTCTCGATCACGTTGTCCATCCCCGAAGCCGAGGAAGACGCCGAGACACCCGGCGAGGGAGGCGAGGAACTCGCCGAGACACCCGAAGAGGGCGGCGACGCACTCGACGAGAGTCTCGAGGAAGTCGTCGAGGAGAAACCCGACGACGGTGGCGAGGCGGGCGCCGAGACGGTCGAAGAGGTCGCCGAAGTAGCCGAGGTCGCCGCCGAAGAAAAGCCGCGCGACTGGATCACCGTCAGCTTCGAAATCGGCGAGGAGAAACCCCCGACGCCGGTGCCGTCGCCGCCTCGTTCCGAAGTCGCCGCGCCGAAGGTGAACCCGTTCAAGACGCTCGCGGATCACATCGAAGAGTACGGCGAGGATTGGAAGGCGTGGTACGACCTCGAAGCCCCCGAGCAATCGCCGATGCCCGGCGGGTTTTCGGACACGCTCGACATCTTCGAGCAGATGCTCTTGCTTCGATGCGTCCGCGTAGATCGCATCACCGTCGCGGTGACGCGGTACGTCATCTCTCGCATGGGCGAGAAGTACGTCCAGCCCCCGAACTTGGACTACCCGAGGATCTACTCCATGTCCAACGCGCTCACGCCCGTGGTGTTCGTGCTCTCGCCCGGCGCGGACCCGGCGTTCGACGTCTTCCGTCTCGGCGAAGATTTGGGATACCGCCCGGGGGCTAAGCTCAAGTACATGGCGCTCGGTCAGGGCATGGGTCCGAAGGCGGCGGAGATGCTCGAGATGGGAAGCACGCGCGGGCTGTGGGTGATGTTGCAGAACTGCCACCTCCTCCCAAGCTGGCTGAAAACGCTCGAGAAAATCCTAGAGAAGATCACGAAGCCCAACAAAGACTTCCGGCTTTGGTTGACGACGGACCCGACGGATCGGTTCCCGCTCGGGATCCTTCAGCGCTCGCTGAAGGTCGTCACGGAGCCTCCGAACGGTTTGAAGCTGAACATCCGCGCGTCGTACGCGAAAATCACGGAGGAGAACCTCGCGGACTGCCCGCACCACGGGTTCCGTCCGCTGACGTACGTTCTCGCGTTTTTCCACGCCATCGTGCAAGAGCGACGCAAGTACGGCAAACTCGGTTGGAACGTCGCGTACGACTTCAACGAGACGGACTTTCGAATCTCGCACTTGCTCATCAACACGTACCTCACGAAGGCGTTCGACAACAAGGACGACGTGTTACCGTGGGGGACGTTGCGGTACCTCATCGGCGAGGCGATGTACGGCGGGCGCGTCTCGGACTCGTTCGATCGGAGGATTTTGACGACGTACCTGAACGAGTACCTCGGCGACTTCCTCTTCGACACGTTTCAGCCGTTCCACTTTTACCAAAACGAAGACGTCGACTACGTCATCCCCGAACACGGCCCGCGGGATAACTACACGAGGATGATCGACAAGCTCCCGCTCGTGCAGACCCCGGAGGCGTTCGGGCTCCACGGGAACGCGGACATCTCGTACTACACCAACGCGACGAAAGAGCTCTGGACCAACTTGGTCGACCTCCAGCCGAGGGTCGCGGGGAAGAGCGGCGGTATCAGCCGCGAGGACTTCATCGCGCAAGTCGCCGCGGACGTCTTGAGTAAGATACCCCCGCCGTTCGACATGCCGGTCATCAAGAAGAAGATTGGGATCCCGTCCCCGACGCAAGTCGTGCTCCTTCAAGAGCTCGCGAGGTATAACCTCCTCGTCCTGAAGATGCTGTCCACGCTGAAGAGCCTTCAGAAGGCGCTCTCCGGCGAGATCGGCATGTCCGGCGACTTGGACCTCCTCGCGACCGCGCTGTTCAACGGCACCCTTCCCGCGGTGTGGGCGAAGATGACCGCGGCGACAGAGAAGAAGCTCGGAAGCTGGATGATGTGGTTCGAGAGAAGGTTCGCGCAGTACACGGATTGGGTCGAGAACGGCGAGCCCGCGGTGATGTGGCTCTCGGGGTTGCACATTCCCGAGACGTACACCGCGGCGCTCGTGCAGACCGCGTGCAGGGATAAAGGGTGGCCGCTGGATAAGTCCACGCTGTACACGAAAGTGACGCAGTACACGGACGCGTCGCAAATCACGGAACGCATGCCGCACGGGGCGTACGTCCAAGGTTTGTACCTCGAAGGCGCGTCGTGGGATTTGGAGAAGAGCATCCTGAGGCGGCAAGACCCTAAGGTGCTCGTCACCGAGCTGCCTATTCTTCAGGTCATCCCGATCGAAGCGTCGAAGTTGAAGCTGCAGAGCACGTTCAAGACGCCGGTGTACGTGACGCAGAGCCGGCGAAACGCGATGGGCGTCGGGCTCGTGTTTGAGGCGGATTTGTCCACGGAAGAGCACGGAAGTCATTGGGTCCTTCAGGGCGTCGCGTTGTCGCTGAATATTGATCAATAACTCGCGCGGGGGTGTGAAACCGCGCGCGATAGAACTACTAGTAGGAAATTTAGGTGTAACAACACAATCGATTGCACAAACCGTAGTACCGAAGGTAACCGCTACGTCGACTATTCTATTTTCCCATGAGCAGAGCCATCGCCCTCTCCACCGCGGACTGGGGTTTGCCGTCGCCTTCACCGGCTGGCTCGGTCGTTTGCTTCTTCTTTTTCTTCTTCTTTTTCACCCCGACCTCTGCGGCCGGCGACGCTTCCGGAACCCCCCCCGCTCCGCCCGGGCGACGCCTCTTCTTCCCGCCCGGCGTATCCCCCGTCGTCGCGTCGATCGTCTCCGGCGGCGGCGCCAACGTCGACGCCAACGACTCGATGCTCGCGGGAACGACTTCGAGAGCCTCCGGTTTCCTTTCCACGGCGACGCCGAGACCTAACCCGCCGCTCACGGTCGAGTACAACGGTTTCGCGTCCATCGCCTTCCCGGCGGCGGCGTCGTCGGCGTCGTCTCTGCGATCCACGTCGATGGAAACTTCGAGACCCCGGACTTTCCTCGGGACCGCCGCGCCGAGGTCTTCCCTCGTCGCCGTTCCGACCGCGGCGTTCGACTCGTTCCGTTCCGCCCTCTCCCCCTCTGCCAACCCGTGCATCAGCCGCCACGACCAGTCCTCGTCGTCGATGACCCCGACCGCGGAGCTCTCGCCGCCGTCGACCGCGCGCACGTTCGGTCGCACCGCCTTCGACGCGCCCGCCACTGAGACCCACTCGCACTTCAGCGACTCCGGCGCCTTCGCGTCGTCCCACCAACTTTCGCCCAGCCCCGGCGGCGGCATCGCGCCGTCGCTCAACAGTGGACGCAGCGCGTTGTACGACGCCACGACGTCGACCGCGAGCTGGTGCAACGACGTTCGAACGCGCGCGACGGCGGCGACGGAGACGAGCGCGAACGGCACGAAGTAGGAATGCGCGGTCTGTCCGCTCAGCGCCTCCGCGCACGCGAGCGCGGCGTCGTCCGCGTCCGCGACGACGCGCGCGACGGCGCGAAACCGTCGCGCGAGATCTTCCCAGAGCGCGCGCGGCGGGAGCTTCCACATCGCGTGCGCGCCCGCTCTCACCGCGGGGGTGCTCAGCGCGGTTTCCCTCGCGCGCTCGGAGACGCCGGCGTGTAATCCGTCGCGCAGCGCCGCCGCGGCGGCGCCGACGTCCAGCGACGCGATCGCGCGAAGGTGGCGCGTGAGCCCTCGCATGCGCTGGAAGTGCACCGCGCGTCGGTGCTGGCTCGCGGACTTGTACATCACGCGCTCCCACAGCGCGGTCTCGCGTCGGAGCTCGTCGCATTGGAGCGCGGTCACGAGCGACGGCGCGGACGTCGACGGGTCGTTCTCGTCGCCGCCGCCACCGAGGGCGTCGAGGGCTCGGCGCATGGACGCGAGCGCGCCGTCGGGGAGGCTTCGCGCGGGGACCGCCGTCCGCAGCTCCGGAGGGAGCGGCGGAAGGGGCGGCGCCGTCCCTGCCATGGTGCGCACTCGTTGTGATTTCTCGGGCGCTGAAAACTTCTTCGCGAAAAATGAATCTTTGGATGACATTTACAGGTACACCGTCACGCCTATACGCCTCACTGCTTGAACCTCGTGCCGTAATGCGTCGTCTTCGACGGATACTTCACCGCGACGCACCCCTCGAACGGCCGGACGTGTTTGTAAAACTGCTGCGCGTTCGTCTTCCCGTTGTCGCTCACGGTCTCCACCCCCGGGGTGAAGAACCCCATCACTCCCGCGTCCTCCGCGAGCTTGTGCCGCTTCTCGTTCTTGATCGGATAACTGCCGGTCATGTGATTCGTCCACCCGGTCGTCGTCTTCGTACACGGCGGCGGGTGAGGCTTGATGTTCGACGGGTGCTGCGGGCGCCAGTGCGACATCCCGGGCATGCGGTCGCGGCCGTACTGGTCGAGGTCGTAGGGCAACATCGCGTTCTTCTCCGACGCGCGCGTGAAAACGCCGTCGCTCTGCGCCATCGCTTTCTTATTATACGGCGCGACGTTGATGAACCCGCTGTATCCGGGGACGTGTCTCGTCGATCGCGTCGTCCCGAGGCCGAACTCGCCGGTGCTGGGCACGTTCACCCTCGCCTTCGCCTTCACGGAAGGATCCGAGCCGTACTTGCCGAAATTTTGATCGTACACCGTCGTCGCCTCAAACTTCGGCTCGATGACGCGTCGTTCCGCCCGCGCGAAGTCCCACGGACCGCTCACCGCGCGCGGCGCGTCGAACGACTTCGCGAACGCCGTCGTCCTCGCGGTCTTCTCCGCCGCGAGGACGGACTCGTCGTTCTCGTCGTTCGAGCGTTCGCCGTCGCTCTCCTCCGAGGACGCCGCGTCCGAGGGCGTCTTGTACTCGTAGCTGTACGACGTCTTCGCGATGAACCGCGCGTCCGCGGACTTGGCCGCCTTGTTTTTGCTCTGGTCGCCGATCCAGTACCCGCCGCCGGTCTTGTCCGGGACCTTGTACGCGCTGGCGTCCGCGCGGGTGAGTTGCGTGTCGTACAGCGTCTTCGGGATTTGGTCCGAGGTGAATTCGGCCGCGAGCGCTTTCAAGTGCTTCGCCCCCGGTTCCTTGCCGATGTACTTGCTCGTGCTGACGGGGATCAACAAGTTTTCCTCGGACGGAATGTACCCGGTGTAGCCTGGACGGAGAGAACGGAACGGGAGGCGGAGGACGTCAGCGGCGCGTCGTCGTCGTCAGGGAGCGAGCGTATCGGAAATCCAAAATTAATCTAATCGTCGTCGTTGTAATAACGCAAATCGTCGATTCGCGACGGAGGGACGGGCGACGGAGGCGACGCACCCGACACGCCCTTGGACACGCGGTATCCAAGGTAGGAGTAGTTGCCTTGACCCATTTCGTCGCGAGCGCGTTCGAGTGCACGACCGTGCGAGACCGCGCGAGACCGCGCGATTCGGAGTGTCTGTCTCGTGTCGGCACTAGCTATGATAGGGGGTTCCGGAAATGGCATTTCGATTGCGTTGGCGCGAGAAGCGCGATCAGGGCGAATCTGTATCAGAGCCAATAGGAAAGTTGCGCCAAGGCGCCGAGCGACACTCTCCAACGCGCCTCGCACGCAGCACACGCCGCACGATCGTCATGTCCTTCGCCATGGGTGCGTTCCAACCCGCGCACCTCGTCCAGACGCGCGCGCGCGTCGCGTCTCCCTCGTTCGTTCCCGCCCCGGCGTCGTCTCCGTCCGCGGAACGACAGTCGCACACATCCATCCATCCGTGCCAACTGGCGTCTCGCGTATTAACATCAATCATCCCGTTCCGTCGCCGTCCATCGTCTCCTCAGCCGCCGCGAGCACGTCGACCGCCGCGCTGACGACGACGCTCCGCAAGCAGAACGTCGCCTCCAAGCGCGGCGTCGCGCTCGTCCCGCGCGTCGCCGGGGTGAACGAGCTCGGGCAGATCGCAGACGGCGCGTCGGGCGCCGTCGCGTTCCTCGCCGTCGCCGCCGGCGCCGCGGGGGTCTCGTTCGCGTCCTCCGCGGCGCTCGAGAAGCGCGTCGAGGAGGCGATCGCGAAAGCTGAGAGCTACGGCATCGACCTCACGGACTTGTACTACGACTTCGACGTCCCCGGGGACCAGTACCCTTTCGGCGATGGGGAGGAATGGATGCCGAAGAGCTGGAAGCCGCCGAAAACCGGGGACAGCAAGTACCTCCCGACGAAGATGCTGGGGCAGATTCAGATCAGGACGAACCAGTACGAGGCGATTCAGGTGTGCAACGAGAAGGCGATCGACATCGCGGATTTGTGCGTGCCGTTCGAGGACTACGAAGGCGAGTTCGACACGAACGCGAAGCGTCTGAACGAGATGAGGAAGAGGATCGAGGCGGCGAAGTGAAGGATTCACGGGCGTCGCGATTCGTCATAGCACTACAAAACTAGCTACTTGCACGCGTAAGAGAGAGAGAGAGAGTGAATCACCACGCGAGTCCACTCGCTCGACCGAGCGATCGCAGTGCATCGCCTCGCCTACCTCCCCGCGGCGGGGCGATCCGGGCGAGGCAAATCGTACCCGCTTCCGACTCGTCCGTACGTGTCCCCGCCTAATCGGCACACGGGCGCGTATCGAGCCATGTCCACCCTCGGTTTCCCTTCCCATTCCACGTTCGCGACCGCCTCGTGGATGTGGAACATCACGACCTCTCCTACGATCGCCGTCGCCGTGACGACGCCGTCCGCGTTGGTCACGTCGTAACTGTGCCGCAACTTGCACTCCATGTGAAACGCGGACTCCTTCACCCGGGGCGGCTTCACCTTCGCGGACGGCACGCGCGTCAAGCCGGAGAGGTCGAACTCGTCGTCCTCGGCGTCGAAGTTCCCGCACGTGTGGTTCGCGGCGTTCACGAACCACTCGGACATCACGCACACGACGAACTCCTTCGTCGCTTCGATGTTCGCCCACGTGTCCTTCTTCGCCCCGCCCGGCTTGCGGCACGCGCTGAACATCACGCACGGGGGGTCGTGCGAGATCACCGTCGCGTACGAGAAGGGCGAGAGGTTCCCGACGCCGTCCGCGCTCAGGGAAGAGACGAACGCGATAGGCCTCGGGACCACCGCGGATATCATGAGCGGGTAGCACGACTTGAGGTCCTTCGGATCGAACGGAAGCATCGCATCGTTCGCGAACGGGAGCGGCTGCTTCGTCCCGGGGGTCCACTCCGGGTTCGGAGCAGGTTGGAGCTGGAACGACGCGGGCGGCGTCGCGTCCGCGGCGTCGTCGCCGTCGAGCGACATCCTGTGTGACGAGCGCAGGACGTGACGTGCACGGTTTGTGTCTTTCTAACAATTTCTACGAGGCAAACAACAAAAGGTTTACTTTCCGCGAGCGTTCGTCGTAAACTCGAAGAGCAGGCGCGTCGCCGTGGACGACTCGCTGTTCAGCTGCATGTTCAGCTTGTCCGTGAGCTTGTACACGAGCGCGAACGTCGTCTGCATCTCGCTCTCCTTGAGCTTCCTCGACATCGTCGCCTGCAGAGAGTCGCCTAACATGAGCTCCCAGTCCGACCCCAAGGAAAACTGCGAGATATTCCGGAAGGGATCCGTGCTCGGGTCCAGCGACAACAAACCCGGGATCGACGGCGCGGTCGTGACCCTCCATCGCGCCTTCCCGAGCTGTCCCCCGGTCTCGATCTTCGGCATGAGCGTCGCGACCGTGCTCGCCGCGAGGTTCGAGAACGCGAGCTGGCCGTCCTGTTCCAGGAGGCTCTCCGTGAGTTGCCCTTCGAAAATCCTCGCCGCCTCTGCGACGGCGGCGTCTCGGTCGTTCGGGCCGACGATCTGGTCCCCGGTGCCGACGCCGCCGACGACCTTACCGCCCACGGTGCCGCCGCCGACGACGGCCGCGGCCTTCGCCCCGGCTCGCCCGCTGCCGCTCGTGATGACCAAATTCTCGGTCCAGTTCGACGCCTTGCCTTGCACGAGCGCGCGAATGTCCGCGCCCACGAGAGAGACGTCGAGCGTCGGGTCTAAACCGTGCTCGGGGACGAAAACCGCGCGGTTCGGGTGCTCCCTGGACAGACGGACCTGCGTCGCGACGAGATTGATGTCGCCTCTCTCGAAGTTGATCGCGCCGCTCGGGCGAATCAGCACCGGATCCGCGGCGCCGTTCACCTCAACCTCGCCGCCGACGCCAAAGTTTAAGACGAAGGGGTACACCGCGCTGAGTTCCGGGCCGACGATGAGTCGCAAGCCGCGGAAACGCAGCGGGAGCTGCTCGAGTGCGCTCGCGTCCTTGTCCGCCGTCTTACCGCCCTTCGCGGGCGTCCCGGGCGGCGACGCGCGCTGTAAGAAACCCGCGAGGCTTCTTCGCGCTTCTCTTCCGAAAAATCCGCCGGTGCTCGTTGAGCCGGGGCGGCTGGCCGCGCTGACGCCGCCGCTCGGGGCCGCGTTCGGTTGAATGAACGCCGTGCCCTTGGACAAACGAAGCGAGCCGCCGATCTCGGGCTCGAGAAGCGTCCCCTTGACGACGAGATCCGCGTCCAAGCGACCGCTGTACACCGCGCGCGCGCGGACTTCGACCCCGGACGCCTCCGCGCGGATGCCTCCTTGCACGTCCGCGCGCGCGACCAACCCTTCCCACGTCTCCCCGCTCGCGCCGCGTCGCGGTTGCAGCACCGGGACCGCGCCGCGGATCTTGATCGATCCTCTCGGACCGCACTTCGCGTCGAAGTGGTCCGCGTACAGCGTGTTCCGCTGAATCCGCACGTTCGCGCTGACCGGATACAGCGGCCGCTGCAGAAGCGGGGAGACGATTTTCGCGCGCGTGATGACCGCGGCGCCGTCGTACACCGGGTCCGCGAGCGTCCCTCTGACCGCGAGCGTGATGTCCGCGCCGCCGGCTTGCCACTCCACGGGCCCGGCGCTCCCGAGGCTCGGGGCGGACAGCGCGCTCACGAGGTGCATCCCGCCGTCCTGCACGGACCAGTCGACCGCGACGCTGCGGTCCTCCGCGTCCGGCAACGGCAGGACGCCGCTCAGGCGCAAATGACCGGGGGTGATCGTCGCGTTCCTCTTGCTGCTCGACGCCGGGTTCGCCTCCGCGTGGAACCGCGCGGTGCGCGAGGGCGTCACCTCCGCGGACGCGTTCGCGTGGCCGAGCTTCACGCTCCCGATGCGCCCTTCGCTGAGGTGCGCGCGCACGCTGCCGGTCGGCGACGAAGGCGACCCGCCGATGTCGCCGGAGACGAACAGCGTTCCCGTGATGGTCGGCAGCGGCGGCGGCGGAGGCGGCGGCGCACCCGCGGACGCGCTCGCCGCGGAGGTTATGTGATGAATGATCGGCGCGAGCCTCTGCGCGGGGAGGTCGATGACCGCGAACGCGGCGTTTTGCGTCTCCCCGAACAGGTTCCCGTCCAGTTTCACGACAGCGCCGTCGGATTTGAGCTCGAGCCGGCGCAAGTGCAGACCCTCCACGGCGTCGACGTTCCCTTGCGCTTGCACGGACTGCACTTGGTATTGTCCCCACTGCCACTCGTTCCCTTCGACGTCAAAGTCGACCGCGGTGATGTTCGACGCCGGGCTCCCTGAGTCGGACACGATCGACGCCCCGGCGCCGCCTTTCACTTCGACGACGCCCCTCCAGCGGCCCTTCAAATCTTGCAACCCGGGGAGTTGCACGGGCGCGTCCGTGTTCGCGGCGTCCGCGCCAATCTTCGCGGTCCTTCCCGCGGCCCTTTGCTCCGCGGCGAGCACCGCCGCGGCCTGGTCGAGCTGCCTCCCGAGCTCCTCGGAGGCGGTTATCGCCAACTTGCGCACCTCGTGAAGGAAGTGGTCCTTCGCGCGCGTGTACTCCAGCGGCGTCGCGCCTTCGCGTAACACCGCGGCGAGACGCACCGCGGGGAGCATCTCCTCGACATCCGCCTGCGGGACCGCGAGCATGAGCCTCCACGCGCCGGGGTCCATCTCCTCTACCGGCGTCGCGGGTTCTTCCGTGACCAAGCTCTCGAGATCGCCCTCCGTCGCCGCGTTTGAATCCATCGCCGCGGCGGCGGACTCCTCGCTTTGGTTCCCCTCAGGGAAACTCTTGACCTTCGTCGCGATCGCGGTGAGACGATCCATCACCCCCGCGAGCGGGTTGCTCGAGCTCGGCTTCTCCTCTGCGACGTCTTGTTCCGCGCTCGCGACTGGCTCGTCGGTCATAAACTCGCGGTAGTCGTCCACGATGTTGTTCGCGTTCGGGGGGATCATCTGCGAGAGGTTCATCGACGCCTCGGTCTCTTCCGCCGCCGCGGGCGCGGCGTCGGTCTCCGCGGCGTCTTCCTCGACGACCGCCGCGTCTTCCGTCTCCGCCGCGACGTTCGCGACCTCTCGCGCGATCTCCTCGACGGTCGAGTCGATCGTCTCCTCGACGACGCGCGCGATGTCCCTCTCGTCGACGTCGACGACCGGCGTTTCGGGCGCGGTGACCTCTTCGGTCGCCGCGTCCGCGGTCGCCGCCTCGGTCGCCGTCGCCGTCGCCGTCGGCGCCGCCGCCGCCGTCTCCGCGCGCGTGGACGCCCCGCCGAAGAGCCGACGAACGTTGGAAAACAAACGCCTCACGAACTCGGGGCGCTTTTTCGTGCTCGTCTCCTCTATCGCGGCGTTCATCGCGACGGGCGCGTCCTCGAGACCCTCCGCGGCGGCCACGAGCTCGTCCACGAGCTCGTCCACGACGCTCGCGACGTCGTCCTCGGACGCCGCGCGCGAGGCGAGGTCGACCGTCTCCACGGACGCGCGCGACGCCGACGGCACGTCGACGTCCATCGCGCGCGCGGGCGCTTCGTCCGTCGCCCCGTCCGCGACGATCTCCGCCGCGATCTGTTCCTCGACGGACGGCAAGACCACCGGCGGCTCCGGTCGCGGCGGCGGCAACGACGCCCAGACCGCGTCGTCCAAGCAGTGCTCGCCCTTGAGCGTGTACTTCGACCGTCGCTGATCCAACGCCGCGCGCTCGAGGCGCACGACGCGACCGTTCCAAGACGCGTCCGCGTCCAGGACCTCGCCTTGCACGCCGCTGAGCCTCGGCTGCTGCACGCGGAGCGTCGCGGCGCCGAGCTTCTCGCGGAGATCGACGTTGATCTTCGCGCGTTCGACGCGGCCGCGCAGCGACGCGAGCTCGAGGTCGTCTAAACGAAGCCCCGCGACGTCTAGCACGCCGCGCCCGTCCGAGCCGCTCACCTCCGCGCGCAGCAAGCCGCGCCGAATCGACATCGACATCGCGGACGCGGGGGGCTCCTGCGCGTCCGTCGCCGCGGGCGCGGAGCTCGATGCCGCCGGCGCCGCCGCGGGGTTATCGAACCGAAACCGGAGGTGCTCGTCCGCGCGACCGCGCGCGTTGACGTTCACCGCGGACAGGCTCGCGTCCACCTCCCCCGCTAACCTGGGCGCGAGCTGGAGCTGGTTCACTCTGAACCCGTCGAGGTTCACCTTCCCTTTGAAGACCGGGTCGTCCTTCCCGTCCGGGGAGCACACGTACGGGGACGACGGCGCGTGATCGACGCCGCTCAGCGAGAACGCATCCGCGGCTTTGTTCGCCGCGTCCCTCGACGCAGGCGTGACCTTCGGGAGCGACGCCGCGGTCGCGCCGCCGGCGCCTTCGACGGAGCCTTTCACCTTCACGGAGCCGGACAGACGCAGACGCAGACGGTCCGGCGGCGCGAGTCGAGCTAGGTCGTCCTCCGCGACGACGAGCGCGGCAAGGTCGAGCGACCGGAGCGTCGCGTCAATCTCCGCGGCGGTGAACGACGGCCTTCCCGCCGCGAGCGATTCGTCGATCGTCCTCGCCGCGAGCGCGACTTCCAACGGAGGGTAACTCGTCTCCGCGACCGTCTTGAACTCGACCGCGGGCGCGTTCACCGTCGCGGACACGCGCTGTCGCGTGATGCTCAGATCCCCCGCGATGTCCGCGCCCTCCACCGCCCACGTTGCGTCCACCTTCGGAGCCGCGTGCGGACCCACGATGGTCGCCTTCGCCACCCCGGGGGACGAGGGCACGATCTTGTCGTACAACGCGGGGGGGATCCCGAACGTGTTCGCGTTCGCCGATTTCCCCGCGCCGGCGTCGACGGCTTGCTCGCTCGCGAGTTGCTCGACCATCCCGCTCAGGGGACCGTCCGAAGCGAATAGATGCTTCAGCCCGCCCGGCAACGCCGCGACCCATCGCTCCGTCTCGCTCTCACTCGTCGACGCGAGCTTCGCCTCGTCCGCTCGCGCCGCGGACGCCGTCGCGCCTTTCATCGCGAACGAGTTCACGACGCTTCTGGGGTCGAAGCCCTCCGCTTCCATCTCGACGTTCACCGCGTTAGGGTGCGACAACGCGTTGAGGTCGAGACGCACGGTCCCAGACGCTCGCCCTTCGCCGCCCGCGAGCGGGGACGCTTCCGCTTCGTGTAACGTCAGCTTCTGCGTCCACGTGTCGACGGTGAACACCGCGCGCGCGTCTTTCACGGCGAAGCAGTCGTACGCGCCGACGGCGCCGTCCGCGGCGCCCGCTCGAATCGCGTCCTCCGCGAGCGCGGCTTCCGACCCCGGCTCCGCGCGCGTGAGATCCTCGGGGAGCGGCGGGATCGTCTCCACGTTCCCGGTGAATATCGGGAAGTCCAGCGGTCCGCCGACGTACAGGTTGCCCCGAAGCGCGCCCGCGACCGGTCTCGGCGGCGGTCGCACGCCCAGGGTTTCCCGGAGCGCGTGCGCGTCTACTCTTTGGACTTGCGCGGAAATTCTGTACTCGCCGCTGAGCCCCGATCCGGACTGCACCACCTCCGGTCTCGGCGCGTCCATGCCGTTCTCTCGCAGCTCTCGTAGTTTCGCCATGTCCTTCTCCCCCGGGCACAAGTCCAAATCACCCGACGCGGTCAGCGGCACCGCGCCGTAGTGCCCTTTCCCCCCGTGCAGGTACAGGCGCTTCCCTTCGAACACGAGGTCCGCGTCCGTGTCCGCGAAGCTATCCGGGGAGTCGAAGAAGTGGAAGTTCAGCCCTCTGGCGCGTATCTGTCCTCCAAACTCGGGGAATCGCCAGCTGTCCGTGTCGTTGCAGCGCAGCCGCAGTTCGCCGTCGAGCCGCCCGGCGCTGACGTCGAGCGGTAACCCGGGGATCGTCCTCTCCACGACCGCCGCACTCGTGTTGTTCAGCTGGATGCGCACCTTCAGATCGTTCCTGTGGTGCGGCCAAAACCCTGGGGGATTCGGTTTGATCTCCTCGACGTTCTTCCTGTCCTCGTCCGCGCTGGGCGGAACGAGACTTATGTACGCGCGGATCGTCCCGCCGTCGGTCCCGCGCGCGACCTCCCGCGCGAGAGATCGTACCTCCGCCTCGGTCTGTTCCGCGCGTAAATTCCTCGGGAGCGTGTCGCTCTTCATCGTGACGATTCGCTCCGCGGGCGGGACGCCGCGGCTCACCGGGTTCACGGTCGCGTCGATCTCTAAGCGCCCTTTATTCGAGATGTTCACCGTGCCGTTCAGCCGTTTCAACAGCCTCGGGTCCGGGTCCCCGGCGAGGTGAAGCGACGCGGTGCCGTTCGCGACTCTCACCGACTCGAGCGCGAGTTTAGGACCGCCGCCGCCGCTTCCGTCCGCGTCACCCGCTCGTTTCGGGAGCGAGATCGTCGGCCGGGCGGATATCGGGATCGTGTCGTCCGGGAACCCGAGCCAAGAGCTGTTGTCGCCTTGCCTCAACGTCGCCTGCACGCCTTCGAGGTGCGCGGCGACGACGATTCGAAATTGAAGCAACGACGCAATCGGTCGAAGCGAGAGCTTCACTTTCGCGACTTCCACGATCGACCGTTCCGCCTCCGCGGGACCTATCACGAGCGGACCTACGTCCACGAGAGAACCCACGCCTAGCAGCCCCGTGGGCCACAGACCTTTGCATCGACCGATGCGAATCGGACGGTTCGCGGCTTGCGACACCGTCGCGGACATCCACGGCAGAGCCTGATTCACGAAGTGCCTCCCGACGTAGTGCGACAGACCGGTCGACGCGACGAGGATGCCGCTGAGCCACAGCGCGGCGATGCCCAACTTCGTGAGGACGTACTCTCGCCACTCCCGCCACGCCCCCGCGATCGCTTCGCCGGTGAGGCGCGGCCAGTCGTCCTCGACGACCGCCTGCAGGGTCGCCTCTTGCACCGTCGCCTCCGACTCCGCGAACGATTCGAACACGTCGATATCGACGACGTCGTCCGAGTCCATCGGTCCTCGCCGTATCTCCCCCAGCCGCGGCTTCGGTTTGTTAATGGGCTCGAACTCGCCCGCGCCCGTGTACCCGCTGACGCTCTTGCGCGGGATGCTCGAGTCCTCGGACGCGCCCCCGGGCATGAAATTCTTCTTCGCGGAGGTGATCACCCGCGACCCCGCGCTCTTGCGACGTCGCGCGGGCCTCAGCGCGCACAGCGCGGGCCAGGACGACGTCGCTATCATCGACCCGCGGCTCAGCGGCGCGCCCCGGAACGTCGAGCTCGCGCGCGCGCGCAGGTGCACGACCCTCCGCGCCGTCGTGGGCGGCGTCGCGCTCCGCCAGCCCCCGCGCGACGCGCCTCCGGGCGCGCGCGCTCGCCCGACCACCGCGGGCTTCCCCATCGCGGCCGCCATCCCCGACCGGACGGTCCGCTCGAGTCGACCGCGTCGACCCGGGGAAGGAGTGTCGCGACGCGCGGCGCGGCCCGTGCGCTCGCGCTCGCGCGTGTGACGTCCAGCGGCGGACGACGACGCTCGTCGGGCGGGGAGAATTCGTCGAAGAGGCACCGGCTGAAAATCGAGAGGCTCGAGACGTCGCGTCGCATTCCACGTAGGCGCGCGACGGAGGCGCCCGGCGGAGGACGATGTTCCGCCGTCGGAGGCGCGCGTGAGACGTATCATGACGTTTACAGACGCGCTGGACCCGAGGGCGTTCCTCAAGGAGCCGAGGGCGAGAGGCTACGCGCTCGCGCAGGGATGCGCGCTCCTTTCCGCGATCTCGGCGATCGCGAGCACCGCGCTCGCCAACAGAGGCGCGAACTTCCCGGCGTGGCAGTCGTTCATCTTGTACGCGCTCCTCGCAGCGTACTTCGTCCCCGCGCACGCGCGAGCGAGATACCTCGAACGGAGTAGTTCGACGACGACGACGGCGGCGGCGACCGCGGACGACGCGAGGACATCGGACGCGACGCCGGGAATCGTAACAACGAACGACGACGACGCGGCGGCGTCCGCCGCCGCGAACCCGGGCGATGCCGAGACGAAGAGCACGAGAACGCTCGCGAGGTACGCCCTCCTCGCCGCGATCGACACGCAGGCGAACTACTGCATCGTCAAGGCGTTCAAGTACACGTCCCTGACGAGCGTGACGCTGTTGGACTGCGCGGCGATTCCGTTCTCGATGGCGCTCGGCGCGGCGACGGTAGGCAGCGTGTTCACTCGCGCGCACGTCTTAGGAGGCGGCGTCGCGTTCGCGGGTCTCGCGATCCTCGTCCTCGCGGACGCGTCGTCGTCGTCGTCGTCGTCGTCGTCGTCGTCGTCGTCGTCGTCCGCGAACGGGGGAGGCTCGAACCCCGTGCTCGGGGACTTTCTCGTCCTCGTCGCCGCGTTTTTGTACGCGTGCAGCAACGTGATGCAGGAAGCGTCGCTCCTCGACGGCGCGACCGCGAGGGAAATTTTGGCGCACGTCGGAGGGATCGGCGCGTGCATTTCCGGTCTCCAGTGCGCGGCGTTCGAGTCCGAGGAGCTCGCGAGCGCGAAGGAGGCTGGGGGATTCGTCGGATTTTGCCTGTTCGCCGCGTTCGCGGCGTCGCTCTTCGCGATGTACGCCGCAGTGCCGAGCGTGTTGTCGCTGTGCGGCGCCGCGGCGTTCAACGTGAACATGCTGAGCGCGGATCTGTGGGCCGCCGCGGCGCGAGTGATGATCTTCGGAGGGTTCGGGTCGTGGGCGAGCGGTCTCTCGTTCGTCGCGTCGCTCGCCGTCGTGACGATCGGACTCGTCGTCTTCGCCGCCGCGGGGGAGCCGCTGCCGCCGGATCGGAAACGCGACGGCGCGGTCGAGATGCGGTACGAGGTTTTAGACGAGGAAGGCGGCGGCGGCGGGGATGAGGTCTCGAGCGGGCGCTTGATCGCCGGCGATGCGTAGGTTCACTCTGTAGACTACTAGTTAGTTCGGCGCAGTAGTCAGTGAAATCATCACAAACGTCCTGTCCTCGGACGACGAAATCGAAATCCGCATCCGGGCACCCTGGTCAGGTACCGGGGTCCTTTTTCGCGGAGGGAACAGACGGTCGCGCGTCAGTGCGCGCGACGCTGCGCAGGCGCGTCGCGGATGGGTGCGACGCGGCGAACCTCCAACGTCGGAGCCCCCGCGGATGATGCCCGCGGGGGAGGGCGAGCGGTCGAGCGGAACGACCGCGCGAACGTCGCGGCTACGACGACCGACGAACGACGCGAATCTGTGCACCCCGACGACGGCGACGACCTCGGGCGCTCGAGCGCGGACGCGAACGCCGCCGGTGTCTCCGAAACGCATCGCGGTCGCGGTGTCGTGTACGCTGAGCTGCGAAGGGTGTCCAGGGACGCGCCCACGACCAAGACGCTGCCGGACAAGATCGACCTGCCCTCGCCCGAGCGCGTCGGCGACGTGTTGACCTTGGGGAGACAAAGGGTCAACGACGTGCAGCTCGACTGCCCTAGAGTCCCGAGCTTGCTGTCGCGAAACCACGCGGAGATCACCGTCGACGCGAACGGGACGCACTTCGTCACGGACAAGGACACGCTGAACGGGACTTATTTGAACGGCAATCTCATCCCGCGCGGGCCGTGTCCGCTCAAGCCCGGAGACATCATCGCGTTCGGAGGCCCGGCGAACGTTCTACGAGCGAATCAGACGCTGCGGAACTCGTTCCGGTACGAATATAGGAGACCGCTCGCGTTAGAGGCGTGGAGGGAGGCGTGCACGGCGCGGGAGAGGGAGAGCGTCGGCGAAGACGGCGCCCGCGACGCGGCCGCGACGGCGACGGCGACCGAACCGACGCCAGGCGTCGACGACGAAGAGCGTCGACGTCCGACGAAGCGCACGTCGTTTCGGTCGGGCGACGCCGTGAGCGGGGATGCAGGAGGCGGAGGGGCGAGTGTCGCGCGCGCAGGCGAGAACGCGGCCGCGACCACGCGGCCGCACTCGCAGTCCACGCAGTCCACGCAACCGACGCAATCCACGCAACCCACGCAGCCGACGCAATCCACGCAACCCACGCAGCCGACGCAGCCGACACGCGCTCCCGTCCCCGAGCCTGAAGCGGTAGCGAAGGAGATTCTCGTCGACGACGGCATCGCTCCGGACGGGTATCGCAGTCCAGGAAAGGCCTGCGTGAAGCTTTCGAAGCGCGATCTGGTCTCCATGAGACGAGCGGCGACGAAGCTCTCCACGCGGTCGCCAGATTTTCTACGCGACGCGCTGAGCGAGACGGGCGTTTCCCTCGCCGAGAGCGTCGTGCCTCTGAACCCGGAGGACGGATCGCTGATGATGGATATCATCGCGGATGCGTCCAGATCCGATCGCGAGCGATTATTCGCGAACGTTCGCGACGTCGTAGACGCGGAAACGTCGGGATCACAGGGAATTAACGAGGTTTCCATGACGCAAGCGGCGACGCAGGAGTACGTCGCGCCGTCCGAGCTCACGGCGGCCACGTCCGCTGCCGTGGCGCGAATGGTCACGCAGACGTGTCACGAAGCGCTTGAACTTCACACTTCCGCGTCCGGGCTCGTGTCTTTCGGTCTTAAGCTCCTCAACGCAACCTCGGTCTGGGATTCGGAGACGTACAATCACATGGAAAAGACCGCAGCCGCGGGTGGGTTCAAACGCGGCGACCTCGTTGCGGAGTCAATCGCGCTCGCGTTGTACCCGAAGGAACAGATGGGTTGGGAGAGAACGAAAAAAGAAGATGGAGACGATACGCCGAGCGATAATCGCGTTTTCGCCGCGTCAGTGGGGGAGATAGACGGTCACGGAAGCGACATCGGCGCGGCGGGGTGCGAGGCGATCGCGGAGGCTGCGTTGACGCCTCGACGCAGCTCGGACGGTCGATGGATTTTCAACGAGTGCTTGCGCAGCTTGACGCTCGGTAAAAACCCGCGCGTAGGGGACGCTGGTTGCTCCGCGGTCGCGAAAGCACTAGCCCCGCGACCAGTGCGTTCTTCGTTCATGTTCAACACGACGCTGACTGTGCTCGATCTGTCCAGCTGTGGCATAGGCTCCGCGGGCGCGGACGCTCTCGTCGACGCGTTGAAGATGGTGCCAGTCGAGGATGACTGGATTTTTCCTTCTAACATACGGGCGTTGAAACTGTCGGGAAATCAAATAGGAGCCAAAGGCGCGAAAGGCATCGCGAGTCTTCTCGGGCCGAAGAACAATATGAAAAGCGGATCGTGGAGCTTCAACCCTTCGCTCGCGTTGATCGATCTCTCGGACAATCCCGGGCTCGACGACTCTGTGGCGGAGGCTTTCGTTCAGGCGTTGAAGCCTCGAAAGCAAAAATCGCAAAAACGCGAGCGGGGCGACGCGATCGCGAAGCCGAGTTTTGCGATCAACCTCACGCTCTCAAAGCTCCGACTTTGCGGCCACGCGTTCCACGACGGCGTCAAGAAGATTACGGACTCGCTCGACGCGAAGAACAATGGCTCGGACGGTGCCGCGAAAGCGTCCACGACTGTTGTGTTCGAGCATCAAGGCTCGAGTTCAAACGCAGCCAACGTGGTGGTGGATAGTGAAGGCGACACGTACGAGATCGTCTTCCCCGTCGTTACCGGATCTGCAGCCGAGCGCCGCGATTTGTCCCTGTGGCACTGGCGAACGTGGATCACGCCGAAAAACGCGAGCAAAGATGATCCGACAGTGCCGTCGAAGGGTGCACCCGCGATGATGGATGTCCCAGGTTGGGTCAAGGACATGTCAGAAGATCATCACATAACCGGTTCCACGGTTCCTTGGAGCGTCGGCTTCGCTTTTCGAAACATGCTGCTCCATCGTTTCGACGGCGGCGACTTCCTTCTCGCAGAAGACCCGAGCGCGGTGTCCGCGGGTCTGCCGCAGTGGCTAGACGACGAATTGAGATGCGTCATTTGCACGGACATGTACGTGAACCCGCACGCCTTGAACGGCTGCGGGCACTTGTTCTGTCATGAGTGCGTCTCTACGTGGTTAAAGAAAAACAATCAGTGCCCGATATGCCGTCATAAGCTTCTAGTGCCGACCTCGAAGGCGCTCACGCCGTGTCACATGACGCAGGGACTGCTCGATCGATACGTCTTGCCGTATCTCCCGGCGAAGGATGTCGCGGCGCTGAGGGATCGCGCGAGGGAGCTGAGGGACAACGCCGCGGAGCGCTCTGCGGCCGAGGCCAGACAAGCGAACACGAGCGGCGGCGGTAGATCGAATACTGCGAACGCGGCGGCGGCGGCGGCTGCCGCGACGTTCGCCACCATGATCACCGGCGGGAGTGGTGGTGGTTCCATCATCAGGCTAGGAGGCGCGCCGCCAAATTTCCAGGCGTTTCAGCAGATGTTCAACTTGCACGCTCAGGCGACCGCGGCGGCGAGGCAAGGGAGGCAATCTGGTGGAGGCGCGAGTGCAAATCGTCGATCGTCGCAGCCTGAAGACTCCTCGCCGATTCAGCTGGACATTTCGCCTATGAACGAAGTGTCGGACACCGTGCAGTCGGTAACAGGTGTCCTTCGAAATCTCATGGAGAGCAGGGCGCTCTTCGCTCGCGTTATGGCTGCCGGTGCTTCGATGGCGGAGAACACGCCGGGCGATCCTACCAATGCGTCCGGTGCACCGACACGGCGCGTGGAGTGGAACGCGGTGAGCTCTAGCATCGACCGGGAGACGCTGTGCGCTCGTTGCAACGTCGCAATTCCGCCGCGTTTCTTACGCCTTCGACGCACGGAAACCCAGATTCCGAGAGGAGGGTCCCCAACGATGTCACGGGTGTTTTATCACGCGAACTTCGATTGCATCCGCGGGATGCACGACGAAATCCGCGCGGCAGATAACATCGACGGTTTGAGCGAGCTTTCCGATCAGGAGAGGAGAGTCATCACAGCGCTGCGTTCGGTCATCGCGGATCCCTCCGCGCCACTCTGCGGTCCAACCGCCTCTTGAAGACGCACTTGATTGAGCACACGAGGTCAACGACCATATAGCTATATTCTTTCGAATTACGGAATGCTAATCATTCATCTACGGACCGATTTCACACGATCGTAAATAATCACGCAGCGTTATCAAGCTGCACTAACCTCGCCTCGTACGACTCGTGGAACGCGTTGGCGCACCACTTGAACGGAGCCGCGATGTCTTTCCCCGGAGGCAGCGCAGACGTTTCCATGAAAACGAGCTGCCTCGACTCCGCCCAGCGCGTCGCCTCTTCCACGCTCACCCCCCGTCGACGCAACTTGCCTAATTTATCGTTCGCCATGTCGATCTCGTTCGAGGTAACCTCTCCGTCGCCGTCTGCGTCGTAGATCACCTGCCCGACGAGGTCGTACTTGTTCCCGACTAAAACGCCTCGTATCGCCTTCCCTTTGTTCGACGGCACCGCCTTCAGCGCTTCCAGGCACGATGCGCACTTATCGAAGCTCTCTCTGCTGCTCTGGTCGTATACCAAGATGACCATGTTCACGTTCTCGAGCAGGATCGGCATCATGTCGCTGAACATCTCGTGCCCGGAGACGTCGCACACGTACAGCTCCACGACTGCTTTCGTGCCTTCGATCGGAACCGGGGCGACGACGACGTCCATTCCACCCGTGAGCTTGTAGTTCTTCGGGAACAGTTTGCCCTTGCTGTGAAACATCTGCGTGAATGCGGTTTTGCCAACCGCGCGGTCACCTAAGGTGAGCCGTGGAGTGGTTTTACGTCAGCGACGAGAGGGAGCGAAGACGAGGATCTCTCTCTGCCGAACAACACCGTGACGAAGCGGGAGCGTCGAACGAACAATAAACCGAGGGACGACGCGCACCTAGGATGGCCACCTTGGCCCGGAGAGTGACAGACATGTTCTCTCTCTCGCCGAGCGACCCTAGCGATGACGATGCGACGTCTCCGACCGTTTCGCTGAAGACGGCGGACGGGCGCGCGATGTCGGTTTGAACTACAACGTCGCTCCCCAACTTTCTTTCTTCCTCGAGAAACCGCCAGAGCCGCTGCCAAAAAAAGTTTGATAAAAATGTTTGATTTTCGAGACATTTTCTCCGATTTATTTCCCTCGATGGCGCCCGTCCAACAGCGCCTTCGGACGGCCTCGTCCTCTGTTAGTCTTGATTTTGCCGGGCGGGCGCTTTTCACTTCTCGGTGCGAAGACTTCCTCGAGAGCTTCGTCTGCGTCGAAGACCTCGCGGACACCTCGAGAGCGCGGCGAACACGAATAAGAGGTGCAGACCACGCACCTACCGCCGACGTCGATCGCGGCGCGATGTACGGCGAACCCGAGGACGACGACCTCGCCGCTGAAGAGCAGGCGTCATCTCTCAGGGCGTTCGAGAAGCATTACCAATCGGAGAACACGTGGGAGGACCTGGTCGAGGATGAGAGCGGCATGTTGAGGGTGACCACGGTGAGTGCTTGAGCTCCACCCACGCTCGCCGCCCGCTGAAGCCCGTATGGACGACCTGCCCTTGTGTTGTTGTCACAGAACTAACTTTCGCGATCGCTCGGTTCTCTCCACTTCTTTCCTCAGGGCGACAAGGGCTACAGGGAAAAGCGCCGGAAGATCGCGCTCGCGGCTTCGAACTCGCACGTATGCAAGGGGATGATACGGTTCGTGTACGTCGTCCTCGACCTATCTCAAGCCGTCAACGAGGAAGACATGAGACCTTCGCGACTCGCGGTCATATCGTCGCTGATGTACAAGTTTTTCCGCGAGTTTTTCAACCAGAACCCGCTCAGCCAGCTCGGCCTCGTCGTGACGCGCAACGGAATCGCCGAACGCGTCACGGAGCTGAGTGGGAATCCAGAGACTCACATCGCGGCTTTGAAGGAAAACCTAGACGCCGCGGGTGACATGTCGATTCAAAATTCCCTCGAACAAGTTCACGCTTCGCTCGTGCAGTTGCCGATGTACGGTTCGAGGGAAGTCTTGTTCGTCGTCTCTGCGCTTTCGACGTGCGATCCAGGGAACGTGCACACCGCAATAGCTGCTGCTAAAAACGCAAAGATACGCGTGAGTGTCGTCTCCGTCGCTGCGGAGATGCATGTGTGCCGTCGAATGACGGAAGAGACGGGTGGGATTTTCGGCGTCGCGCAGTCCCAACACCACCTCGAGGAGCTTTTGATGGCGCACGCGCCGCCTCCACCTTTGAACGAAGAATCCACAAAGGTGTGTGCCTCCTCCACGGCGATGATATTTTTCCGAGTCTCGAGCACGTTCAACTTCATTAACTAACGCACTTCATTGTTTCCCAGCCGAGTCTTGTGGAGATGGGATTCCCTCAAAAGCGACCACTGGACAAAGACGCTTTCTTTTCAGGTAGAGGGGGAGACTACGTGTGTCCGAGGTGTAAATCAAGAGTCGAGGTAAACTCGATTTTTCATCTCACGTGCTGACGCGAAAACAAAAATAATTCTTTCTTTCGATTTCACTTTTCGCCTGAGCTGACCGAGACGAACGCTTGCTTTTGATCGCAGGAATTACCATCGCAGTGCACAGTCTGCAAATTGACCCTAGTTTCATCGGCACATCTCGCACGCTCATATCACCATTTATTCCCGGTTCCTCCTTTCACGGTGAGAATAAAAAAGTGTCTCTCTGGTTTCAAACGCGGCACAAAGTTGATCATATTTTCATCCTGAACGCAGGAAGGATTCGGCCTCGACGATGAAGGTAAAAGGCACACGTCGTGCTTCGCTTGCTACGTCGATTTTGAGGAAGGAAACGAGTCCACGAGCAACGAAAACGCGCCGTCAGTGTGCCCGAAATGTAAGAAGACGTTCTGCTTCGTGTGCGACGTGTACATACACGAAAAATTGCACAACTGTCCCGGTTGCGAGCTCGTAAAGTTTCTAGCGGAGGAAGGGCAGTGATACACAAGTAGCGAAAAATTAGAAGAACGTGCGATAAAATAGTATTATTGCAAATGGTCAACAAGCTCGCTAGATAGAAATTACAATTCTTCGTCGCTGCTGATGTAACTCCCCTGCGAGAGTAATGATTCAGTAAAATATGAAAAACGCCCTGGAAACATAACAACAAGCAAGTGCGGAGGGTGAAATGGTAAATGAAACAAACCTCGCCGTGTTTCGATGCTTTGCTAAGTCCAAGACGTTTCTTTAAGGCAGTTATTCGATCGATTCGGCTCGTCAAGACCGTATGCGTCGCCACGCTCCTTGGAGAATACGCAGCCGAGCGACTGTCAAATAAATTACTTGAAGTTAGTCGAAATAGTTATCAAGTTGGAAATGTAAAACTCACGTTGTAAAAGGAGAACCCGTATCTCTTCGACCTAACTGTTCCAGTTCACCATTCTGGGAATGCGATTACATTAGTCGCGTGACAAGATAAATTAAACGCGCGAGCGAACATACCCGCTTCTCAAGCCGTTCGCATTTTAGTTTGTAAACCTCAAGTTGTGATTGAACGTCTTTCACAGCATCCCTGCTGGAATCGCGTGAATTTTCCGGATAGGATATCGACTGATGCTCAATCTGCCACTGCAAATGCGCGGCTCTTTCGACCGCATCGCGGGTGCTCCTCATGAGCTCCTCGTTCAGCGCTTTAAGCTTGTCGACCTCGGACTTTCTCGACGAGGACGGCGTCTTTTTTGAAGGTGTCGGGCTAACTTTTGCACTCGTGTCTTGAATATAGTCAAGAAGAGCCTGATTATCCCTCTCGACCTCTTCGCAGCGTTCCTGCAAAAAAAGAAATGGTGTTCATTCATACGAGGAAGTTTGGATGAACAGTGGCAAACATGCAACGCGTCGCGCGATGGGATATGAATTCGAAGATTAAGTTCGTCCTACCAAAAGAACACTCTCTGCTTTTTCTTGATCCCCAAATTCTTCCTCGGCTCGCTGTGCTCTCAATTCTGCGTTTTGTAATTTCGCCTCAACTTGGGTCTTTGCGTCCATTTCTCTCTGCGCGTGGATGAATTTGTTTTAAGTCAACGACGCGGCGTGACTCGGAAAAAAAGGTTCCCACCTTCAGAGCGAGTTCGGCGCTTTCTAACATTCGGCGCGTTCGCAACGATTCCAACAATGCTCCACCGTCCGCTAATCCTAAAGTCTTCGCTTCGACGTCGAGTGCTTCTTCGACCTCCTGTTGACGATAAATAAATCAGAAATTTCGACGGAACCAAGACCAAAATAAATAATTCGCCGGCAGAAACGCTCAGCTCAGCTCTCGGCTAGGAAATAAAATTAGAGATGATTTGCCGACCTGTAACGCGCTGTGTAACTTCAAATTTGAGCCCTCGATCGATGAAAGCGCCTCGAGGAGCGATTCCTCGCTGAATTTGCTTTTAACTTTACTCGAGTTGAAAGCCGGACTTCTCCTTTCCGCCCCCGGTATTTTGCTTTGAATTTTCCTTTCAAGCTTACCGACGTATTCTCGTAATTCTGTCCTTTGATTTTCAGACTTTTGCAGGTCGAGCGACATTTTATTCAGCTGCGGGGTGGGTGAGTGAGCGGGAAGAAGGTTGTGAGTGTCGGAGTCACCATAGACGTCGTGGTGCCGCTGTTCCTTTCGAATATGGGCACTAAATAGACAGACACGCACCCTCAACCGCATGGAAGCGACCTGCTTCTCGCGCGCTTCCTGAGCGTGGCGCGCCTTGCGCTCCATCACGATGGCTTCGGCAGCGCGCTCCTCGGCGGCGACGGCGCGTTTCTCCATCTGTCGACGCGACGAGAGAGTCAGGGTCGGTAAACGTTTATTTCGCGAAAGGTAACCGGCGCGACCGAGCGCGGGTGCTGATTGACGATAGACATCACACCTTCTTGAACTGGTCTTGCGCTTTGCGCGTCTCGTTTTTGCACTGCGCGATCGCGGAAACTTGCGCGGTGATGGCGGAGGGAGTTTTCCTCTGGTGATGATGATGATGGTGAAGACGGGAAGCTCTCGTCAAGGCGTCCACGGGGGAGGACGACGATACTCTCGGTGACGCGACGATCGCTGCTTCGTCGAGCTTCGCTTCGAGGAGCTGCTGGTAATGGCGTCCCCACGCGGTCCTGGAGAGCGTGAGTAGGGCGGGCGGGACTCGTCAGACTCAAATGTGTTTGTCGGGCGCGGGAAACAACAACGAAGCCGCCGGCGGGTCGAGCGTCCCATCACGCACATGTTCGAGTCGTTGGAGTACTCGTGCGTCATCAGCGTGTCGGCACCGTACATGCGCTCTCTCATGTGCTCTGTCGCGGTGCACCGCAGAGGTGGGTGCGCACACGGAGTGAGGAGGGGCTTTACGTCCTCCGCGATGTTTGATTTTTCCTTCCTTTTTTCTGCAATTTTCGAGAGCAGCATTCGGACTGTTGGACACTTTGGAGATCGCGAAGTTTCCTCCCGAGTTCCTCAGAGGCGCTGGCGCCAGGTGGGGGGGAGAGCGCGTCCTTCGTCGTCGACACGCGCGGCGCTGTGATGCGGCGAGTTCTTCATCATGCCGTACTCGCGCTGTGCGCGCTCGCGTGCGCCGCGTCCGAAGCATCCGGCGCACGCGACCTCGACGACGAAACGACCTCGGCACCCGTGAAAATCTTCGTCGTGAGCGTCCTCGACGATCCAGTTGGCCAGGCGAGACTCGCCAGACTTCGCTCGTCCCTCTCGAGCGTGGCATTCGAGGTCGTACCCGCCGTGGACGTCAGGAAGACGCCCGAGCGCGAGCTGAGAGACATCCGAAGACGCGTGGACGGCCGACGCTTCGAGGAAATCAATCGACGACGAGTCTCGCTCGCGGAAGTTGGATGCTCGCTGTCGCACCTACGCGCGTATGAAACGATGCTCGAATCGAATCACGATGCCGCGATCTTCCTGGAAGACGACGCGATTCCGATGAACGGCGCCTTGGATGATTTCACGGCATGGTACGAAACCCTACCTAAGGACTGGGCGGTCGTGCGTTTGGACCACCGCGCGCGGCACTGGGCCTGTCACTCACCCGGCGCCGGTGAAGCGTGCGAGAACGCACTGAAACCTGTCGTCGTCGACCCGTCGTCGCCGCGGGCGCACGCGCGGTCGTTCTCGTACGTGAACGATACGTCCATGTCGCAAATTTACGGATCGTACGCTTACCTCGCGAGCAGAGAGACGGTCGAACATTGGCTTTGGCACGCGTACCCAGTCGCGGTCACGTCCGACCGTCTCATACAGAGGACTCCGCCGGGGAAAAAGCAGCTGCTCGTTCACCCGCCACCTTTCGGTCACGACGACGAGCAAAAAGACGAGGATTCGATGATGTGGGACCGGATGGCGACGTTCATGAGTGGAGAGGGCGGCGAGGTCGATAACCTCGCTGGCAGGCATCTTATATGCGGCGTCGACGTCAAGACGGGTGCGGGGGGCACGTTTAAGTTCAGGGTGTCATCCTCCGAAGACGTGATCGAAAAGGTGCTGGCATTCGGGAGAGAACACGGTATCCAAGAAAGCGAGTTAGAGAGAATTCTATTGCCTGAAGTGGCGCCGTGCTTGAGAGCGAACCAAGCGAAACAGAAGGAGGATGACGGGAAAGATAGCGACATAGAAGAAGCTCAAAAGGATGAGCTCTGATTTCAGTTGCCGCGTGCACTGGTCTACATTTTCCTACCAACTAGAATCGCAATCCTTTCTTTGCCGTAGAAGCGGCGGTCACGCTCGTCATCGTGGCGATTTGACTGTTGTGAAGCTCACGGCATTCTTCTAGAATCGCGCGCTGAGTCGCGCGCGGGATGTCTTTCCTCGCCGCGAGCATACGCTCGGCGGGTTCCAGGCCGAGTTCTGGCATGGACTGCACTAATATTCCATATGCGAGCACGAAAGACTCCGCGTCATCCGCCGCTGCGACGTCGCGTATGTCAGCGAGGCGTTGAAGCCATGGATCGACAATCTTGTACGGCAAGTAGTCCCCGAAGCACTCCCGGAGAACATCTTCATCTGCTGCCATGCGATCAACAGTTCCCGGGCGAATAACTTGTAAGTGTCGCATGCACGCGTCGATAATGATCTTCACGACGCGAGTGAGCACAGCCTCGCACACCATAGGAGCCAAATTGCGCGTGACGTACTGCTCTACATCTCCGAGATAATCCACGATCGTAGCCACGAGCGTTTCCGTGACTTCGCCTTCGATCCACGCGCCGCCTCCGGTCTTGTCCACGACGAAGAGTTGCGCAAACAAGGCGACGACGCTCGGATCCGTGACGACTGCCGCGGAAGCCGCGGAGGCGCAGTGTTCCGCGTTGCTCATGAACGCGTCGAGTGCGGGTCGAATGATACTAGTCTCCCCGCCGGAAGCAGATCCTTTATTCGCTAGTGTCACCATCGCGTCAGTCGATCCAAGCGCTTTGACGAGAGAAGACTCCATTTCGGACGCAAGACGATGGCATCTCGATGCATCGTTCACCCCGGCGAGTAGGACGTTGTATTCCACCGTCTTCGCCGCCGCGAGCGCGGCTCTTTCTTGCGTCGTCAGACCCATCGTGGCAGCCGTCGACGATGGCCTCCTAAAGTGCACGGGTGATGATAGAGACGTGACCGTGGACGAAGATGTCGCGGCTGCGCCGCCAAGGCGCTTGTGCTGTTGCGCGGCGAAATCCGCCAGGATCGACGCGATCGCAACCGCGGCGGCGGGGACGAGCTGAGGCCCACCGCCTACCGCGACTTCGAGCTGCTCGTTCAGCAGACGGAAAAATTCGACATCGCTCGCGGTCCACAGAGATCCATCATCCGCGGCCTTCAGGGGCTGTGACGCGGTCATGCGATGGAGATTCACGGACCATGTGTGCACGGTTTGCGCCATCCGCGAAGTGTACACGTCGACCAAGTCAACCAGGCGAGCAGGATACGTCATCGTTTCGTCATCGTCCTCTGAGACTCCCGGGGATTCCGGTCCATCGTTTCGCACGATACCTTCAGCGTTGCGGTGAACAACATCGATCATTTTAGTCCCTTCTACTTCCTTCTCATCGACCGTCTCAATAGCCGCCGCCGCGTTTCCGGCGCCGGTTGCCAGAAAAGACTCGAGGGAAAGCACCGAAGGTTCGCCGCTTCCATCAGCGCCTCCAGGGCTGTCAAATGCGTTTTTTCCGCGTCCAGTTTTCCCGGGCGGCGGCGGTCCCCCGGTCTTCATCACAGTAGGCGGCACCGCAGGCACGGAGGGAGGCGGGGTTGATACCCCCTTTGGGGTTCCGGGCGGCTCCGACGGCGCGACCTCGACATCCACCCCCAACGCTTCCATGGCCTCTGCGTAAGACTGATACCAATTCAGGACGACGATGATGTCCGCGTTTGACAAGTCCCTAGCCACTGCGACGAGTTTATCGATCAGTTTCGAGACGTGTCGGTGCCACGCCGGGGCCATGACGCTCTCGAAAATGCGATACTTCGGAGGAAACGCGGGGACAGCGTAGTCAAACGCATCCGTGAGTTGCTGCATCAGAACGTTCATGTTCTCCAAGACCATCGGGACGTCCAACGGTCCTCCTCCGACGTCGACGTCGCCCATGAGGCTCTCCACCGTCATAGTAAATCGTTCCTCTACCGCATCTCTGACTTCTCGCAACATTCGTTTCTTGTACTCTTTCCCTGGCGCGGCGGCGGGCGCGGGTTTGTCGTTTTTTTCCTCGTCTCCGTCGCCGCCGTTTCTGTTTTTTTCCGCGTCCTCCTTCGCCTGCGCGGCGAGCTCGGCGTCGAGCTGTTCCTGCCCTTCCACGACTCTGCACGCGCGAACGAGCGCCTTACTGCCTCCTCTGCCCGCGAACAACGAACTGTGCACGGTTCTCCACAAGATCGCCTCGAACTTTTCGATCGCTTCGTCGATCGCGGCGAAGTGCGTCGCCGCCGGTCTCGACGCCGCTCGCGACACGCCGCCGTGGGGCTGCCGTCTCGCGGCTTCGAGGGCGACGCGCGCGGGTTGAGCGCTCGTCGCGAGGGTGGTGAGTTCCTCCCAGCACGCGAAGAGATTATTTTCGTCGTTCAGCATCTCGATCGCCTTCGCGGCTTGTTCCGGCAAGGCGATGATCGCCTTCGCGTCGTCGATCGTTCGTTTCAGATTAACGCGCATCACGGAGAGGTCGCGAAGCAACTCGCGCCGGCTCGAGAGCTCGTCGTTTTCTTGTTCCTTGCACAGCGCCTCTATCCTCGCGATGTTCGCCTGCGTCTGTTCCACGGCCGCGCGCGCGGTGTGAAGCGCCTCGACGCCGGTTCTCACGCCCTCGACGGACGCTTCTAAACTCGCCGCGAGCTCTTGCTCGGCTTTGTACAGCTTCGCCGCGACCTGCTCGCGCAGCTCCGGGAGTCTCGCGAGGTCTTCAGGGCGCGACAGCATCTTCGCGAGCCGTCGTTTCGCTTCCTCTTTCGCCGCGTCGACCTCCGCCTGCCACGGCAGCGGCGAGCCGTCCTCGCCGCCGTCTCGCTTCCCCGGGAAAGTTGAAGTTGACGACGACGACGGCGGCGTCGCGTCGTCCGCCGCAGCCGCCTTCGCGCGCGCTGATACCGCATCCTCGCCGCCGCCGCCGGCTTGTTCGCGCGTCATCGACGAGCTGCGAGCGGCACGCGGGTGGGCTCTCGCCTGCCCCGCCGCCGCGACCGCGCGCGAATCTGACTAGCCTGCACGTCTGGAGGCACGGCATCGGCACCCTGCCCTGCTCGGGTCAGCTCGATTTTGAAGGGACGTCGACCGACCGGAAAAACTCGGCTTGCGAATCATCTGCATTAACGACGACCGACCCCGGGGCCTGCCCGAGGCCGCTACATCAACCAGCGCGTTGATATCGTAACAGCGACTGATACGGAGATCGTACCAGCGCGCGCGTGTGTGAAACGCGGTTACAACAGACTCCCGCTTCTAGTCTCCCTCGAGGAGGAAACTCGCGCACTCGGATTGGCAATCAGCTTTTGAGAGTTCAAAGCCACAGCAACGCGAGCGTCGATAACTTAGCCATCCATCGACGGAGTCGACAACAGACAGACACACGAATTCTGCACACAGGGAATCAGATCTGGACCCTGCGCAGTAGTGTGAACACCCGTATAGCGTCATGAGGCCCCAGGGAGAAGGCGTCCCCATCCCAAGGTGTGTACCCGCGCGCGCGGTCGCCGCCGTTTCCGCCACTCCCCAAAGCGAGACGTCGGCGTCAATTTCGAACCCGTCTTCCTCCGCGTCTCGACACGTCACGTGGTGAGGTATCCATCGATCACCCGCCCGAGGCGACGTATCTCAGTGCTCGCGACTGACCATCTCCGTGAATCGTCGCTCTCGTTACACTCGCAGGGATGGGGCACCGCCTAGACAGGGTGGGCTTCGAGACGAACACAGAGACCGAGACAGGGACGGGCACCACAGACAGAGACATAGAGACAGGCACGATAGACACCGTGACAGGGCACCTGGAGGGTATCGACCTTCCGGTCTTCCGAGCGATAGGAAAGGACAAAAGCTCCCTCTGCTGACGCGCCTGAAGATGAGATTCAAATCGAAGAAAGGTACGCGCTTCGCTTGTTGGGTCTCGCCGCGACGCGCCTTTTTCGCTCGCCCACACGCGTTCTTACTTTGTCGTCGTCCTCGCGCTGTCGCTGAGCGCATCCATCTTCTTTTCAATGATAACAGGAGGCGTACTGCCACAGTTCAAAGGAGGCGGATCAGGCGGAATAGGGCGTCGAAAGAAGAGCGCCTCCCAGCTCACGGCACATTTTTTTGTAGGGTTGCTTCCTCGCCAGCTACCAGCGGGAGTCCTTCTGAAAACCTTTTCTTTGTCGTTCGCGCCGATTTTTTTTCCTTACTGACGTTTGCACGTGCGGTGTCGATGTGGACCTCACTCTCAGGGCATGGTATTCCTTATCGTGTTTCACGCCGCCTTGGTGATTTGGGCGAGTACGCTCGCTACCAGTTTCCTTTATAGGGTTGACTTATCCTCGGAGAGCGTGAAGGTGAACAACGCCTTGGAGGTATTTGGAGAAAGGGATATGGATCCATCGCAACTCATGGATGGATCCAGCGAATCGTCCACGCGTCAGGCGCACGTGCGCATAGGAAGCCGCACGAGTGTGAACGGAACATCGAAGGCCGACGAGGTTCTGGAATTCGGCACGTACAGAGGAGACCAGTTCATCCCAAAGAGCTCGTTGCGTTCAGAAGGCGACGGCGCGTTAGAGGTCGTGACCACTAGATTATCCCTCGCTCCGACTGGTGGGAACGTTGGCGTTGGTACGCAAGAACCTACCGCTAAATTTGACGTCAATGGAGGCGCCGTTATTCGAGGCAACGCGACCATCGGCGGGAATAATCAGTCATCGCTCCTCAAAATCGATTCGCAAGGAACGCAAACGACTGGATTTCAGCTAGGTCCTGAACCAACCATCGAAGCTTCAAACTCTTCTACTTCCCGCAGGCTGCTGCAGGCTTCAAATTCAACGAATAGCACGACGAATACTTCTAGATTCAACAAGAAAAGTTTCGGCGTATATAGCCTAGTCGGGGGGGAGCAGGTTGTGGTCAAACGTGGAAACGACACCGTTCTGCAATTTGACAAAAACGAAGACACGGAGATCGCCGCGCAGAACAACGTCGTGGTCCGAGCTCATAAAGGGGATATCTCGCTGATATCAGGGAACGGTAAGATCCATATTCACGGCGCGATCACCCTCGGGGGGAGCGACTTGACAGGAACCATCGCGGACTCGTCGGATACCCCTGGTGCAGGGGCGTTTAATTTGCTATCCGCGTTAAGCGTGGTGAATGGCACAGTGAAGATTGCCTCACCGAATATCGTGCACGAGGGAGCTACCGTATTCAACGGGAGCTTCACCACAGGTAATGGTACTATACAACTTGGCAACGCCTGGGAGGATGACATCGAGTTCCGCGGTACGATTAAAGGGCGCACCGCATTTTCTTTCGGGGGCGCCGTGGACGACGCAAGAAAAATTTCAGTCGTGGTGGACGAGCCCACATCCGCCTGGCGAACGATTGTCCTTCCGGATGCGAGTGGGCGCTTCGTAGTTTCTGCCCAAGCGCCATTGTCAGTCGACTCGAGTGGAGGGGTTCAACTGAATCAGTCAGCCATAACCCGCGTTGGTGCGTTGGTGTCGGGCTCGATCCTTCCTTCATTTGGGGACATTGACATCGGAAGCAGTTCATTGACAGCCGGGAATCTCACGTTGTATGAAGACAACATCATCATGACGAAAGCAGTAGGAAAGCTGATACATACCGGGAGCACCGGTTTCATTCTTACCAGTCAAAACGGCTACGTGGACATCAAAACTGGAGCTGCACCTGCAGGATCCTCGGGTTCCCTGAGTATATCCACCGGAGATGCCGTTGGCGGCGCCGGAGGTGCGATAAGCTTAGCAGTGGGCAAAGGCAACACCGGCACAGGTGGGGGCATCGCGATGACCGCGGGCGAGTCCACTACGGCTGCTGGAGGCAACATTGGTGTGACCGCGGGTAAAGGCTCGACGACCGGCGGCGGCGTGAGTGTCACTGGCGGCGAGGGAGTCACGTCCACAGGCGGCGGCGTCACCATACTGAGCGGCGCCGGCACGGCGACATCGAGCGGCGCCGTGAGCGTGAAGTCTGCAAACGCCGGTACGAGCGGCGTGAGCGGCTCAATGACTTTGGCTACCGGGACGACGGTTGCTGGAGTGTCGGGAGCACTCACGATGGACACGGGCAGCACTACCGCCGGCGGCAACTCGGGGTCTGTTGCCGTGACCACGGGCGGTTCCACTGGTGGTGCTGGCGGCGCTTTCAGCGTGACCGTCGGCACCGGAGACACCGGCGCAGGCGGCGCCATCGGTATGACCGCGGGCCGGGGCAAAACAGTCGGCGGCGGCGTGACCGTGACCGGCGGCATCGGCGATACGTCCACAGGCGGCGACGTCACCGTGGTGAGCGGCGCCGGCACGACAACATCGAGCGGCGCCGTGAGCGTGAAGTCTGCAAACGCCGGCACGAGCGGCGTGAGCGGCTCCATGACTTTGGCGACCGGGTCGACGGTTGCTGGAGTGTCGGGAGCGTTCACGCTGGCAACGGGTACTGCCGCCGGCGGCAACTCGGGGTCTGTTGCCGTGACGACTGGCGGTGCGAGTGCTAGCGGCACTGGTGGCGCTTTCACCGTGGTCGTTGGCTCAGGCGACACCGGCACAGGCGGCGACATCGGCCTGACCGCGGGCTTGTCCAGTGCGGCCGCGGGAGGTGCCGTGGGCGTGACCGCGGGCCGGGGCAAAACAGTCGGCGGCGGCGTGACCGTGACCGGCGGCGTAGGCGATACGTCCACAGGCGGCGACGTCACCGTGGTGAGCGGCGCCGGCACGACAACATCGAGCGGCGCCGTGAGCGTGAAGTCTGCAAACGCCGGCACGAGCGGCGTGAGCGGCTCCATGACTTTGGCGACCGGGTCGACGGTTGCTGGAGTGTCGGGAGCGTTCAAGATTGACACGGGCAGCACTACCGCCGGCGGCAACTCGGGGTCTGTTGCCGTGACCACGGGCGGATCCGCTGGTGGTGCTGGCGGCGCTTTCAGCGTGACCGTCGGCACCGGAGACACCGGCGCGGGTGGCGCCATCGGTATGACCGCGGGCCGGGGCAAAACGGTCGGCGGCGGCGTGACCGTGACCGGCGGCATCGGCGATACGTCCACAGGCGGCGACGTCACCGTGGTGAGCGGCGCCGGCACGACAACATCGAGCGGCGCCGTGAGCGTGAAGTCTGCAAACGCCGGTACGAGCGGCGTGAGCGGCTCCATGACTTTGGCGACCGGGTCGACGGTTGCTGGAGTGTCGGGAGCGTTCAAGATTGACACGGGCAGCACTACCGCCGGCGGCAACTCGGGGTCTGTTGCCGTGACCACGGGCGGATCCGCTGGTGGTGCTGGCGGCGCTTTCAGCGTGACCGTCGGCACCGGAGACACCGGCGCGGGCGGCGCCATCGGTATGACCGCGGGCCGGGGCAAAACAGTCGGCGGCGGCGTGACCGTGACCGGCGGCATCGGCGACACTTCGACTGGCGGCGACGTCACCATATCGAGCGGCGCCGGCACGACAACATCGAGCGGCGCCGTGAGCGTGAAGTCTGCAAACGCCGGTACGAGCGGCGTGAGCGGCTCCATGACTTTGGCGACCGGGTCGACGGTTGCTGGAGTGTCGGGAGCGTTCAAGATTGACACGGGCAGCACTACCGCCGGCGGCAACTCGGGGTCTGTTGCCGTGACCACGGGCGGATCCGCTGGTGGTGCTGGCGGCGCTTTCAGCGTGACCGTCGGCACCGGAGACACCGGCGCGGGCGGCGCCATCGGTATGACCGCGGGCCGGGGCAAAACAGTCGGCGGCGGCGTGACCGTGACCGGCGGCATCGGCGACACTTCGACAGGCGGCGACGTCACCGTGGTGAGCGGCGTCGGCACGACAACATCGAGCGGCGCCGTGAGCGTGAAGTCTGCAAACGCCGGTACGAGCGGCGTGAGCGGCTCCATGACTTTGGCGACCGGGACGACGGTTGCTGGAGTGTCGGGAGCGTTCACGATGGACACGGGTACTGCCGCCGGCGGCAACTCGGGGTCTGTTGCCGTGACGACTGGCGGTGCGAGTGCTAGCGGCACTGGTGGCGCTTTCACCGTGGTCGTTGGCTCAGGCGACACCGGCACAGGCGGCGACATCGGCCTGACCGCGGGCTTGTCCAGTGCGGCCGCGGGAGGTGCCGTGGGCGTGACTGCGGGCCGGGGCAAAACAGTCGGCGGCGGCGTGACCGTGACCGGCGGCATCGGCGATACGTCCACAGGCGGCGACGTCACCGTGGTGAGCGGCGCCGGCACGACAACATCGAGCGGCGCCGTGAGCGTGAAGTCTGCAAACGCCGGCACGAGCGGCGTGAGCGGCTCCATGACTTTGGCGACCGGGTCGACGGTTGCTGGAGTGTCGGGAGCGTTCAAGATTGACACGGGCAGCACTACCGCCGGCGGCAACTCGGGGTCTGTTGCCGTGACCACGGGCGGATCCGCTGGTGGTGCTGGCGGCGCTTTCAGCGTGACCGTCGGCACCGGAGACACCGGCGCAGGCGGCGCCATCGGTATGACCGCGGGCCGGGGCAAAACGGTCGGCGGCGGCGTGACCGTGACCGGCGGCATCGGCGATACGTCCACAGGCGGCGACGTCACCGTGGTGAGCGGCGCCGGCACGACAACATCGAGCGGCGCCGTGAGCGTGAAGTCTGCAAACGCCGGCACGAGCGGCGTGAGCGGCTCCATGACTTTGGCGACCGGGTCGACGGTTGCTGGAGTGTCGGGAGCGTTCACGATGAATACGGGCACTGCCGCCGGCGGCAACTCGGGGTCTGTTGCCGTGACCACAGGCGGTTCTACTGGTGGTGCTGGCGGCGCTTTCAGCGTGGCTGTTGGCATCGGTAATACGGGCACGGGCGGCGGCATCACCTTGTCCGCTGGCAAAGCCCCTGTTGGTGGCGCTGTCAAAATTACTGCAGGTGAGGGTTCTACCACCTCTGGCGGGAACCTCGTCCTTGCGAGCGGTGATGGCGTGTCGTTGAGCGGCGCGGTGAGCATCAGCTCCGGGGATGCGTCCACTGGCAGAAGCGGTGAAGTCATCATTGCCACGGGCCTTTCACCCGGTGGTAAAGCTGGGGATATCAGCTTGACTGTTGGGGGGACTACGTCGGGCGTGGGCGGTGACGTGAGCATCTCTGCCGGCGCGACATCGGACACCACGAAAGCCGGAGGGCAGGTCGACATCGTTTCAGGCAGAGGCGAGACCTCGAGCGGAACGATGCACGTGCACACGGGTGATTCAAAAGCAAACGGAGTGAGCGGGGCGATGACCCTCCAGACCGGGACGTCGCTCGCAGGAGCATCCGGCAAGTTAAAGCTCAACACGGGCACTGCCACCAGTGGGTCTTCAGGTGAAATCGACATCGACACAGGCGTTTCCACTGGTGGTGCTGGCGGCGCTTTCAGCGTGACCGTCGGCACTGGAGACACCGGCGCAGGCGGCGCCATCGGTATGACCGCGGGCCGGGGCAAAACAGTCGGCGGCGGCGTGACCGTGACCGGCGGCATCGGCGATACGTCCACAGGCGGCGACGTCACCGTGGTGAGCGGCGCCGGCACGACAACATCGAGCGGCGCCGTGAGCGTGAAGTCTGCAAACGCCGGCACGAGCGGCGTGAGCGGCTCCATGACTTTGGCGACCGGGTCGACGGTTGCTGGAGTGTCGGGAGCGTTCAAGATTGACACGGGCAGCACTACCGCCGGCGGCAACTCGGGGTCTGTTGCCGTGACCACGGGCGGATCCGCTGGTGGTGCTGGCGGCGCTTTCAGCGTGACCGTCGGCACCGGAGACACCGGCGCAGGCGGCGCCATCGGTATGACCGCGGGCCGGGGCAAAACGGTCGGCGGCGGCGTGACCGTGACCGGCGGCATCGGCGATACGTCCACAGGCGGCGACGTCACCGTGGTGAGCGGCGCCGGCACGACAACATCGAGCGGCGCCGTGAGCGTGAAGTCTGCAAACGCCGGCACGAGCGGCGTGAGCGGCTCCATGACTTTGGCGACCGGGTCGACGGTTGCTGGAGTGTCGGGAGCGTTCAAGATTGACACGGGCAGCACTACCGCCGGCGGCAACTCGGGGTCTGTTGCCGTGACCACGGGCGGATCCGCTGGTGGTGCTGGCGGCGCTTTCAGCGTGACCGTCGGCACCGGAGACACCGGCGCAGGCGGCGCCATCGGTATGACCGCGGGCCGGGGCAAAACAGTCGGCGGCGGCGTGACCGTGACCGGCGGCATCGGCGATACGTCCACAGGCGGCGACGTCACCGTGGTGAGCGGCGCCGGCACGACAACATCGAGCGGCGCCGTGAGCGTGAAGTCTGCAAACGCCGGCACGAGCGGCGTGAGCGGCTCCATGACTTTGGCGACCGGGTCGACGGTTGCTGGAGTGTCGGGAGCGTTCAAGATTGACACGGGCAGCACTACCACCGGCGGCAACTCGGGGTCTGTTGCCGTGACCACGGGCGGATCCGCTGGTGGTGCTGGCGGCGCTTTCAGCGTGACCGTCGGCACCGGAGACACCGGCGCAGGCGGCGCCATCGGTATGACCGCGGGCCGGGGCAAAACAGTCGGCGGCGGCGTGACCGTGACCGGCGGCATCGGCGATACGTCCACAGGCGGCGACGTCACCGTGGTGAGCGGCGCCGGCACGACAACATCGAGCGGCGCCGTGAGCGTGAAGTCTGCAAACGCCGGCACGAGCGGCGTGAGCGGCTCCATGACTTTGGCGACCGGGTCGACGGTTGCTGGAGTGTCGGGAGCGTTCAAGATTGACACGGGCAGCACTACCGCCGGCGGCAACTCGGGGTCTGTTGCCGTGACCACGGGCGGATCCGCTGGTGGTGCTGGCGGCGCTTTCAGCGTGACCGTCGGCACTGGAGACACCGGCGCGGGCGGCGCCATCGGTATGACCGCAGGCCGGGGCAAAACAGTCGGCGGCGGCGTGACCGTGACTGGCGGCATCGGCGATACGTCCACAGGCGGCGACGTCACCGTGGTGAGCGGCGCCGGCACGACAACATCGAGCGGCGCCGTGAGCGTGAAGTCTGCAAACGCCGGTACGAGCGGCGTGAGCGGCTCCATGACTTTGGCGACCGGGTCGACGGTTGCTGGAGTGTCGGGAGCGTTCAAGATTGACACGGGCAGCACTACCGCCGGCGGCAACTCGGGGTCTGTTGCCGTGACCACGGGCGGATCCGCTGGTGGTGCTGGCGGCGCTTTCAGCGTGACCGTCGGCACCGGAGACACCGGCGCAGGCGGCGCCATCGGTATGACCGCGGGCCGGGGCAAAACAGTCGGCGGCGGCGTGACCGTGACCGGCGGCATCGGCGATACGTCCACAGGCGGCGACGTCACCGTGGTGAGCGGCGCCGGCACGGCAACATCGAGCGGCGCCGTGAGCGTGAAGTCAGCGGACGCCGGGCTCTCCGGCGTGAGCGGCTCCATGACTTTTGCCTCTGGCATTTCTTCGAATGGTGACTCAGGTTCGGTGTTGATTGCAAGTGGCTCTTCTAGAGTTGGCGCTGGTGGCAATATACAAATCAAGGTCGGAAGTGGCGCATTTTCAGGCAATGGCGGTCAGGTTTTAGTTGAAGCTGGCACAACGTCGAGTCCCTCTGGCGTCGGTGGTGACGTTTTCATTCGTGGCGGAGGTTCAGCTGCTGGAAATGCTGGTAGTGTGAATCTCATTTCTGGCTCGAGTTCATCAACCGGAAGTGCCGGGAATATCCTGATTAATGCCCGCACAGGTTCCTTGACATTGACATCTTCAGTTGTGACCGTTTCAGGTATAACGACGTTCTCGGCAGTCACGGGAGTGACGACCTTCAACAACGATTTGACATTATCCAAGGCTGCCTCGATTATCTCGCACACGGGGACCTCGCTCACGATCAAGAGCGCGGGCTACGTGGAGGTGGAGAGCGTGCGCATCACGCACGACAGCGCAAACTCGAAGTCGGTCGTCGGCTTCGGTGCGACGGATGTGTTCCATTTGTCCGCGACGGACGTGAGCATGCTGGGGACGCTTTCGTCGACGGGCAACTTCGACGTTGGAGCACCTGGCGGGCGCAAGTTTTCAGTTGCGGCGGGCTCCGGAGACGTGACCACGTCGGGAGACGTGTCGACGTCTAAGGTCTCGGCTGCGATCAAGCACACCAGCACAGACACGAGCTCATCGAGCGGGCTGACGGTGTCGAGCGTGAAAGGGTACGTGGTCGTGCGGAGCGACCTTCAGTATGTGGACGTAGAGAGCGTGCGGTTCACGGGCGCCGATATCGGCGTGTCTGGAAAACCAAAAGTCATCACGGTGGGGTTGACGGGCGCGAGTGTGCTCGGGCAGCTCGAAGTGGGGCACACGGCGGGGGCGCCCAAGTTTGTCGTGACGAGCGCCGGCGACACGACGATCACCGGGACGCTCGGAGTGACCGGATTGACCACGTTGTCTAGTGCAACTGTCACTGGAGCCTCAAATTTAAATACCTTGGTGGTAACTGGACTTACCACGCTTCGTGACGACGTCTCCATGACGAAGGGTGCAGCAAGTATTTTGCACACGGGGACCTCGCTTACGATCACGAGCGCGGGCTACGTGGAGGTTGAGAGCGTGCGCATCACGCATGTCAGCGCGAACTCGAAGTCTGTGATTGGATACGGTTCAACGGATGTGATTCAATTTTCAGCGTCGGACGTGAGTGTCGATGCGACGCTTTCGTCGACGGGCAACTTCGACGTTGGTGCCGCAGGAGCGCGCAAGTTTTCAGTTGCTGCCGGCTCCGGAGACGTGACCACGTCGGGAGATATTATTTTGGCAAAATCATCTGTTGCCATGAAGCACACCGCCGCGGGCGCGTCAAGCAGCATTACTATGTCGAGCGATAACGGGTACGTGACCATCAACAGCAACAATCAGTATGTGGACGTAGAGAGCGTGCGGTTCACGGGCGCCGATATCGGCGTGTCTGGAAAACCAAAAGTCATCACGGTGGGGTTGACGGGCGCGAGTGTGCTCGGGCAGCTCGACGTGGGGCACACGGCGGGGGCGCCCAAGTTTGTCGTGACGAGCGCCGGCGACACGACGATCACCGGGACGCTCGGAGTGACCGGCGCGACGCAGCTTACGACGGCGAAGGTGTCGAGCACGCTCGAAGTCACGGGCGTGACCACACTCAAAGAGAACGTGTTCATGACGAAGACCATCGCCACGATCTCGCACACTGGTGGGACCGGGCTGAAGATCACGAGCGCGGGCTACGTTGAGGTGGAGAGCGTGAAGTTCACGGGAACCCCTACGGGAGCCACCATTGGTATCGGTGCGACGACTGACGTCATCGCACTCGCCACCACCGGCGCGAGCGTGACTGGGCAGCTCGACGTGGGGACGTCGGGGGCGCGCAACTTCGTTGTGACGAGCGCCGGCGACACGACGATCACCGGGACGCTCGGAGTGACCGGCGCGACGCAGCTTACGACGGCGAAGGTGTCGAGCACACTCGAGGTCACGGGCGTGACCACACTCAAAGAGGACGTGTCCATGACGAAGCCCACTGCCGCGATCTTGCACACGGGGACCTCGCTCACGATCACGAGCGGGGGCTACGTTGAGGTGGAGAACGTGCGTATCACGCACGATAACACAAACTCGAAGTCGGTCGTCGGCTTCGGTGCGACGGATGTGTTCCATTTGTCCGCGACGGACGTGAGCATGCTGGGGACGCTTTCGTCGACGGGCAACTTCGACGTTGGTGCACCTGGCGGGCGCAAGTTTTCAGTTGCGGCGGGCACCGGAGACGTGACCACGTCGGGAGACGTGTCGACGTCTAAGGTCTCGGCTGCGATCAAGCACACCAGCACAGACACGAGCTCATCGAGCGGGCTGACGGTGTCGAGCGTGAAAGGGTACGTGGTCGTGCGGAGCGACCTTCAGTATGTGGACGTAGAGAGCGTGCGGTTCACGGGCGCCGACATCGGTGTGTCTGGAAAACCAAAAGTCATCACGGTGGGGTTGACGGGCGCGAGTGTGCTCGGGCAGCTCGAAGTGGGGCACACGGCGGGGGCGCCCAAGTTTGTCGTGACAAGCGCCGGCGACACGACGATCACCGGGACGCTCGGAGTGACCGGCGCGACGCAGCTTACGACGGCGAAGGTGTCGAGCACGCTCGAAGTCACGGGCGTGACCACACTCAAAGAGAACGTGTTCATGACGAAGACCATCGCCACGATCTCGCACACTGGTGGGACCGGGCTGAAGATCACGAGCGCGGGCTACGTTGAGGTGGAGAGCGTGAAGTTCACGGGAACCCCTACGGGAGCCACCATTGGTATCGGTGCGACGACTGACGTCATCGCACTCGCCACCACCGGCGCGAGCGTGACTGGGCAGCTCGACGTGGGGACGTCGGGGGCGCGCAACTTCGTTGTGACGAGCGCCGGCGACACGACGATCACCGGGACGCTCGGAGTGACCGGCGCGACGCAGCTTACGACGGCGAAGGTGTCGAGCACACTCGAAGTCACGGGCGTGACCACACTCAAAGAGGACGTGTCCATGACGAAGCCCACTGCCGCGATCTTGCACACGGGGACCTCGCTCACGATCACGAGCGGGGGCTACGTTGAGGTGGAGAACGTGCGCATCACGCACGATAACACAAACTCGAAGTCGGTCGTCGGCTTCGGTGCGACGGATGTGTTCCATTTGTCCGCGACGGACGTGAGCATGCTAGGGACGCTTTCGTCGACGGGCAACTTCGACGTTGGTGCACCTGGCGGGCGCAAGTTTTCAGTTGCTGCCGGCTCCGGAGACGTGACCACGTCGGGAGATATTATTTTGGCAAAATCATCTGTTGCCATGAAGCACACCGCCGCGGGCGCGTCAAGCAGCATTACTATGTCGAGCGATAATGGATACGTGACCATCAACAGCAACAATCAGTATGTGGACGTAGAGAGCGTGCGGTTCACGGGCGCCGACATCGGCGTGTCCGGAACACCAAAAGTCATCACGGTCACGTCGACGGGCGCGAGTGTGATCGGGCAGCTCGACGTGGGGCCCACGGCGGGGGCGCCCAAGTTTGTCGTAACGAGCGCCGGCGACACGACGATCACCGGGACGCTCGGAGTGACCGGCGCGACGCAGCTTACGACGGCGAAGGTGTCGAGCACGCTCGAAGTCACGGGCGTGACCACACTCAAAGAGAACGTGTTCATGACGAAGACCATCGCCACGATCTCGCACACTGGTGGGACCGGGCTGAAGATCACGAGCGCGGGCTACGTTGAGGTGGAGAGCGTGAAGTTCACGGGAACCCCTACGGGAGCCACCATTGGTATCGGTGCGACGACTGACGTCATCGCACTCGCCACCACCGGCGCGAGCGTGACTGGGCAGCTCGACGTGGGGACGTCGGGGGCGCGCAACTTCGTTGTGACGAGCGCCGGCGACACGACGATCACCGGGACGCTCGGAGTGACCGGCGCGACGCAGCTTACGACGGCGAAGGTGTCAAGCACGCTCGAAGTCACGGGCGTGACCACACTCAAAGAGGACGTGTCCATGACGAAGACCACTGCTGCGATCACGCACACGGGGACCTCGCTCACGATCACGAGCGCGGGCTACGTTGAGGTGGAGAGCGTGCGTATCACGCACGATAACACAAACTCAAAGTCGGTCGTCGGCTTCGGTGCGACGGATGTGTTCCATTTGTCCGCGACGGACGTGAGCATGCTGGGGACGCTTTCGTCGACGGGCAACTTCGACGTTGGAGCACCTGGCGGGCGCAAGTTTTCAGTTGCGGCGGGCTCCGGAGACGTGACCACGTCGGGAGACGTGTCGACGTCTAAGGTCTCGGCTGCGATCAAGCACACCAGCACAGACACGAGCTCATCGAGCGGGCTGACGGTGTCGAGCGTGAAAGGGTACGTGGTCGTGCGGAGCGACCTTCAGTATGTGGACGTAGAGAGCGTGCGGTTCACGGGCGCCGACATCGGCGTGTCCGGAACACCAAAAGTCATCACGGTCACGTCGACGGGCGCGAGTATGATAGGGCAGCTCGACGTGGGGTCCACGGCGGGGGCGCCCAAGTTTGTCGTGACGAGCGCCGGCGACACGACGATCACCGGGACGCTCGGAGTGACCGGCGCGACGCAGCTTACGACGGCGAAGGTGTCGAGCACGCTCGAAGTCACGGGCGTGACCACACTCAAAGAGAACGTGTTCATGACGAAGACCATCGCCACGATCTCGCACACTGGTGGGACCGGGCTGAAGATCACGAGCGCGGGCTACGTTGAGGTGGAGAGCGTGAAGTTCACGGGAACCCCTACGGGA